TATTAACCAATTTCTGTCCAAAAGTTGTATTTCTGGGTAATTTTAAGGCGTAGAATCCAAATTTTGACATATCAGAGCTTGTGGAACCAATTTGATAGATAAAACGGATAGGTCAAATTACAGAAAATTGTCGATTTTTCCCTATGCAATCTTTTTTCTCCGTCCGTTTGCTTCCAGAAGCTCTGACATATTAAAATATTGCATCTACGCCTTAAGATTACCCAGAAAAACAACTTTTGGAACAGAAATTGGTTAATATAAGCTTTTTAAAACGCAAAAAAGGTGCGCTAATGGGCCAGTTGCGCAAAACAAGGTCGCATTGGTCCTATTTTCTCTCCTATTTTCTTCACAACCCGGTACCGTATTTTGGGGTTTTTGGACATTTGCTAACCGCGACATTTATTTAGCTCTGTACCAATGTCACGGTTACCAAATTTCGGTTATCAAATGTCTGGTAATCTATTTTGCGCGGTTAGTAAATTTCGTGACTTTATGGTTCACCTTTTTAGTGTAGTAGCATTTGATTTTTTTGTTTTATAAATTGGGCACTTAGTAAATTTTGTGTAAACCATATTTCACCTTTTTAGTTCATGTTTTATGTTTTGGAAAGTTTATGTTGTTTGACCATTCACTTTTTATTAAATTTTAGTGTAAGTGCAATTTTTTAAAAAAGTTATCCCCAACTTTATAGTTTTACTTGCTGCAGCTTATGTGCGCGTGCTAAGTGTATACGTAAGACATTGTGGCATGATTTTAACTAGCAGCGATACCTACTTTTGGGCGCAAATGCAATCCACTTTTAGGCTCTATTCTAAACATCCCTTTGAAACGTGTTTCTTTACTCAAGAATTTTATCTACTTAATTAGTTTTTATCTTTAGTCGAGGGTATTCGCTCGTTTCTAGCGGGCCAATTGCAAAAGATGGATGGGATCACTCAACAAAATGTCGAAGATCTCGTTGCACGAATTGATGAGAATCAAGTAAGTGTCCTACTACATGATAACTTACATTGACTATGAATTTAGCTTGTTCAATTTGTCTCTTGGGCTGGTTTGCTGCTAGAACTTGCAGATGCTGGTGGAAAAGATTACGCGTTCGACAACATCAACTATTTGCTTCACAACCAAGTACCGTATTTTTTCTAATAGAAGGGCAGCCTCTAATAGAAGCAAGAACTATGGATATTCATCTTAGGAGACCGAATACCCTGAGTTTTGAGCCTTAATTATAAAGTATAAGATATAAAGTTATATACCGTAAAAACTCTAATAGACCGCCCCCTTCTAGGAGCGTAGTTTAAGTTTACTCTCAAACAGGCGCTCATATCTTGACACCTGTACGTTTGTTTCTGGGCGCTTGGGTATCAAATTGAGGATGATTGGTTTTTTTGAGCTATAACACATATTTCCTAGAAAAAGATTGCCCTCTTGATCATTCGTTTTGCATATGCAGTGTCAATTTTTTCTTGCAATTAGGTAGTCAGCTTATTTGGATCGAATTTATAGCTTCGACTAGGTATTTAAATTCCGTCGAGCTAAAGATAATTGATACTAGGCTAGTTGGGGAGCGGCATTTTTTTCTTCAAAACCACTTTCTGGGGTAGTTTTATGCGTAGATTTCGAAAAACATAACGCGAGCTTGGGAAAAGAAGTTTTAAGCCGAGTTTCGAGGCCCCAAAGTGTGTGCTCATACAGTGCGAAGGATCGGGAAGGGAGGGGGAAAGAGGTCTAAAAATGGTCGCTCAAAACATTCTTTGAAGCCAAAAACACTTCTTCTGGCCTAATTTAGCCTACTGATTACGTTTCTACTGATAGCTTGGGCTCCATATAGTGAAGTACACTATAGCAGCACGCGCTTTAGAGCCTCGAAACTCGGCTTAAAATGACTTTTTCCAAGCTCTCATGAAGTTTTTCGAAATTTATGCATTCCAGAACTATTCCAGAAGAAGTGGTTTTGAAGGAAAAAAAAAGCACCCCTTCCTTCCCGGCTAGTACTAAAGTATCTTTCTTGCTTACAAGGAGAAAGCATAGAGTCATTAGGGGTTTTTGAACGTTGAGGTTGAGGTTGGCGAGTCTGATGGTAATGAAATTAACAATAATGCTTTTTTGACGATTTAATCGTTTTTTAATTGGTTGTTGCTTAAAGGTTCTCTTTCTATGAGCTACATCAATTTTTTAGTTATTGAAAAATAAAAGTGCAGCCCTTCTACATTAGGATTAGGATAAATACGGTACTTACCATATTCTTAAATTAGTTATTAGATAAAAAAGATACGATTTAGTAAATAATAATCTACAAATAAATGTGTTTCTCTCTTTGTGGGATATTTAGCATGCGTCTTCTGAAAAAAGATTGAAAACGCAAAGCTACCTTTTTAGATGCCATGCAAAAATGTTGCTTCTCACTTTCCTGAGATTAAACGAGCTCAAATGATGGATTGGATTTTTTGGATCTCTCGCGTGACCGGGCTACCAGATGAATCACATTTTTTGGCAGTACACCTGCTAGATAAAGCACTAGTGGTTAGTTTATGATATTTTTACCTAATAGAAACTTTTTAGGTTGACAAAAACATTTGTGAAATGTCAAGTGTGGATGTGGAAGTTGTTATGGTGGAAGTGGTCAAAATTGCTGGAAAATTTGAACTCGGTCCTGAATGTGAAAATGGAATGGTATAACTTATCATATTAATTTTTCAAACAACTTTTTAGTGGGATCGTCTTAAGTCGGTTGTTTGCAATCCTAAACTACAGTGGCAAGAGGACAAAATGAATCAATGGGAATCTCAGGTTGACCTTCCTTTTATCTTTTACGGTGGCTGGAAAAATGTTTTAGCTTCTGGAATTTTTTGACTTTGCCATTTCACGCAAACACTTGTTGCACTTTCTCCATATTTTTGGGTAAGCTTTTTCGATACTTTTGACACTTTTTCTAAAGTATATTTTTAGTTATTGATGGGTGATGTCAGGAGTGGAAACGAGAAAGAAAATGGATGGGCGTCGGTGAAAGGATTGTCATATATCGCAATGGCCAAAGCACCTCTGATGAATAACAATCCTTCGCTTGTTGCTGCTGCCCTTATGCGGATAGCTCTTCACCTGTTTCTTAATCGTCGTCAACTTCCGGAGGATAAAAGTTTGTTTTTCTGAAGAAGTAGTAATATGTGAGTTTACACAGTTTCCCAAGTCATCTTGTGCCTTCTACACGAAGAAAGTCAATACGTGCCGATCGACACAAGTCTTTTAAATTGGGTTTTGTCTTCTCCAACATACGTTCCAACGGTAAGTTATTTCAATTATCGATTATAGTTAGTTGGAGTTTGTAGATCACTCGTGCGTTTGAAGCCAATCAAGATCATCCCAGTAAACAAGAGCTAGAAACTACTACCTGTGACTTCGACAAGTATTTTCGTAGAGGCAAACACTTCGATATCTTTTGTAAAATAGTCTAGCATTTGTGAAAGAAAGATTGTATATGTGTTTTATGACATTTTATTTTATACTATCGTAAATGCTTTAACAAAGCGCGCCCCTATAGGAACATTGCGTAGTCTAAAGATGCACTCAAAGAAACGATCATATCTCTATGATGGTTTGTTTGAGTGGACATTTAGCAATGTAGGTAAAACAGCACCGTCAAATTTCTCACAATCCAAAAAACCAAGCCGGCTCAAGTTTTATACCAAAAAATTCCTTACGTTCTTGGCTATTTGATGGGTGGAAGAGTTTTTTTTAAAAAAAGTTAGTTAATATTTCATAGATAAAATTAGCGTTCAAGATGTGTGTTAGCCAACTGATTTTCACTCGACACACATTTTGAACGCTAACTTTATCTATGAAATATTAACTAACTTTTTAAAAAAACTGTTTCACCCATCATGTAGCCAAGAACGCAAGGATTTTTTTGGTATAAAACTTGAGCCGGCTTGGTTTTTTGGATTGCGAGAACTTTGACGGTGCTGTTTTAACTACATCCCCAAATATACACTCAAATAAACGATGATAGATATGATATGATCGTTTGTTTTAGTGTCTATTTACACTCCGCGACGCTCCTATAGGAGGCGTTCTATTAAAGCATTTATGGTAAATTAGATCCTATCTATGCATTTAAAAAATTTGTAGCATGTTTGATGCCGAAATAAACATAACATAACAAACTTAATTGTATTTGGCATTCAAATTCGTTATTGCATTCGCAGAAAAAGAGAAAATTTTATCAAAATTATAGGATGTATTTTTGAAAAGAGCGAAAAATAAGAAATTTAGATCGGGGCATTCAAATTGTAAATGCGGAGTTTTTGTTGGCTCAGAATAAAAACTTACGTTATTTGTCATTAAATGTAATGTCCATGCTACCACTACAAACGTGTTCTTGGGTGAATACCATTCTTATACGATTTGCATAGAGGATTTCCTTTCAATCTGATATCTGCAGACGATCTCAGCTCCACTAACAAGGGTTTTTAAAAAGTTGGCGCTTTTTGAGGGGTTCCCGAGGGTAGCATACGGGCTCTGGGACAAGGTATTATCTACACTTTTGCTATAAAATTCTTTTTGTATTTATTGCTTTGGCTTTGTTGGCTTTTGGTGGAGCGATTCAAAATAAGGTAAAAAATTAACTTGCGACACCGAGACATATGACTTTAGTTTATAAAAGAGTCCAAAGAATGATGAAGGAAGGATATGTTTGTTTTTCAAGTAGAGATTTTACAAATCTTGCCTCTAATGCTAAAAGGCTATGATCTAAGGTGGATTCGGGTCTCGAATGACCTAGGCTTCTAAAACCCAAAGCCCTATCTTGCCCAAACCTACTAGTTTGATCTTCGTTGTTACTTTCAGATTTATCAAACTTATCTCTAAGAAAAAATTTGGCCATCTACAGATCTACTTATCACAAATAAAAAGATTATAAAAACGAAAGACAAAAGAGTCAAAGCAATGAAATCACAATTGCAGAATATCATCTCTAAAAAGCAAAACTTTTACAATTTCCCGGCATGCAAAATTGTCTAGTGATTTTCCATGTGTTTCTTACTTTCGGTAAACTCGTAGGTATCAAATTTTTCACTTCTGAAATATAATGAGATCAAGATTTCAGGGATTACTGTGTGCCCAAAATCGGACATTGCTTCTTCATTTGAAGGGAGCTACTATTTTGGAATCAAAAATCTCAACGACTCGTACAACGATGCTGACGCGACTTGTCAAGAGTAAGATTTCATTGATTATAAACAATTAAACAAACAATTAAAATTGCTATTCATAAAGTATCTGCAGATTTAAGAGACGTTTTCTAAGAAATTTTTGCGACAAATCTTGAACGGCTTTCAGTTTTGGCGGCCATTCGACTTCAATCCACAATGGCTTCGTTAATGCAAACTTGCTCCAACTAGCGAGAGTGTTTTATGAGGTATTGTTTTGATAATTCTGAAAGGTTTAAACGAATCAACTAGTATAAAAAGTCAATCTAAAAAGCTTTTTAGTCAGCCGAGACTGTGTGGCTCGGTGGTGGTGCTTATGAAGGAAACACAATCACTTGGCTAGATGGATCACCAGATGATTATCACAATTTCAAGCCCGATAATTAGAGTCTAAAGTTAGATTTTTTTGATTCAGTGCTAGCCTTTGCACGTATTGTGAGTCAATGCCGTTTAGGCACAACTCCCAGAAATATTGTATTGAGTCTCATTGATGGTAAATGGGCAACTGCGACCTGGAATGCAAAATTGTGAAGCCCATTTCTTTGTGAAGCCAAGGATACGATAATGCTTTTGGTTCAATAGAAATTGAATATTTTTAAAATGTAAAGCTGATAGGCTCTGGGTTAGCTGATAGGCTTTCAGGGCAACTTTGCAAAAAACTTTGAAATATAAATTTGAAATCTTTCGACTCACAAATGTTTTATTATTGAAAGGTGAGCTTGTAAATGCATATTAAATAGGTTAGTCAAATAGAAATGATCAAGGATTTGCAGAGATCAATGGCATTGGTTTTTCTGCTTCGATGGGTCCGGGGGTGAGTGGTTGGTGGCTGACTTTGAGTTCGCCTCGAGAGGTGATCTGATATCTGGAAATCATTCAAATACAGCACTGGACAATGAAATATGATATTTGAAAAACGATCGTCACTTTCGCGCGTCTGTAACTCCGTTATCTTTGAGTTTAAACTATTAGTGTTATACATTTTCCGAAAGCTCTTTTCAAGGGCTACACAATGGTAATATTAATATTTAGAAATACGGTAAAGACAAGGGAGTTACAGACGCGCGAAAGTGACGATCTTTTTTTCAAATATGATATTTCATTGTCCAGTAGTGTATATCAGGCTAATAGACTAAAGCTAGATACGTGGTAATTTTCAAGAATTGGCACGTTTTAGAAAGCGGTTTATTCGAGAGAATACTCTAATCAGGAACAGCTTTTCCAGCCTTATGGTAGTTGATTTTTAGGGCATTTACTTATCTTTATGTCATATCTCTATATTCATCATTTTAGCGTACCTGTTGAGAACGAAAAGCTCGATGAGGAAGAGTGGAAAGTAGAGGATGCAGAAGGCGATCACGATCAGTTTTCGATCTGAAACATTAAGTTCGAATATAGAATATAGCTTTTCATGAAGCCAAGACAAATTTCATCACTATTCTTTTCTAAAGAAAGTGATTCACAAAGAAAGAATTCTATAGAGCTTGACAGCTTTATGATTCATTGGGCGTTGTTGCTCATCGACTTTCCCATGAAAGTCCAACAATGCGTGATGAACAGAAAAAGGAGACAAAATTTTTGCAGCTTATTGTTAGTAAAAATTCTAAATAGATTCTCTATCTGCTAAAACGCACATTCCATCCATTTAATCACATCATCCTCAATCTTTCGATCCTCTTGCTTGAACGTGTCGGCTGACATCAAAGAAAAAGCGCCGATGAGAACGGCGAGGAGACGCCCGATCTTGAAATTATTGATTCGTTATCGGACATTTGATATGCCCCTCTTTTCTCATTAGCAATCTAACTTTGAGCTCAAATTTCTTGGTGTTGAGCTGTTCAAGCGAAGTATTCTTTTATATCATTAGATGCGCCAAATCTTTCCCTATCTATTGGTATAAAAACTATTTAAATTTGACAGCTGAACACCAAGTTATTTGAGCTCAAAGTTAGATTGTCAATGGGGAAGGGGTGGGGGCAAATGTCCCATAATTTTGCTTTTTTTGAAATAATAAGCTTGTTTGAAAGAATAAAACAAACCGACAGCACGACAGCCCTCAAATTTCTTGGTGTTGAGCTGTCCAAGCGAAATATTCTTAATATCATTAGATGCGCCAAATCTTTCCCTATCTATTGGTATAAAAACTATTTAAATTTGACAGCTGAACACCAAGAACTTTGAGCTCAAAGTTAGATTGTCAATGGGAAAGGGGCAAATGTCCCATAATTTTGCGTTTTTTGAAACAATAAGCTTGTTTGAAAGAATTAAAACAAACCGACAGCACGACAGCCCACATGACCAACACATCAGACTCTCGTCTCTTCATCATCAACAATACGCCGATAAAAGCGATGAAGAGAGCTGAAAAGTTTCAATGAATTTCTTTGATTTTCAATGAATTTGATTTTCAAATGAATTTCTACAAGTTATTAGCCAAAATCTTATCTTACTTGAAATTCACTCACCAACAAATGTCAACGCTGCGATGGTCACCGAAACGGACAAGTACTGCTTTTGAATTGAAGACCAAATGAGGATTGAAAGGAAAAGGATTGAGAGCAACGAGTTGAACACGAGACTGATCGAGAAGAGACTCTCAAATTGCTTTTTACAGTATTAGAGTGATTACGAGATTTGTACAGCTTTTATTCTTGTCAAGCTCGACAAAAAATGTGCTTAAAGTTGGGTTTAAAAAGAACAGAAAACTAACAAAATGCAAAAGTTTTCTCTTTTTCGTTTTCTGTTCTTTTTAAACCCAACTTTAGGCACATTTTTTGTCGAGTTTGACAAGAATAAGAGCTGTACAAATCTTGTAATCACTTTTGCATTTTGTTAGTCTAAAGATCTAACTAAAAATATTCATTTGTTTAGTCTTTCAATTTGGTTTTATCCGAAATTTTAGCAAATCTAGTTTCTATTTATCAAATCTAAATCAAACTCGAACAAAATAATCATCATTTTTTTTCAAGTCAGACCTTCAGACCCCCTTTTTTCTGGTCTCTTTGAATTCGGCTCTCTACGGGGCGCCTCCAGAAGGAGGCCTTTTCTCATACGCCAACCTTCCGTTTCCTCTAAAAGCCCCCAGTTTCTTTTTTAATCGAGTTATTAAATTCTGGAACATTTTACCCCCTCATGTTCGCGATATTTCCACCTTGGCTAGATTTAAAGCCGCAATTTCGGCAATTCATTTGACTGCTCTGTGATTCTTTCTTGAGGTATCCATTTATCTTTTGGGTGTGTTTTGAGTGGTGTCCCGGGTAATTATTGTCATTTTGTCTTGTCGCTATTCAACTGAATAAAGCATATATATAAAAATCAGACCTACCTTATACAACTTCTCGTACTTCATTGTAGAATGCTTCTAAAAAATCGTTTGAATAATTCGAGCAGAAAGTTTAAATAGACAAAAATGCTAAAATCAATAGCAATAAAATGATGTTGTAAACAATTTCAGTTGCGCGGATTCAAGAAAAATTTAGAGAATAGGAGAAAATGAGAGAGAAACTGAAAAGAGAGAAAACTCGTTGTTGTTGTGACTCAAAAATTTCTTTTTTTTTGATTGCCCTTTCGAAAATAGCAGAACCTGGAGAAAAACAAGGGGAGAGGCAGGAAAGAAAAGAGAGGGAAAAGAATGAGAAATTTTTCGTTTTGTAAAGAGATTGTTGAAGCCGTAAAGAAAATGACTAATCATTTCCTGAAAAATCGACTTTTTTTAGCATTTAAAGTGCACAAGGAACGCATTTCTTGGGGGTGGCTACTTTGCGCCAATTTTTTTGCGCAACTCGCCATAACTTTCTTCTAATTCGGCCAATCTTTATGATTTTGGTGTCATTTTGTAGATCTCAACAAGTGTAACAAAATGACACCAAAATCATAAAGATTGGTTGACTTAGAAGAAAGTTATGGCGAGTTGCGCACACGACCCAGCTGCGGAAAAAATTTGGTGCAAAGTAGCCACCCCCCATTTCTTTAAAGCAAACAAATTTTAACAAACAGCTTTTGTTTTCTAAAGTGTGGATTTAAAGGAATTTTTCATTTAGAAAACAAAAATCATTTGCTAAACTGCAGAGGAATGCAAAAACGAAGCAAGTAGATGTACTTTGAGCGCAAAAATAGAAACACATCCTTTCTGGTGCGCTCTATTTCTCAATAAAAACAAATGTAAAGACTACAGATTACTAAATTACGTTAGAAATCCGTGTTTGCTATTTTTGAGCAGAAAGCATAGCACAAAAGAAGCTCAGTCTGTTAGATTTTGTGATTTGTTACAACATTTAAAATATTAAATGAATCCAAAAGATTTACCAATGAAATCTACCAAAAAGAATAGAATAGAAGGAAAAGATTCCGACGAAATATGAGAAGAAAAAAAAGAGGGAAAAATAAACGCATTCGCGTAAACAAGGTTGCACTCTTTGAGACTCAAAAATGAATGAAAACAAGCCGCTCTCTCATAGTTTTTCCCTTTTTTTCCCTTTCCCCAGACTACCAGATGGCAAAACAAAAAAAGAAATTTCGCAAAAGACCCCGAAAATATCTCTTTTATGTTAGAGAAATGATCTTTTATGATCTAGATTTTGATCGAAAGGAATGTTGTGCTTTCTGAAGAGAAATTCATTCAAAATGTGTTCCGGTTGTAGTTCCGGTTATTGAGTGGATTTCGAGGAGTGAGATTTTATCATATTTTAAAACAAATCGCGTACTGAAAAACGGATTTGAGGTTCGAAAGCAAAGTAATTAAATGGATCAAAATGAATGAGAATTATTCAAAGGTCGACTTTAGACTGTTATTTTTGCTGTAGATTGTAACTGTAGGTTTATATGATCTTGAGTTGACATTTTGAAAGCGCATAGGGGCATAGGCATAATCTAAAGAATCGTTGTAAAAGAATCAAGACTTTGAAATACTTGCTTGTTTTTTCTTTACATTGAATATTAGATTTTATGGATAGCATAATATTACAGTTATGTGTAAAAGTCTTTTAACACTTCCAAAAATTTTTGTTATTCACTTCTTACGTTCGCTTCTTATTTACTGGTACTAATTTATTTTTTTAGATGCCAGACGCGTATTTGTCAACTCCGGATAAAGAAATGATCGTCAAGGAGACAAGGGATTTCACGACAAGACGTTGCTGGCCTCTTAGGATGTACGCCCACAACAGTTTCTCTTGTTATGGCAAAAATGAATGCGTCTGGAAATGTGCACAGATGTAGGAAAAAGGGACGGCCGAGGATTACAACAAAGAATGAAGACTGACTCCTTACGGGAGTTTTCAAGAAGGATCCGAATTTGACGTTGAACGATGGAGCCATTCTTTTCAAGCAAACTTCAAACAAGAATATTTCCCGCTGGACCTTGCATCGACGCTTACTTCAAGCAGCATTGTATACTAGAAGACCTGCTCTCAAGCCTTTGATAACAGCCAAACGCAGGAAGCGACGGCTTCAATTTCCTTGAACCTATTCAAGTTGGACAATTGATGATTGGGCTCGATTGATTTTCGTTGATGAAACAAAAGTTGATATTTTCCTTCAAATCAAAATCATCTGATCCGACGTCTAATCGGAAAGCGATATCAACTCAAGTACATGCAACCTGCGGTGAAAACAGGCGGAGGATCAATTATGTGTTTCGGTAAGGATCATTTTCTTTTTATGCAGCTCAACGTAATCTTTAGGGCCGATGTGTAAAAGTTCAACAGGTCCACTTGTCCTCGTAAAATCAACAATGGATTCCCGCCAATATATTGAGATATTGGACAGATTTCTACTTCCATTTGCGACTGCTTCGATGAATCTCGGATGGTTTCTTTATCAAGATAATTCGCCAGTACACAAAAGCGAACTTTTGATGGGTTGCGTTGTGACTTTCTCGAATGAAGGAAAATCACATTTACTTAGGATCAATCACGTTTCTTTGATTAAAGCTTCGCCAGTTTCATCGAATTTAAATGTTATCGAGAATTTATGGGCCTATTTGAAGTCGAAATTGCGAGGAAAACGATTCAATTCTAAAATCGAGCAATGATTTTACATTAGAAAAATTTGGAAGGCGATTGAACCTGGAATTCTTGATGAGTTAATTACATCAATGTCTACTCGTATTAAAGAAGTACTTTTGGCAAATGGAGGGCCGACAAAATATTGATTATAGCTTGATTTCATCTTGTGTTAAAAGACTTTTGCACCACGATTTTCAGGGATGTTTTGACAAATTTTTTCTTGATGAATAAGTGTTGTATAGCGATAACGTTTGTGTAAATAAATTGTACATATATTTATGTAACTAAAACAATTAATAGCTTAAAGAGCGCCATGAATTTTATCAAAGAAAATCGATGAAACTTTTTTAGGAAATCGAGTGTGTTAAAAGACTTTTGCACATGACTGTAACGCTCGATAGGATTCTAAAAGCAAAGCTAGACAGAAAGCTTCAATTTGAAATCCTGTAAACACTTCTAAATTAATAGATTTGTGTGAGCTAGTTAGATTTGTAGATATCATGAGATTTGTAGAGCTAGTTAGATTTGTAGATTTGTAGATATCATGAGATTTGTAGAGCTAGTTAGATTTGTAGATCAATAGATTTGTCTGAGCTGAGTTAACCAAAACATTTTACTAATCATAGTGTTTAGAATGGCTTTGAACTTCACTGGATCGAAATTTTTGTTTTCCGAACAATTCCTGAGCTTTTCTAGATCTCAATTTCCTGGAAAGGGTCAAATTTAGAAAAGCGCTTTCCTTTCCCACAGCAATTGTCTGTGAATTTCTAGAAATCCCTCAATCCATCAAGTTCAGACCGTTTTCGTCGTCGAAATCGAGTCAAGTGGATCCAATCCACGTGCTTCTTTTCCCTTTTTCCTTCAATTCCGCATCCTTTTGGTGAAATCTACGTGATATCACAGCTCCGATCACTTCTCACTTTCAGCCAATGTTTGCCGACTTTTCTTTTCCTCTCTTTCATCTTTTTGCTTCTTTTTTTGCGATGTCTTCCGATTGCTTGATCTTCGCGTTGATCGGTCCGGAATCGGCGTGGATCATCCCCAAAATTTTATTGACTTACTGACTATACAATTTTCTTGTAAACTTTTCAAATGCGGATTGGTTTAGCGATCTTTGTGTATGTTGGAACAGGTTGGTGATTGCTATTTTTGTTTTATTGTTATTAATCTGTTTAGTTTCATAAAAAACATTGAAAATAAACATATATTGCTTTCTGAAATTCTGAAGTATTGCTAAGCTCTGTAGTAAAGCCAATAAACTCAAGTATTCAATAAAAGATATTGTTTTCATTATTGCAAAGTTTCAGTGATAGCTGATCACACAACAAAACCGCCATGTTGTCGAGATCATCTCTCCGCAACAACTTGTCAACGTTTACTTCGATCAAGTCCACGCTATTTTGCTGATCGTTGCAATTTGGATGCAGAATTTAGGTGAATTGATTAATAAAATTAGTAATTTTGATGGATTTTATGTAAGAAAGCTGTAAGTAAAGCAACTGTAAGTAAAGCAGCTGTAAGTAAAGCAGCTGTAAGTAAAGCAACTGTAAGTAAAGCAACTGTAAGTAAAGCAACTGTAAGTAAAGCAACTGTAAGTAAAGCAGCTGTAAGTAAATCAGCTGTAAGTAAATCAGCTGTAAGTAAAGCAACTGTAAGTAAAGCAACTGTAAGTAAAGCAGCTGTAAGTAAAGCAGCTGTAAGTAAAGCAACTGTAAGTAAAGCAGCTGTAAGTAAAGCAGCTGTAAGCAACTCTCAAAAGAATTTTCTTAAACATTGCTCAATTCTAGTGTCATTTTCAGATTGGTTCAATGTTGTACAACTTGTAACAAGAGTGGAATGGCGATGTCGTATGATTTGATCGCTCGATCGCTCGTCTCTGCACAATGTTTTGATCGACATGAGCCAACTTTTTGTGCTAGGCAAGTAACTTTAAAGAATTTTCTAATAAGATCTGCTTTAAGATATGTTAATCACACGGAACCCTATGTGCAACCAGCAAAGCCATGGACATGTGATGGAGAGAATCCACAGGTTTTCACTCACAGCTCAGTATAAACCTCAGCACAAATTCCAGATAGCTTTTCGCCTTTGTCGTCAGTCTTGTGGTTTCTGTGATTTTAAAATCGTTCACTATACTCTTGAGAATGCCGTCAAAGCGTGCAAGGTGAATAAAGAGGTCCAGGTCAAAGAAGAGAGATAAAGAATGAGAAGTGAAATGGGTGTGATGTGATTGGGGAAATGTTGTGCTTTGAACTCTTTCTATAAGATCATTTTAAAGTAAAAAGCTACTGGCTTAGGCTTAGGCTTAGGCTTAGGCTTAGGCTCAGGCTCAGGCTCGTTAGTTGTAGAGTTGTAAACCCTAGACTTTATTAAAATTTACTCAATTTTATACTTTTAGTTTATTAGAAAGACTTAAAACTTGACAAAAGCTCACAATTTGTCTCTGGCAGTCAAAAGATAGTTTAGTAGATTGAATTTTGACCAAAACACAAATTAATATCAAAAAATTAACTTGTTATAATATAATTATTTCGTTTTTAAATCTTTCTACTTTCTAGAAAATTGTCGAAATTTAAAAATAACTTGAAATTTCAGAGCACAAAGCTGACTTGGCGTCAGCGCTGGGGACCGAGAATGCGTGAGAATGGACAGAAAATTGGATAAACTAAAACAAAAGCTTTCTCTTTATTTAAACTCTAATATTTATTGTCTTTCACTCATTTTATTTACCGGGTACAAATGTAGAAACAAAATAAAGATAGAGATCACAACAAATTTTGATTACGCAAGAAAAATCGACAAGAAACATTCACTCAAATACCTGAGCGTTTTTTCTGTTTGAAACACGCTCCTTCTGGCGTACTTCATTCAATGAAGTGCCAGAACGATTGTGTTCATTGTGTTCAAAAATAAAAGATAGAGTTCACAACAAATTTTGATTACGCAAGAAAAAAATCGACAAGAAACATTCACTCAAATACCCGTCAAGAATATGTATTGCAAGATGTCAATTTTCGTGAATTAAATAAAATATTTTCTAATCTATGCAATGCTTGAAAGTTTTGAAGCCAGGAAATGTAAAGGCACTAGAGGAAATGAGGAAATGCAAATGTATACAGCAAAGAATTGAAGGAGATGGGACAAAAGGACCAGCACATAGACCAGCGCCGGGATTACGAACAAGATCAGGGCCAAGACTAAGCCTAGGACCAGTACCAGGGGCCAAGACTAGACCTAGGACCCGTACCAGAGTCAAGACTAGACCTAGAACCAGTACCATGGTCAAGACTAGACCTTGGACCAGTACCAGAGTCAAGACTAGGCTCAGGACTAGACCAGGTATGGATTAGGGTCAAGATAGGGAGTTAGGGACTAATTGTAAGACTAGAACCATGACCAGGATTTAGGCTAGGACCAAGACAAGGGCAGGATCCAGAGCCAGGATTGGGCTAGTTTTAAGCAGTACTAGGGCCTGTTTAGGACCAATATTGGCTGATTCGGTCTGACTAGAAAATCCCATCATCCCTGTAATGTAGAACATTTAGAACAGTAACTTTCGATAATATAGGAATTAGAGTTTGACTCAAAATAAACTCATTTCAAAAGCGATAACCCTGAATCAATTCACGAAGCTCTCGTTTAGAACATCGCCGAGCAAAATGGATCACTTTTGCACCAGCACAAGTAAAACCACCAATAAAAGAGATTGAAGAGAACGAAAATGAGCGGGAATCCATAGCGACACGCCTTATCAATGTAGAGAGCAGTTCGCGAGAAGGATTTTGACATCTAGAAGAAATTGTTTAATTGAATTATTAAAGTTCTTGAAAACGGCAAAGTTAGGGCAATTTTTAACTTTCAAAGAGTTATGGTAAAGTTCTTGAAACCGCAAAATCAATCATCCTGGGCAAATTTGTTTTATGATTAGGTAAAACTATGAACTTCAAAGCAAGCAAGAATTTAGGGCAAGTTAGTGACTGTTCGCTGAGCTGTTCTGTTTGAAACACGCACCTTCTGGCGTACTTCATTCAATGAAGTGCCAGAACGATTGTGTTCATTCAAAACACTTGAACAAGTCTTTTCTTTGGGTTGACCACTTCAAGAACCTCGAGTTCTCACAGTGGCGTACGCGTTCTCGCAAACGCTCAACCGATACTGGCTCATGCGCCGACGCCGCTGCTGATATTCGGCGATTTTCTGTCGCTCCAACTCTTTTTGCTTATCCTAAACAATAGCAGAGAAGTTGGATTGATTTTAATTGAATGAAATGAATGAAATAGAAAATCTTGCCAACCGCATTGTAAAAGATCGCAGCTCCATCATCCGTTGCGTAAACCACAAATGGTTTCTTTCGTTGTTGAACAGCTCGATCAAAAAGCTCTTCATCATCATCTAAAAGAAAAGAATTCAAAAAATGAACACTAACACTCAAATTTTCTTGAATTTCTTACACTCAAGTGCAAATTTTATAAAAAACTATGCATGTGGCTTTTTTTGAGATTTGCCCCTTTTCCCATTGACAATTCAACTTTGAACTCAAATAACTTGGTGTTGAGTCGTATTGGTACCGTATTGGAACCGTATTGGACCGTATTGGAACCGTATTGGAACCGTATTGGAACCGTATTTGAACCGTATTTGAACCGTATTAGATCAAAATAGGAGCCGTATTGGTACCGTATTGGTACCGTATTGGAACCGTATTGGAACCGTTATGGAACCGACATTTTTGGAACCATTAGATGCGCCAAGTCTTTCTCTATAGATTGGTACAAAGACTATTCAAATTGGACAGCCCAAAACTAAGAGATTTGAGTTTAAAGTCGGATTGCCAATGGCAAAAAAAACCCCTAAGCCCCGTCCCTTTCACCATTGGCAACTTTGAGCTCAAAGTTCTTGGTGTTCAGCTGTTCAATTTAAATAGTTTTTATACCAATAGATAGGGAAAGATTTGGCGCATTTAATGATATAAAAGAATATTTCGATTGCACAGCTCAACACCAAGAAATTTGAGCACAAAGTTAGATTGCTAATGGGAAAAGGGGGGCGTATCAAAAGCTCGATTTTCTTTTTTTGAAGCTTCTTTCACAATTACCAAAGTGATCGAGTAAGCTTTGAGAAGAGTCATTATCTAAAATCTAACAATAAGGCTATTTGCAATCATTTCTACATCAAGAGCTTCATTTGCTTACCGTAAATACTGTAATAGTACCCCACCCCCCTCGTACAGTCGCGTAGTCGCAAAAGTTTTTTAGTATTTCATTTTTTCCAAAGCGCCCGTACTTTCAAAAAGTGCCTCTTTGGTATCAAAAAATAGCCCTGAATCCCAGCTATTTCTTGATACCTAAGCGAGCATTGTAGCATAAACCAGTGTCGAGAAAAACGCGTCCAAAGCTAGACTACGCAACACTCCGCACCGTCATTATCATTGGTATCAAAAAATAGCTGAAATTCAGGGCTATTTTTTGATACCTAAGCGAGCATTGTAGCATAAACCAGTGTCGAGAAAAACTCGTTCAAAGCTAGACTAACACTCCACACCGTCATTATGCGGGTGGGGTACTATTACAGTATTTACAGTAGGTTATTTTGCGTTTTGAACACAGTTTACCAGAAATATCGAGATCTTCTCTTCTGATTTTAACGGGTTTTCTTCTTGGCGACAAATTGTCATACGATGAGACCGACCCTGAATCTTTTTCCACTAAAATTCGTTATTTTCCTGTTCATAAACAAAATGATTAGTGACACAATAGGTTTAAAGCTTTTAAAGTTCGATTTAGAAAGCGGAAATGTTAGACGATTATTGGACGATCATTGGACGATCATTGACAGTTCATCAACTATTTTATTGGGTTGTCCAGTTCTGAATGGAGATTCATAACTGGACAACCCAATATATCACTAAGATCATAAGGTGATCGTTTGCCTCACCGAAATCTTTACCATTGATCACTGTCATTGGTAACTCTTCGTCAGCGAAACGGATTCGATCGCCACCCATTCTCATTCTTGAACGAAGTCGAGGATCCGATGGAGAAAAGGCTTCTACAATAGATAGAATTGTAAGTACCGTATTTCCTCTAATAGTAGTGCACCCCGGCGAGCCGAGTTGGTGGCTATTTTACGGTTTCCAAGCTTTTGCAGAAGCTCAACACTCTAATCATCGTCAATATCTCATTGTCAGCTACATTTTCCGACCCCACATCGATAGGTTCTGATAAGCGGTTCTCGAGATTTCGAGCAATTTAGGCGCCGCTCCCGGTGCACTACTATTAGAGAAAATACGGTAACAATGTAAGGCTTTAATTGCAATTTCAACACACCATTCCCATTTCCCATTGAGACAATTTTATTTAACAATGGCGATTGATGAGGAGAAGTTGAAGATCGGCGATCTTTCGGTGATCGATTTGGACTAAAAAAAGGATTTAAGAAAAGTCTATATGTCGCAGCCGATTATGAATTTCAGCCGATTATGAATGAGTTGGTCTAGGAGCGTCCAACCATCAAGTATTTAGTATCATTCAACACAGAAACATTAATAATTATGTTAAATTTTTGAAATTAGAAAGATTGGATAAAAAGAAAAAAAATTAGAGCAAAAAAACTGTTTGTTCAAGGGAAAACTTTGAAGCCCCATTTCATTTTTCATTTTTCATTTGTTTTGTATATTTGTGAATTGAATAAAGATTTTGAAGAGAATAAGCTATTGCTATAAAAGCTATAAGCTATTGCTATAAAAGCTATAAGCTATTGCTATAAAAGCTATAAGCTATTGCTATAAAAGCTATATGTCGTAGCCGATTATGAATGAGTGGGTCTAGGAGTGTCCAACCATCAAGTATTTAGTATCATTCAACGCAGAAACATTAATAATTATATTAAATTTTTGAAATTAGAAAGATTGGATAAAAAGAAAAAAAATTATGGGGCTTCAAAGTTTCCTCTTGAACAAACAGTTTTTTTCCTCTAATTTTTTTTCTTTTCATCAAATCTTGCTAATTTCAAAAATTTAACATAATTATTAATGATTCTGCGTTGAATGATACTAAATACTTGATGGTTGGACGCTCCTAGACCCACTCATTCTTAATCGGCTATGGGGATCCCGCCGATTTTGAATGAAACGTTGTAGCGCCGGCAATTTTTAACCTAAACTCACAAATTTGGTACCAATCGACGCAGAATTGAATTCGCTACAAGATGATATAATATTGTCCTCATACATTAAAGGGTTGCTCTACTAGAAAGATTTGCCAAAAAATTTCATTCATAATCGCCTACGACATTATCTTTATAAGATCTAAGAAATTGACTGACCTCTTTGGCGACTTCGAGATCGATTTCCGTCGATCACCCCCATTCTCCAGCCTCTCCATTTCCGTTTTCACCTCAGCCGACTCATTGTTGTTAACTGTATTACTTCAGAAATATTTTTTTTAAATCTTTTTACCTCTCGATTGCAAGAATTTCTTTGCCATTTCCCCATATTTCTCAGCTTTTCTCATGTAACTGTTTATGATGGCAAATTCGAGAAGAGCCATGAAAACGAAAAGCATACAAGCTGGAAATTGATTTCCTTATAAATAGATTACAATTTTAGCATACCTCCATACCAATAATCGATCGCTTTCGCGTAGCTGACTTGCGGTAGACCGAATCGAAGGCCATTACCCTGAAAATTTGTTGTCATGACTTTGGATTAATATTTTTCTATATTAAGAGATGAAAATGTTTAATTTCTATTGATAAATTCTCCTTTTCTTTTCAATTTCCTTGTTTTTTTTATTTTTGTTGTATTGTTATTGTTTTAATTGTCTTGAGATTTATAAATCTTTGACAGATTACAGATTAACATTCTTCCATATTAAGAGATCAAAATGTTTCATTTCTATTGATATATTCTCCTTTTCTTTTCCAATATCTCCTTGTCTTAAAATTTATAAATCCTTGACAGATTGTAATCCAGATTAACATTTCTCCATATTAAGAGATCAAAATGTCTCATTTCTCTTGATATATTCTCCTTTTCTTTTCAATTTCCTTGTTTTTGTTGTTTTTGTTGTATTGTTATTGTTTTAATCGACTTGAGATTTATAAATCTTTGACAGATTACAGATTAACATTCTTCCATATTAAGAGATCAAAATGTTTCATTTCTACTGATATATTCACCTTTTCTTTTCAATTTCCTTGTTTTTGTTATTTTTGTTCTATTGTTATTGTTTTAATTGTCTTAAGACAATGTCTTAGGACTTATAAATCCTTGACAGATCACAGATTAACATTTCTCCATATTAAGAGATCAAACTGTTTCATTTCTATTGATATTCTCCTTTTCTTTTCAAATCTTTCCTTGTCTTGAGATTTATAAATCTCAAGATCAGTTGTTATTGTTAATATTGTTTTAAATCTAAAAATCTTCTCTTCTTTTAAATCTCTTCAATAGTTGATTGATTTTTCTTCACTTTCAAGTTGTCAAATATCAGAAAAAAGGTGATGCTAGTGTTAAAAAGAGTTTTGGGAAAATGTTTAAACTTACAGCATTCAGCTGGGTTTTAAAACTCAAAAAAGTCAGCTGCTTAAGATAGTTAGAAAAGAAATCTATTGAAACTCTTTTCTTTGGATGACTGGCTAAGATTTATGAAGATTTTAGAATCCTTGACACATTTATAAATCTCAAGACCAGCTCTCACCAATGTTGTCAATGAGACGAGTGTGGTGAATGAGAGAGTGACACGAGCGGGGACAGCTGCAATTGTTTAAACAATGAACAAACTAGAAGTCAAATGATTAGTAAGCGCAAAAGGCTAAACTAGATAGTAAACTAGAAAAGTATAAGCTTCACAAGGCTTACCGTCGAGGGTAGCTGTAAAATTTAGAAATGATAAGGTGAGGAAATTAGAAAATAGATTTCACCTCTTCGATCGATCCAAAATGAGACCCAAGAGATCATAACGATGAGACCAGTTGGGATAAAACTTTGAACAAGATTGTATCCGATCGATCTTGCTAAGTGAATATCCCCTAGCAAGCAGCTGAATACATCTGAAAGGCATTTAAAAGAAATAAGGCATTTGAAAGAAACAATTGAAAGAGATAAGCCATTTGAAAGAAACACTTTCCCCAATCACTTACCAACTTTATATCGATTACTCATGACGGCATATCGATACGTTCCATTACAATATGATGGAGTGACAGCGGTGATGTTGAACTCGGGTAAGCCAATTGATGGATTGAAACGGATCGGTGATGTGTCGAACCAGCTCACATTCACTTGTTTAGCAATGTAGGCGTCTGAAGTCAAAAGCTATATAATTTAGGCTTCAAATTCATTCATTCTAAGTCATTTTTTGTGTTCTTTCCGAAAAAAAACAATTTTAAAACGATTTGAAGCGTCTCAAAGTCAGATTTCTCTAAAACTCACAAAAAAAAATTCTTCTTTGATTCAAGTGCCTAAAAGTTAGATAAAATTACAGTATTCTTTAAAGTATGATAGCCATCTTGTAGAGTTTAATGAGAGCTTTCAGATGGTATATAGCACTTATAAATACGATGTTGACATCTAAAGTTACAAGCCATCAAAGAAACATCCCTTTTTTGATGGGATATACCGGTTTCGAGGGGATTCAAGTGCCTAAAAGTTAGATAAAATTACAATATTCTTTAAAGTATGATAGCCATTTTGTAGAGTTTAATGAGAGCTTTCAGATGGTATATAGCACTTATAAATACGATGTTGACATCTAAAGTTACAAGCCTGCAAAGAAAAAGCATCACTTTTTCGATGGGATAACCGGTATCGTAATTGTAAGTTATCCTTTTTGCTTTAAAATCAAAGAGAATTGCAATCAATGCACTAGAAAGGATTTGTTTACGTTTAGATCACAAAGTACAGAAAGAATGTGTTTACGTTTTGTTCACAAAGTATTGGGTTGGTGGAAAAGTCCTTTAGGATTTTTTGGGAGAGTACCTTAAATTTGTCGAATTTTGACGTTTTATAGCTCATCCTAAAGCTGAATTCAAGACGGATCGATTGGTAAAAACCGTTTTGAGATATCTCTTTTCTAAAAGTTTTTACAGCTATTTTAGTAAAGGGCGGCATAGCCAAAAAATGGCTGTTTTCACGGCTGTTTTCACGTTTCATTTTTTCACGTTTCATTAGTTTTCCGTGCAGAAAACTAGGCTAAAAACATGTGTTTCGTGATCAGCGTCAAAAATAACCCCTAGACACCAGAAACCCCTAGACAAGGCTATTGATCTGAGGGGACAAGGCTTACAGCCATTTTTTGGCTCTGCCGAAACATCTTCGGAAAATGGGAAAAGTTCAATTGTTATTATGGTAAAGTACAACAAAAAAAACGAGAAAAACGAAGGAAAATCGCGAAAAGCGGCGGAAAGGCTATTGATCTGAGGGTCGCTGGTTCGACTTCCACCGGTGACAATATTTTTCAAAAATTTTTGGCTAAGATTCTGAAAATGCGTGTCTAGGGGTTATTTTTGACGCTGATCACGAAACACATGTTTTTAGCCTAGGTTTCTGCACGGAAAACTAACGAAACGTGAAAACAGCCATTTTTTGGCTCTGCCGCCCTTTACTAAAATAGCTGTAAAAACTTTTAGAAAAGAGATATCTCAAAACGGTTTTTACCAATCGATCCGTCTTGAATTCAGCTTTAGGATGAGCTATAAAACGTCTAAATTCAAAATTGGACAAATTTAAGGTACTCTCCCAAAAAATCCGAAAGGACTTTTCCATCAACCCAATACAAGAACGATCCTTTCAAACTTACACGAAAGAATTTGAATTCCACACGTTTGCACATCCATCGGATAATTCTGAAGCTCAAGATTGCAACTGATCTGCATCCTGAAATAATGATTCTTTAAGAAAAATATCTAATCTTACGTAAATCTACATGAATAAGCAACAGTGCCATCATTTGCAATAAACATATTAAAATTTGGCACAGTTACATCGTGAGCTTTTGACTTGATGGCGTTAGCGAAGTAGAGATCGGGTAGCCTTAACAATATAAGAATTGATTGATTGCGATTTAAACTCACCACATTTGTTGTCTAATATTGTCATCATTCACTAGAACATAGTCAGGGAAATTGTGCCTCAATCGCCAATCCGTCCATGACATATAAGCGTACATATCGACATCGAATGACTGAAAAGGTTTTTAGTTGGTAAAGATCCACAATTTCTTTGAAAAAGTACTAGGCATATGAATCTTATATAATACTATAATATATCAGCAGGAGAAAGCAAAAGAATTGGTGGCGAGAGGAGTCGAACCCGCGACCTTTGTTTAGGGCTTTGTCTCCCGTTTGTTTTAGAGCCGAGCACGTTAACCACTCGACTATGCCCTGATGGCAGATGGCGCAATGCGAGCTCATTTGTCTCTAGCCCACACGACCTGGGTTCGACTCCCGCTCGTGTTGCCACTCTTCGTTTTAAAAATTTAAAAACATGTTCCACAACTACATGGAATTCTAAATGAAACAAACTATAAGCGATTTGAAACGGTCAACTGGGTGCAGAGGAGTAGACAGACAAACATAGAGATAAACATACAGACAAACCTACAGACAAACATACAGACAGACATACAGACAAACAAACATACGGACAAACATACGGACAAACGTACAGACAAACGTACAGACAAACGTACAGACAAACATACAGACAAACATACAGACAAACATACGGACAAACATACGGACAAACGTACAGACAAACGTACAGACAAACGTACAGACAAACGTACAGACAAATATACAGACAAACGTACAGACAAACATACAGACAAACCTACAGACAAACATACAAACACTATAGAGTAGATAATATAATATTATATATAATCAATATAATGATTCGTAGCAACTTCAAGAACTTGGGCTGTAACTGGTTTTATCTCAAAAACTCATTATTTTATGGTTCATTTGTAAAAGCAAAGTTGAAAGATGAATTCGAATCACCATTTCTTCAGCTCGAAAATTGCCAATACTTTCGAGATAAAAGCCAAGTCGAACACCAAGTGGATTTGACGTGTTCTGATTGGGCAATCGTTTATTCGTATTCTCAAGAATATCGGTTATTGTTGAGAATTGAGCATTCGTGCAATAGAATAGTTGGTGAATGAAGAGAAGGAATCTAAAATTTTCATTGTTTCATTTCGTAATCTTCAACTCTTATCGAACTTCTTGAAATCTTTGTTCAATCAGAATCGTTGTTTAGCTTGATTTCTATTCTTTGAATGTTCATTAAAGTGTTTTTGCTTTTCCGAGAGTTCAACCTCTCTTTTCCATTAGTGACTCTTTCTTTTCTCTCTTCCTTTTCTCTCTTCCTTTTCTCTCTTCCTTTTCTCTAGGGAGTTCCTAATTTTAGTCCCTCTTTGACACTTTTTTTTGTGTCTGGTCAGTAGACATGTGTTGATTTAAGAAATAAAAACTAATACTCAAAATAAACCGAGAAACGGATTGATCGGATTGAGGATTTGGTCATGAATTGACTTAGTGAGCATTCTGAGCATTCTGATTTCTAGCAATCTCATTTCTAGCATTCTAATTTCTTTCAATTCTTTCCAATTGTAAAACTCACATGAAAACATCCATCGTTACCACCAAAGCATCACAGAAAAGAATCTAGAAATGTTTTAAAACAAAAAGCTTTTAAAGATATTGATGAAAGAGTTGTTGAATTCGAAAAACTCACTAAATGAAAACCAATTTAGAGTTTTCTCTTGAACACCTACAAAGAGAAAGATTTCTTTAGGAAAAAAAGATGAAAGAGTTCCCAAATTCAATTGAGTTAAAAGTGTTGAAAGTATAAAATAAATCTTTTTTCACTTAAAGCATCAAAAATTAAATAAGGAAGGAATGTTTGAAGGAAACGAGCCACTGATGAGCCACTGATGAGCCACTGATGAGCCACAGAAGCACAGATGAGCTACTGATGAGCCACAGAAGCACTGATGAGCTACTTATGAGCCACGAAAGCACAGATGAGCCACTGATGAGCCACAGAAGCACTGATGAGCTACTTATGAGCCATAGAAGCACAGATGAGCCACTGATGAGCCACAGAAGCACAGATGAGCCAATGGGGAAATTTGTGAATTGAAGATCAATTTGAGAAACAATAAGATTTGAATGGTTTAGAAAAATATGCAGAATTTTGATCTAATATTTTCAAAGTGATCCAAATAAACTTTGTGCTTAAGAATTGCAAACTTTCCTAGTACAATTGACTTACAATTGACACTCAATTGTTCATTCTTGAGACGCTCAAGTTGGAAGATTGGGGACTCAGAAAGACTTTTTTGAGACTCATTTTTGAGCACAAAGTAGCTCAATTAAAGCTAAATTTTGATTCTTTAAGTCATTTCAAATAATAATTCATCATAGATTACTAAAAAGTATAAGTTTATAGCAAAAGATATTTTGGGAACTGAACAATTTCCTCGCTTTTCTCTAAATCTTCAATTTCCTCAAAATTGCTTTAAATTGGCACTTCCGCTCGAAGTGAAAGATTTTTGAGATTTCAAAAGAAAGAATAAGTTTAATAAAAGATTTCAAACAGTTAATTACATGTCAACAATGTTTTTATTTTATTGATTCTATCGATCAGAAACTTTTTGAGATAAGTTTAGAGAAGTAGACAAGAGAAGTAGACTAGAGGAGTAGACTAGAGGAGTAGACTAGAGGAGTAGACAAGAGAAGTAGACTAGAGAAGTAGACTAGAGAAGTAGACTAGAGGAGTAGACTAGAGAAGTAGACTAGAGGAGTAGACTAGAGAAGTACACTTGGTTAAGGCTTAAGGCTCGTTAAGGGAAACTTAAGGCTTGTTAAGGGAAACTAGAAGCTAGCAATCAATACTATAAACACATTTGTAGTACAATACACAACAGCTAACTCTAATGAAAGATCCGAATGAGGCTCTAACTGTAAGCCAGACTAAACCTGATCAGATTAAAAGTAAAGTTTATTACCTGGCTTTTCAGGTTTTTTTTGTATCAGCAGTAAACTTAGACAGGCTTAGACAAGGCCAAGTGAAAGCTGCTGTCTTGGTTCTGCCTTGCAAGCTTAATAGGACAAGGCCAAGTGCCCCTTGAGCTAATGGCAGGCCAAGTGAGCTGCTAGGCGGCCGGTGGCGTCTTGGTTGCTGGCCTTGCAAGCTTAATAGAAGCAAATGATCAAACTAAGAAAATAACGAGTTTTAAAATTCATCAATCATCAAAACGTGAGCTTTGATCTAGGGACTGAAAGTCTGATCTCAAAAATCATCTCTTTGGTCTAGTCTTTGTCCATCAACCAACTGTTTCTTTTCTTTTTTTCTTTTGCTTTTTCCATTGCCTTGAAAGTTTTTCGAAAAAGACCTGGGGGTGGATGCAATTGATAAATCACTACCAATTCCAACAAAAAACCAAAAAAAACAGCAGATTGGGATCAATATTAGAGAAACAAGCTAAATCGTGTGAATTCCAGCCAGAAGAACTTCGATTACAACATCAAAACATTCAAACAAAGACTTGTAAACATCAAATTTTCTATTAAAAAAACTCATGAATTCTCAGCAACGTATAAAAATTCAAAAGGTATTTTTCGTTTTTCCAACTTTGTCTCCATCTTTCGAAAGCAAATTGAATAGCCGCAAAGAGTTGTGGAGGATTTGGGGGAAAGCAAAGGCAGTGTTTGTTCTTGGATAAAACTTGGAAACAAGGGTTTTGGGAATTTGTGATTTTTTGAGAATCTTGTACTTGGCTTTTGGTTTCACAGGAAGACCAATTGCAACAACTACTCGAACTACTTCAACTACTCGAACTACAACAACTACTTCTCAAAGACCAATTGCAACAACCACTCGAACTACTTCAACTACTCGAACTACAACAACTACTTCTCAAAGACCAATTGCAACAACTACTCGAATTTTGTTCATCATATATAAGTAGATTCATTTTTCTTTACCTCTTTCTACAAAACAATCTTTTCTTTCAAGAACAGAAAAAGTCTTGGATCTAGTTGGGGGGAAATTCTTTGGATATACGTGGCTTAGTCAGGTGCGAAAAGATTGTGTGTGAGAAAAGAGGAGATCAAATTTCAGGGGAGCGATTTTCTTTGGAAAAAAATATGATTTGAAACCGATGTGGTCGAAGGGTGAGTTTAAACTTTTTTCTCTGAGGTGAAAGGGCGGAGAAAGGATAAGAGAAACGAAGCATTTAAAAGTGATTTCTTGGTGGAAAAGGTGAATTTGGTGAAAGAATGATTTTGGTTATCGTTTAAGTACAAATTTCAGTACAAATACAAATTTTTACAAATTTTTACAAATTTTAAGAGTTTAAGCTTTAAAAAACAGATAGAATTGAAATTTTGATTTCATTCTTTAATGCAAATAACAATTAGATTGGATTCTATTCGAAATTTCGTTAGTTAAAACAATTCTTAAGGCAAAAACCCATGATGTGCATTTTCTATAGATAAGGTGTGGACACTTGACACTTTTTGAAGGTTTCTTTTGGCTTGGATCCATTAGATGGGCGGTCGGATTATATGGATGAAAAGAGAAAGGGAAAAGAAGTAAAAAGAAAGAGCTCAAAAATGGAAGAGATGGAAGAGATGCGTCGAGGGAATTTCAGAAGAAAGAGACCATTTGAGATGTGTGCAATTGAGCAAAAATCAAAAGGGCGAACACGAGATGGTTTCAAATGAAAAACATTCGAAAATTTATATAAATGTAGCTTTTAAAGAAAGAAGAAACGCTGAAATTTGTAATTAACTTTTACGCTTTAAACTCTAAGCAAGTCATTTAGATTCATGGCTTCATGCAATACGGGACAAAGTTAATAAGCAGAATCAAGATTTGGTTGTCTCAGAAATCTGTTACAAATGTATAAGTCAATGAGCCAAATTATAGAGCTAATGGAAAGTGAGCCTGTTATAGCTAAATGCAAAGTGAGCCCGTTATAGCTAAATGAAAAGTGAGCCTGTAGAAGAACAGCCAAAAACTCAAATTCCGCTAATTGTAATTCAGTCAACACATTTCACCCAGCACGAACATCAACACTCATAAAACATTCTGAACTGCTAAAGTTCTGCTAAATTAGAACCATTTGAAGTTTTTTGCAGGTCTCTTGCGTTCTCTTTTCTTCTCCTCTAAATCATGGTAGCACATAAAGCTGGGGGCTCACTCACGAAAAAAGAACCCCCGCACGCAATACGCTCGAATTCTAACCCGAAAAATGGAGCCTATTCTCAAGAAAAGAAGCGTTTTGATGTATGAAATTGTTGTCTGTCGAGAAATTGGGATACAAAGCATTCATCAAAAAACCTAGCAACAGTAAAAAAAATGGATAGATTTGCTTGACAACCATTTCATTAACAGACTTACATTTCTAAGCTATAAATCTGCTAAATCTTACAACGTCTAAAGAATCTGTGGCTAGTTCTATCGAAAATTGCAGATCCTTGTACAAAGACCTAGATAAGAATAAGGGAACTCACCAGAACTCAAACAAAAACATTATTTTACCTTTTCGCTTTTTTTCAACAAAATATCTATGTTTCTCGACATGTGCTTCTTTTCTTGCGAGAAACATAAAGACTCGAAGAGCGCAAATAACTTCCGTCCGATAGACGAGAACATTTATCATCTGAAATACCCTAAACCCTTGCCTAAAAAACAAATCTTTCACAATAAATTTATTATTTAAGAGGCTTCTAAAAAATAGGTGAATGTAAAAATAGTAATATACCAGTACAAGTATCACAAATTTCAAATAAAGTAAAACAACGCCAACCTGCGCTATAGCTGGATAGAACTATGGCATCCTTTCTAACGACAAATGAATGACTCTAAAGCCTACGAATTAAACTTTTTTGGCGTTTCAACAAGATCATCAAATAAGTCGTTCAGTTCTGAACTTTGAGAAGACTCTTGTTTGACCAACGATTCATTCTTGTCACATTCTATGTCCACACTGAAATTATATAATGTGAAAATGTTTAAGCATAGAAGCTATACTAATGAAACTAATGAACTCTTAAACTTGTAAGCACAGATATCACTTATGATTGCTGACTTAAGCTTTTGAAACTTCGCTCTTTTATCTCAGTTGTTGACTGCAAACTACACTTCCGCATTGAATTTTATCAGATCCCCACAATTCGATTCGATTGAATAAAAAACAACCGCTGAGTCAATTGTTTGCACACTCGATTCATTTCATCAAGCACCTTCAACTATCCCAGCCAAGAGGTGGCCTTACCCTAGATTTTCAAATGTTCAGCTTCGAATAGTGCCGCAGCGAACCTTATCTACCTCAAACTATTACAGTTAAGGCTTTGGGTTGCCAAGGAAATGTTTTGATGTTACAGAGTTCTCGTTGCCACAAGATAGTTTGCACGTAAAACAATACCCTGCAGGAAGGATTTCTGGCTTTTCTGGAACATTTCTGGAAGTGTCCATTCTTCGTGTCGGCGTCAAATCAACTTCGCTTTCCTCGTTAATTGACAGTCTAAATCAATGCTTAAATAAATTAAATCAATAAAAATAACACCAACTCCGCAAATGACCGTTGAAATGTTTTTAGAGTCTTATCGTCGATCGTTTTGATTTTTTTTGGAGTACAATTCATTGGTGCGTGTAAATCGGATATCCAAACATCATCGTCTTCGATGGTTATTCTAAAAGTAATAAAATTAAATTCTTTAATTGGTGTATTCGAGTATCCGATCTTCAAAAAAAAATTCAAATTATCATTGGGATTGAAAAGGCCTTAAAATTCTTTGCTAATACCAACTCTTTTGGATCGGCACTTCTCCTAGCACTCAGGTTCCACTTTGTTGCCGATACGACGTTATCGGATTCTTCATTAATCTCCATATTTTCACCATTATGATCGTCTTCTTTGTGAATTGGTGGGCGAACTAGAAACATCAATGGCTAAGCATATGTTGAAAGCCTACCTTGTTTCGTGACAATATCGCAACTTCCACAAAGCTCGGCATTCATCTATAACTAAAAATTTCAGTCAAGTTTTGTAGTTCACCTTATGCGATAAAGCTCGTTGACTCTGCTGTTGAAACTCCTCAAGATTTTTGCGAGTCTCCTGTTCATTCTTTGTCTTTTGCACTTTCGGTCGTGGTGGACGCTTACGACTGATGTAACTAAAATAAAGAATAAATTAAATTTCTTTAACTACTAACTCTTACCGTAAATACTTTAGTTGAACGCCCGGGCGTTCTATTAGAGGAGGCGTTCTATTAGAGGAGGCGTTCTATTAGAGGAGGCGTTCTATTAGAGGAGGCGTTCTATTAGAGGAGGCGTTCTATTAGAGGAGGCGTTCTATTGGAGGGGGGCTTTTTTAAAACTTTTTTTTACTTTCTGAAAGTTGAAAATAAAAGCAAAAAGCTCAATTTTCTCGTTCGAGCGCCTTTAATAAACGCAAATCCAATCGCGGCTACGGTAATTAGGACACGATTTAGGTGACAGTCGTTACATTGGGCTTGTTCTTGGAATTTACAAGTTACTAGACTTGACCATCGAGGCCTTATCGAGGTCTCGATATCAATGAAGTCTCGATAATCATGTTACAAGTCCTTTACTGATTACACCCCATTTCTTTAAAGGGACAAAGTATTGCACAAGATGTGTTTTCATTCATTGTGTTGCCATTTTCTTGAAAACCCAAAAGATTGTAATCTGTTGTCTCTACAGTTTTAAAGTAGACATCGAGACAAACATTTTGATCTATAGCAGCTATGAGATAAAGTAAAAATTGAAGTACATAATGATCTTCGAATATCAGATTTAAGGCAATTAAAATTTAAAATAAAATTTAAAATTTACCGTTCCTTTAATTGTCTCCTCTTCTCGATCGCTTTTCCAAGAGCCTCTGCTTCGTCTTTGTTGGTTTGATGAGCTTCATTTGTTTCTTCAGCCAGCGGCACTTTCCTGCCATTTAGCTCAACTGCCGGCTTTGGTTTTTCTAAATAATCAAGTCACTGTTAATATTAACAATTTTTGACCTTACTATCGCACACATCAATTACAGAAGTCCGAAGTCGTATCTTAAAACATCTTTCAAATCACCCAACCTCTCTTCTCCTTTTTCGCGTTTTTCGGTCGTTCAGCTTTCTTGTCAACTTTCGCGTCCTTTCCGTCACACGATCCCTCGAAGTCGTCGAAGACATTACTGTTGGAGCTTGTCGTCGTCGCGGGTGTGACATCGGTGGGACAAGGTTTTCGCTAAATTTTAAATGAAAATGACAAAAAACGATAATACCTTGAAGTTTGGAATCTTTTCAACCACGGATTCATCCTTAAACTTTCCAGTGAGCAGATTGTTGGAAGAGTTCTAAATATAATATATTGTTATCAATTTCTAACAAGTTTTGTACTTTGAAATCATATTATAGTAGGTTCCCGACGATAAGATTTACGACGCCGGTTGGGGGCCCACTTTTTTTCAAAAGACACTTTTTCTTTTGCAGAAAGACATTTTTTCTGGGGTAATTTTTAACGCTGATTCCGAATTTCAGCATATTAAGTCCGCTAAATAAGTTTTAATCTCAGAAAAGTCCTTCTAAGATGTTCCTTTTTGGCACTTTAAATGCAAATTTTAGTCAGGTTGATTAAAAGTGCTACGCTCTAATAAGCCTTAACAAGTTTCTACGACTGGTTGGCTCACATGGGTGTCCTCCACAAGAAGCGTTCATGCCCCGTCTGCAACACAGCAAACATGAAGCGATACCCGCACAAGAGTGGCTACCACTGGGAGTGCAATGCTCGTCAATGTCGTCCCCGCCAATCAGGGGCCAAGCCCCACATCGGTTACTTCCTTAGCACGTTCGTCGAATCGACCCACATCACCATAAAGAAAGCCTTTCAATCCGCCTATCTCTACCCCATCAATACGGCATCCATGCTGACATTGCTCACGGTGTGGTCAAACAATGGGAACAATCGACTCGAAATGTCTTCAGTTCGTGGTTCATTCAACATCCTCGACAAATCGGTATTTAGTGGGCTTCAGATCTTGAAATTCGAAATCAGCGTTAAAAATTACCCCAGAAAAAGTGTCTTTCAAGAAAAAAAAGCGCCCCCAACCGGCGTAGTACCAAGAAATATTTATAAAATACCTCCTTGATCAAATTTGTATTCTGCTTCGTGATCTCTAGGTTGTTTCTCTCTAGCCAGCTTGTCATTCTACGTTCTTCCTCCAATTGCTTCGTCAATCTTTCAACCTTCATTTGTGCTTCTGCTTGAATCGCATTTGCGTGATCCTTTAGGGCGAGAATTTCCTGAAGAAACGATAAACTATGAGACATTACGTTTGCATTACCTGATTTTTCTCTTCAATAAGTTGTCTATGCAAATTCAGCTCAATTTGTAGATCATTCTCTTTGTTTTCTTCCTGAGAAAATGAGAACATGTTCTTAAAAAAACATTAAGTTAATTGCTGCAACGCGTCAAACTTTTTCAGCAATGTACATATGAGCTGCTACTTCCTCTTCGTCGCTAAAGTTGAGTGTTCGGGCTCTTTGTACGGATCGGCGAACTTCTTCCGATGGCAGATATATAGTGCGGCGGCGGCGTTTGGTAAATTCTTTTGGAGTTTGCAAAGCCTATAACTTTCAACTTTTTTTTATTCCGTTATAATAAATTTACAACTCGCTCATCTTCAAAACAAAGCTTTGTTTTCGAAGCGTCGATTTCGGCGCTCTGTTTCAGCGTCAACTGTTTTAACTCTTGGTTTTCTTCTTGAAGCTTTTGTAGCATTGCTTTGTATTCTAAATCACAGCAACACATAAGTAAGTAAATGATTACGCACCTAAATTCCAAGCGTCGATTTCGGCGCTCTGTTTCAGCGTCAACTGTTTTAACTCTTGGTTTTCTTCTTGAAGATTTTGTAGCATTGCTTTGTATTCTAAATCACAACTACACAGTAAACAAGTAAAACAAGTAAATAAATGAGTACGTACCTAATTGTGCGTCTTGGAACTGCTGATTCAGGTTGTTCACTTTGTTGCTCAAAGCCATCACTGTGTTGCCAGTAATTTCCATATTAACCTAAAGAAAATTGGCATATATTTTTAAAAGATGGTACTTGGAGATGGTTTTCAATCGTACGGCAGTCACGAGCGAATTGCAAAGAAGATATGATGTCCGTCAAATAACTAAATTTTAATATTTTCTACATAGAAAAGCAAACTAACCTTTTCCCCGAATGAACCGTGACAACAATGGATGTGCGCGCTTTTCCGCCAAGCGAATCCTTCAAGAAGAGAGTGAGCTTCGAGTCCCTGTAGCTGATGACCGACTTCTTTTCTGACAGCTGCCGCATTACACGGGCAAGGCATGTCAAGCTCTAGACACAAATGTAAAAACAAATTTTTGCAAACTAACTATGTTGATGGCGATTCCCTCTTTAAACTGCTCGGACCCTACTTCCACGCCAGTTTGTGCAATGCGTTCCGATCCAGCCAAGTCAACGAGGTGTAGCTTTGAGGTGCGCCGCTCCGCAAGGTCGCCGATAAGTTCTTCCGTTGTAAGCTGAAACAAAAAGTGAAATCTTTATCACAAAATAACCTCGATCAGGAACACGCAGTGGGATCGACTCGATGCTCTGTTCATCTTCGTTTCCGCCGTCTTTCTTGCATTCCATCCTTCGGAGAGAAGCTAAACTAATAGTTTGCTAATCTAAAATTAAATTTACTTACCTCCAGAGCTTCCGCTGTCGAAGTAACCTTGAACCGCTTGGCATTCAATCCCGTCGATGTACGAAATTGAAGCTAAACAAAAGTAAACTTTTTTTCAGGAGCACCTTTCCTTACCTTTACGTTTCCATCCAGCAAGTCATACCATTCCTCTTGATACAGCTGCACATAACAGATGTGCATTTCGCTTTGGAATTCGCCTTTGGTCAGCTAAGAAAGAAACGGGTTGATTAATAACTATTCAAAGATCCAAACCTGGTCGGTCTTGGCTTTCAGAAAACTGAAGAGATCGTCGATGCACCTTGGAATTATGCCTTGATCGTTGGCCTGGATAGTAGAGAAGTCATCAATTTGTGAAGGGCCCACCATCGTGTACGTTTTACCTAAAACAAGCTTTCACTCAAAATAGTCAAAAGTTTTAACAACGTGCGCCAAAAGCTTACCACTTCCAGTTTGCCCGTATGCAAATATTGTTCCGTTGAGTCCAATCGTGATTCCATCGACAACTTTCTTTCCTAAAGCTGCATAGACGTCTACCTAAAGGAAAAGAATAAAAAAAATCGACTTTGTTGTTTTGACAAGTTTAAGCATTATTAAAGTTTAGAGAAGCACGATTTTTGCAGACTAGTTTAGGACCCTTTGCATGGTGTCTAGTTTGACAACCGTACTCTAACTACTTTTTATTATACTGTGAAAATAAATACCTGTGAGGTCGTCCAGTCAAAGGCTCTATCCATCTTGTAGTCGGTTTTCTCCAACTTGACCGTTGAGCCGCTCGTTTCCACCACCCGATCGTTCCCATCACGTGCTCGGACACAGACAAAAACCCGTTCCATCCCTAAAACTCGCAGTTTTGAGCTGACCAAAAGGAAAACAAAATCAAAACACATTCAATCAAGCAAATAAGAAAGCATTCTAGTTGAGATGGTGCGTATATCATGCGCTAACTAACAATTTTAAGTGATTTGCTATACATTTCGAGTGTTATCCCTTTTTTTTCGATGCTTTTTGCCCATAACTTTCTTCAAACTTAACTTTTTCGACTGATTTAGTTATCATTTTATTTCTTACATTAAAACAAATCTAATGATCTCATGAATCTGATGAAGTTTGAAGAAAGTTATGAGCAAAAAACGTCGAAAAAAAGTGTCCCCCTAGGGGGGGACACTCGCTATGTATAGTGATGACTTGCGTTATCTTTTGAATAAGTTGTGCCGTTTCAGTTTTTCTAATGTGCGGTCGAAATGAGAGTATGTATTCAAGATTTAGCAGGCAAGAAGGCGACAAGCCTAGCGGAAGCGAACTGGGATTCATTTGGAAAAGCCCACGGGGCTAGACGGGTTGGGGGGCAAGTTTGTTTTTCTAAAGAAGTAGTAATATGTGAGTTTACACAGGTTCTCCAAATCATCTCGAGCCTTCTACACGAAGAAAGTCAATACGTGCCGATCGACACAAGTCTTTTAAATTGGGTTTTGTCTTCTTCAACATACGTTCCAACGGTAAGTGATTTCAATTATCGATTTTAGTTAGTTGGAGTTTGTAGATCACTCGTGCGTTTGAAGCCAATCAAGATCATCCCAGTAAACAAGAGCTAGAAACTACTACCTGTGACTTCGACAAGTATTTTCGTAGAGACAAACACTTCGATATCTTTTGTAAATTAATCTAGCATTTGTGAAAGAAAGATTGTGTATGTGTTTTATAAATTTTATTTTATACTACCGTAAATACTTTAATAGAACACCCCCAATAGGAGCGTTGCGTAGTCTAAATATACATTCAAACAAACGATCATATCATATCTATGATCGCTTGTTTGAGTGTACATTTAGGGATGTAGTTAAAACAGCGCCGTAAAATTTCTCACGATCCAAAAAATTAAGCTGGTTCAAGTTTTATGCCAAAAAATTCCTTGCGCTCTTCGCTACATGATGGGTGTAACAGTTTTTTTAAAAAGATCTTTCGAGACGCATTTTGAACGCTAATTTTATCTATGATATATTAACTAACTTTTAAAAAACTGTTTCACCCATCATGTAGCCAAAAAATTGTGAGAAATTTTACTGTTTTGAACGTTTTCTATTCGGCGCTCTTAATTTTAAATAATTTAATTTTAATTTTAAATTTTAATTACACCCCTAAATGTACACTCAAACAAAGCATCACCGAATTGATATGATCGTTTGTTTGAATGTATTCCTAGACTACGCAACGCTCCTATAGGGGCGTTCTATTGGAGCATTTACGATCCTGTATATGCATTGAAAAAATTTGTAACATGTTTGATGCCGAAATAAATATAAAATAACAAAATTAATTGTATTTGCTATTCAAATTCTTTATCGCATTTGCAGAAAAAGCGAAAATTTAATTGGAATTAGGGTATGTTCATGGCGACTAGTGCATTTCCCAAGCGTAGCTATTTTTAAAAATGCACAAGAAATTTCCTTTCGAACTTTGTACTTTGTGCTCGCAAAACGGTGCACTCGCTTTTGAGAAAGACATTGTTTTCAATGGGCACAAGTCTGCCGGAGATCTCGAAAAAGGAAATTGTTAAACCAACAAAATTCTCCTCAATGAGGTCATCCGTTCCATCAACATCGACTCAAAATGATTTGATCAATCCGATGGTGAAAACATCACCACCAAAGAAGGTGAGTTTTAAAAAATTCACTAAAAATTCAATTTCAGGAAAACATTTTTTTCAGATCCAAAAATGACTCACCCAAACCGGCCCCAACTCCACCAACAAAGGCGTCTACGTCCCGGGAATCGGCTTTGCTGCTCAAAAAGAGCAACCCGTACAAGAACTCTGGAACCACGTTGTACCGAAGAAAAGATTCGGAGCTGAAGGATCGAAGACTGGAATCCCGCCGACAACCCTTTTACCACCAACAGCTCAAGTGGAGACACCGAGTACAGGTTGGTTCAGAGAAAACAAACCACTTTGAAGCTGTGCTTTTAGCTACCGTCCTTGTTCCGGAGATCTTGGACATTGGCGGAAACAATTCGAAAATGGAAACAGGAACGAGAGAAGAAAGCTTTCTGCAAGACAAAAATTTCGAATGATTGCTATTGTCCATGAGAGAATGGGATCATTCAAGTCTTCGATGGGAAGCCAGTCGAGTGAGTTTTGATAAGGTTTACAAAATGATAGGGTCTTAAGTCTTGTTCATCTTTGATCTACGAGCACACTGTAGCTAATTAGAAGTATACAAAGTATAGTATACTAAAAGCTTTCAATTTACTTCACAGACTACGATAAAAGTTCATCATTCCCAAATTTAGACCCGGCACTCTTCCACCAATTCCCAAGCTGCGAATCTCCCGAAAGATCCTGGCCCAATTCCCGGAAGAACCAAACAATCAATCCGATGTGGAAAATTACCAGATAACAAGAAAAATTAAAAGAAGAAGAAAAACAACCGATGAGAATTCGGATTGGAGAGGATGGACAGGGAATAAGACGAGGAAACAACAAAGGAAAGAAAGGAATATGCGGAGGAGGAGCAGTCGATTGTGGGTTTTCGCAACTTTGAGAACCAAATTTATTGGCAGTTCTATAGTTTTAGCTTCCCAGTAAAAAAAGTGAAACTTTGAAACATAAAGACTCGAAGAGCGCAAATAACTTCCGTCCGACAGACGAGAACATTTATCATCTGAAATACCCCAAACCCTTGCCTAAAAAACAAATCTTTCACAATAAATTTATTATTTAAGAGGCTTTAAAAAAAATCGGTGAATGCAAAAATAGTGATAACCTAACTAATAACAAATGTCTGACAAACTAATACACGGCTTTTACCTTACAGCTGTTGCGAATATCAAATACAAAACGAGAAGAACAAGGAGAATTTGGAAAATGTTTCACATTCATCAACAAAAAAGTGTATAGAACAGTGGGGGCTCAGAGAAGCGTTTTTAACTAAAGTCGGAAGCCACAATCAATCGAAAAAAATTTAAGCTTTACATTATTGAGCAAATTCCTCCTCGTTTCTTGTTTTTCTTCTGTTTCTTCATATGATGGTTGTTGAAGACATTGGCGACGATATCTCCAGGAAGCTCCGAGAACTAAAAGCAATCAGAAGATTAAGATAATTTTCTTCTAACAATAAACTCGTCTCTTCTAAAGGATAAGCGTTTTCCAACAATAAACTTGTTTAGAAAGATAATAAGGATAATTTTTACTTTTAATCATCAATTTTTAAATGCTTGAAGCATAAAAAATTACCTCCATTGTCGAAAGATCATAATCGCTGAGATTGGCAATTCGATCAACGATAAGGCTCATCGTGTGGGAGTTCGAGTCGTCTCCCAATTCCCGAGCTGCCTAAAGCAACCATATTAATTTCGTTTACAAAACTAAACAAACCTGCACAAGTTTATTTCTATCGAAGTTCTTGACGGCGTTTTTGAGGAAGATGTTGCATCGTGCTGTCACCGTGGGCATCTTGAAAAGCTTGGAGAGTCGGTAAACGATGAGAATGTTGTTGGCTAAATATAACGAAAGTTGAAAGCATAAACAGCTAATTAATCTAAACGATCAGCTCATCAACACAATAAAACAAGTGCTTTGTTTCGTTAAACTAAAAATCGCAAACGCTTACATGACAAACTTTTGCGCATCGGGCAGTAGAAAATACATTGGAAGAATTCGAGTAGCTCGTTGTAGGGGACGTATTCAATCACCAAATTGTTTTCAGTACGACAGCGCTCCTTGAAGAATTCCGACATCTCGGCTAGCCAACCAGGGTTCACGTACCTAAAAAAGTAAAATACTTAGCGTAACTTGATAAAAGTCGATTGTCTTAACAAAATCGAATGAAAAAGCCACTAGTTTGGACCACTCCCTTTAACTTGAAAGAGGTGAGGAAACACCGAATCCTTTCCTAATATATTCAATCCTTGTTGCTGTCTTTAAATAAAAATATCACAGTTATATACACCACTACAACTTTAGCCCCTACAATATTCAGCATGAGATCAATTACATTCTAGTGTTACATAATCTTCTATCTTCTAAAAACTCACAACGAACTGCCCTCACAAATGATCTCGAAGTTTCGCCACGGTGTCCCCCACGAAAAATCGTCGTATTCCATCTTATTGACTACGATTTGATCATCGGTCATCCTAAAAATACCTAATAAGCATGGAAATAATCCGAGAAGCAGAATAAAAACATCCTAACAAGAATAGATGACGTATGCGCAATTAACGACTCATATTTCATAAAGTAAACTATTCATATTCGTAGCAGCTATCATACAGTTTTGAAAAATCTCGCACAAATTGCCCATTTGCACATACACCGATAAAAGCTTTAAATTTTAAACCATTTTTAAAAGTTCGTTCAAGTTTTTGCTTCAAAGTTCAACATTTCACAATTCCTTTTCTCGATCACTGCTGGTAAACGCTGACTTTTCTCCAACCAGGACTCTTTTAACCCAAAAAAAGCTCATTAAATATTAATTCTTTGCTCGGCATTTTGCTTTTCAAGGCCCACTAATGCTTGGGATACTTAAAATTTCTGATATTCGTTTGGTGAAACGCCCATTTTAACAAAATAATGTAAAAACTAAGGATATTTGTTTAAAAACTTGCGGCAGTAGCTACTTGAAAAACTTTTAAATGGCAAAATTATTGTAACAAATCTTTTTCAATAAGCTCTTTACAAATTCTAAAATATTCAGCTAATCAATTATCCAATTTTCAAAGGCAATACTTTCCACATTTTAGAATTCGGTTTCTGCATTTTGGGGGGGTGGGACAAATGCGACCTTTTTTTTGCGCACCTGGACAACTTAACGCTTTTCCGCAACTTAACGCTTTTCCGCAGTTTTTGCCTTTTTGCCCAAATTTGACGTGTCAGCGAGGTCTGATTTGTCGAAATTCGGAATCTACGCATACGATTCCCTTCTCTGAAAACATTTTTGAAGCTCTACGGCCTTGCCTAAGGCCTTTTCCAGCAAAAAAAAGGTGCGCAAATGTCCAGGTGCGCAAAAAAAAGGTCGCATTTGTCCCACCCCCGCATTTTGTATTTAAATGACGGTTCTTTCCACTTTTGTGCACAAATATTTGAGTGTTCAAGAAGCATTCGACAAAAAGCTGAATCGATATTAGCTTCTGGATACAAGAAGTCATGGAAACATAGACAAGTGCTGTTTTGATCTATGATTAAGCACACTATTTTGCGATGGGCGATTTTCGAAGACGTTTTTTGACTTCGGTAAATGCAATATTCAAAAAGTCTTAATGAAAAGCTCTTCAAAATCATATTTAGATGCTTTTTGCAACATGTTTACTTATTTCTTTTGCTTTTTCACGAAAAAGCGAGTGTTTCTGATTGATGATAATCTGCTGGAGATGTATCCAAGTCAGTTGTTAAAAGTTGTGAATTAAGTTTCGTTTAAAAAACAAAACCTTTATGTTTGAATTGGTTTTAGTATTAAAAGGCAATTCAAAACGAGATGATGGAAGCTCTCAAGATTCAACTTATCATAGCTTAAATGGATATAAGTTCTCTTGTAAGAATTGCAACTACGGAAATACTTCGTTCGATGCTTCAAGGTCTAAAGTTCCACTGAATGGGGATGAAATCTTGATTTACAAGGCCTACTACGATTGGAGGTTGGTTTTGAGATGTAGAATTGGTAAGCGGCTATTCAGCAACATAAACTGCTGGAGATCAGTATCAGTAGATCCTTTAGATAGTTTTCAGAGACGCTGCAGGCCCTAGAATCCGACTTCTAACCATCGGTGAATGTAACGATCTTAAAAAGAATACAACGCAAGAGGAAATCAAAATCCAAATTGGCAGTAGGATATTGGAAATCGGATGGCTTGTGCCAGGACGTATGTAAAAAAAGTTTGAACTTACTAGCTTCTATCTAGGCTGTCCAGAATATAGCTGTAAACATATAGCAGCTGATATCACAAGTGTCTCATTTAATGAAAAGCCAACAGAAGAGGTAAAAATTGGGTTTAGAATTCAATTTTATAGAGGAAACTTTAGATAATTGTTCAAAGAGGCACAAAATCGGTGAAATTGAAACTGAATTTTGTTCCAAAGGACTATCAACCGGGAATTACTTCTTGTTTAGAACCACTTTATTGGTAAGTCAATTGATTAAAAGATGTCCAATGTTGGAAAGCTTTTCTTGTCGTTGAAATCTTATTGTTACGTGTCGGTTATTGAAAGCTGAGGTTTCAGGTTCACCGAATGGCCACGCTTGATCGTTTTCATGGAACTTTATCAAATGATCGGTTACACGAAATTCCTCTTCACATGGACTTCAATGACAAAAAACGTGAAGAAAGTTCTTGATTACTATGTTTTAAAGGTTTTGTTTCTAAATGTTCATAGATCTAATCTGTAGTTTGTAATGATCTAATCTATAGTTTGTAATGATCTAATCTGTACTTTGTAATGATCTAATCTCTAGTTTGTAATGATCTAATTAATGATCTAATCTGTACTTTGTAATGATCTAATCTGTAGTTTGTAACGATCTCATCTGTAGTTTGTAATTCTAATCTGTAGTTTGTAATGATCTAATCTGTAGTTTGTAATGTAAATTCCAGGGCTTAGCCGAGCTCCAACCGTATCCTTTAATGCCCTACACTGATACAGTAATCTTCATCTTTCTTTATAAATCTTTATAAATCAAAATTTTGGATCAATTTCAACAATTCAACATACCATATGGGCGAACATTTGATCGAACAACATTGTGCTTTTTGGTCGAGAACAAAATATTCCTCAATGAACGATATTGATGACTTTTTCTATCACAGGTGTGATATCTTATCTTGATAAAAGTTAGCTAACAACAGCTAACAAAATACAACAAAATTTAGAAGCTAAATCTAACTAGCAGAGCTTTAGAAACCAAAGTCTCACCCTTTACGAGTGGATGGAAAGCATCGTGAAAAATCAGACGAAAGTAGGCAAGTCTTAAGATCGTTTTAAACTTGATTCTTTTTAAATTTAATACAATTTATCTATTTATAAAAGTTAATACAATTTATCTAGAAACTTTTAAGGTTCTTTTGCTATGAAGCACTACGGTCTTCAATGGAAACCCCAGCTCATCCCTCGACCATTCAACTTTGAGAACTTTCTAAAGCTTGACGGACTCAAAAACCCCATCATTTTCAACAATGATCGAGCCAATAAAGTATAATTTATCTTATTTTATAAATCTGAATAAATTTTTGATTCCAGGCTCTCTTCTTGACCGAATTTGCGCGTGAACCTTTCACTCATTGGGTCGAGCGTTTCTTCAAAGATAGAAATTTCTATGGAGTGAGACAAATATTTATTGAGAGTTTCAAAAATTTAGACAAAACCCAATGAGATTGTTTATTTACATGCAAGGAACAGTTTCGAAAGAGAAGTTGGTCCTTGTAATTGATATGAAAAGTTGAATTCAGAGACTAACAAATGAGCAATTGAATGGTACGAAGAATTTGATGCCCGACGTGGATTTGTTGGGAAAAGTGGGGAATAAAGAAAAAGAATTTACGGTAATAATGGATAAAATCAAGAATCCTGCTGAAAAACTTGAACGAATCCGAACTGCGATTAGGGAGATTTTTGGAGAGAATCCGCCTCCATTCACTCATGAGACGAATGATGCTCTTGATGACTGTTTGAAGAAGTCAGTTAATAGATATTAGTAGCTATTTGATCTATTAACTAATATATATCAGATATTTAAGAAATTCAATTAATTAAGGTAAGTTTTCAGTTGGGAAGTGACACAAAAGGGTTGTCGAAAGCCGGTGACTGGGTGCTTCGACGCGGTGAAATTTATGGAGGAATGGGTGTTCGCTAAGCCGACAAAAGAAAATAAATGGACATTGCTTTAGATTTCTCTTGTTTATAAAACAAAAACATAAACATTTTTACCTAAATTATTACAGTTTTTAAAACATTAAAGTCTACTCGATATTCCAGTCATTTTATATGCAAATCTGATGTCAAATTCCACTTGTTCCCTTCAAAAGCTATATAAAATATGAAATTGACTATATTTCCTTCAAATTTCCATCAAAAACTGTAATTTTCATGGTAAATGAACAAAATTCATTTGAATATCAAGAATTGAATCCTTTGAATCCTTTGAATATCGAGTCTCAAACAATTTAAACAAAATCAATACGGATTCAAGAATAGATAGAATAGATTTATTGGGCAATAAATAGTTATTAATATCACAAATATTATAAAGTGATCAATTGGCTTTAAGAAGTTGTTGAAATTTACGAATTCCTTCAAAACCCCCGTCGAGAACACAAATGAAACAGACTTGCTCTCGGAGGAGGCGCTTTGAGAACTAAAGTTTGATTTATTTAACTCATTCTATAGTACTATTCAAATCTAATTTACTATTAGAATTAGTCTCCTAACTAACAGTATTTTGCACAGTTTGCTTACCTTATCAGCCACCTCGTGTCTCCCACCGTCCATTATGCAAATCGGATGCTCATTTCGTTGAGCGTTTTCCAAAAGATTCTGCAAATCTCATGATTAAAAAGCAGATTATTTTTATTAGCTAGCTAGCTTACTAGCTAGCTAGCTTACTAGCTAGCTAGCTTACTAGCTAGCTAGCTATCAATTAGCTAGCTAGCTTATTAGCTAGCTAGCTTATTAGCTAGCTAGCTTATTAGCTAGCTAGCTAGCTATCAATTAGCTAGCTATCAATTAGCTAGCTATCAATTAGCTAGCTATCAATTAGCTATCTTTAACCATGAATTCTTTTTCCATTACCTGAATGCTCAATAAACTTCCGTCTTCCGGGTTTGAGATATTGATGCTTCGGACAACAGAGCCACGGTTGAATCTAATAAAAACTTATTTAAATAATCTTCAAAGACTTGAATAATTTGTATTTTGATTTAAAGTAAGTAATTTCCTTACTCAGGAGCTGATCGAACATCAATCAAGAGGACCGTTTGTTTCTCAACTCGATCCAGTAAATCCTCTCGACTTATTCTTGGCACATCCAATGATTTCAATTGAGAAACAGTTAGTTTTCGCATTGTATGCAGTTTTTCTAAAGTCAATATAACTTTTTAATATAATTCAATGTAATTTATAATTTTCTACCTTTATTTTCTTGATTATCAGATCCGTGAACTCGGAAAGCGCAACTTGACGGTAAAATTGAGTAGTAATGGGATGAATCAGCGATTACCTAGAAATCAAGTGGAAAATTGATTTAAAAATGATTCAAAATCTGAATTTTCTTTACCTTTTCCATATTCAAATCGGGTAGATCAGAGAAGAGTAAAATCGCGTCGTTGAAGTTTGCCTCGATAAGTCGAGAGCGGAGTTGATGAAGGACAGCAAGACCTGGGAAAATTTCACCCTACAATAGCTGTCATTTGTCTTTTAGTCATGTATCTGTTTAAAGGTTGATTCAACTCACCAACGCACAATGGGAAATGGACATCACCAAGCAGCAATCGATCCCAGACATGAAAGAGCTTATGTAGGGGTAAAACATGAGCAAAGCATGTTAAAAACCTGGAATTTGAAATCATAAGTTATAATAAATTGTAAATTAGTAATATAAATTACCATGGAATAGCGAAAAGTTCTGGGTAAAAATCCATTTCTTTCATACAATTGTATAAATCGGCATCAACATAAGCAACGAGATGATTGAAAACACTCAGATATTCTAAATTTTTGAAAAATTATCCTTAATATTTTTAAAAATCTTTTCAAAACCTTGAATCACCGGGGAATTGTCCTTGAGAAAGAAATTCCATAGATATTTGCTGATAAAAGCACTCAAACAAGCAAATGCGTTAGCTGGAATTGGGTATTCGTTAGCTGGAATTCTCAAGTTTCTCAAGATTAGCAACTCACGAAGATTCTCAAAATTAAGCAGCAAAAATGGAGCAGCTAAAGAATCCAATCCTTGCCAATAGACGAAATTTGGATGTGCAAGCAGCCAGGCTTTGAGGAGACGTTTCAAACGGGAATGAGCAGCTGGAGAGGTCATCAATTCTTCATACTAAATAAGCTTGATCAAATCAATTGTAGATTTATGAGATAAAATGATCTTATCTTTATGGAAAAGCATGGTTCTTCACTCGTACTATATCTACTTTTACTGCAATTAGTCATAGAAATTGTTTTATAAGAGGTCCGACTTGATGACATCTCGGGATATCGACTTCCAATTGTCGATCAGATGAATGCGGCGAAAGAGTGTCCAACTCTTCATAGGGCCATCGAGACACTTCACTCACTCCGAGAAGCGCCGTCCAAACAGCTGATCTAAAATCTACTATATATAAAAGAGGAGCGTCTGTCTGTCTGCCTGTTTTTTGAACAATAAGGCTAAAACTTCTTTAGAACCCCTAGAATATTTTGTAGTTCTGGTATTTTAAAAAATCGAAGTTGCTCGACACGCACGGGAACCGAACCGGGATCGCGTTGGCCGGAAACCCCGGACGCGCTCGCGACTGAGCCACGGTGACGCCGAAACTTTTAGGCGGGTTCTCTGCTAGTCTCTTGGATAAAACTACCTTCTTTAATAACCTTTGTGCAGAAAAGTGGCTCTTTTCCGTGAAATCTTATTCGATGCTTTGATTTTGAATATCTCAGATTCTCTTGTCCTTCCTCTAAAGATCGTTTGTGTGATAAAAAGGGGACGGAGTCCACATTGTATTGCTTTTCTTTGGCTTTGAAATACTGAACCAACGATTCATTCTATTTTATTGTATTTTCTCGTTAGATTAGTGATTGTGCTATATTCGGAATAAATAAATGATTGCCTCTAAATAATGATTGCCCCATCAGTACCCTCTCACGCACTGCACAACCTTTGTATTGCTTTTCTTTGGCTTTGAAACACTGAATCAACGATTCATTCTATTTTATTGTATTGTATTATTGTATATTGTCTTATATTTTGTAGATTTTAACGTTAGTTTGCTTTTTTCAATAGCTGTCCGTTAGTTTGCTAGTTTGCGTTAGTTTGCTTTGCTTTTTTTGCTTTGTTTGTTAGTTTGCGTTAGTTTGCTTTTTTTTTTTTACCTGATCATCGGCGGTACATCCTTTGCAATCATCTTCCGGAGTGTCTCTGCTTTGAAAGAGAACGCTTGCACGAGTTGGGTCACCATTTTCATACGGGAACACTGAAAAGCAATGAAACGATAAAATCTCCAAATACCTGATAATAGACATCTTTTTCTTTGACAACAACAGGCAAATCTTCGCCTTCCATTGAATAGTTTTCACCATCCATTTCGAAAGAGTGAAGTAATTTCCGAGGCTCAATAGCCAACATTTTCTGAAAACAATATTATAGCTTTAAATCTAATTTCTATTAAAAAATCAATATCATATTTAAATTACCGCTTTAAAGTTTTTAGCAGGTAACACAAAAACGTCTGGCTTTACTCGAAGTTTTCGAAAGGATTCATTGCCGAATTGACGAAAGTCATTGACCACGACGCTAAACTTTTCAATTCAATATCTTAACTAAAGATTTATCAGTTAGTTAGTTAGCTTTTTCTAAACCTTGGTGTAGTTGTGATTGGGTGTAGAAGTGGGAGAACACCATGCTTCACCAACAATGTCTCCACTCGACTCCCGCAGAGACTCCACAAAAAGAAAGCCTAAATGAAATGAAGTTTATGATCTGAAATCAATTCTTTATTAATATAATAGATCTATAACCTATCGATTTTTGATATTAATAGTTCAATTCTTCACCTCTTTAATCGGCAATTCTGAGTAGACCCAGTCGGGCGTTGAGCGGAGAACTCTTTCTGAAAGTTGAACGATGAAATTCTATGCAAACTGTGAATATAGTGCGCCAGAAGAGATGCGTTTCTACAGAAATAGGCCTAGATTAGACAAAAAGTCTACAGAAATAGGCCTAGATTAGATAGAAAGTCTACAGAAATAGGCCTGGATTCAGTTCACTCAAGAATCTCAAGAATATCTAGGACTTGATTGTTCTTCAAAATTCAACCCCACCTTTGACCACTTCCCACTCTTCCAGATCAGCTTCACATGGAGTCGGTTTAACATTTGCTTCATTCAACAACGATAAGATCTCTTTAGCTGTGGCTCTCTTCGAAGGTAATTTCTGCAAACATCGATCCGTTATCTGATATAGTAATCCATCAGATCTTTGAATTTTCAGCTTTCCCGTTCCTTCAACAGCTTGCACCAAATGTTGAACGATTGAACCATCTAAAACATTTTTAATTTCAACAAAGAACTTTTCGTTTACCAGATTTTTTGATGAGATTTGTGATAACACCGAGGAACTGCTTGTAGGACCAAAGGTCGCGAAGGGGATGACCCTGAAAATGAAGTTCAAAGCTGGCTAAAAAAAACAAAGTTTGGTTTGTCAGTCAAGGATGATAAACTTATCTGTAATCAAATGCAGCTTTCACTTACAATGAGGATTTGAAAGAAAACCATTCCAAGAGACCAAATATCATCCTTAGCAGTGACTCCTCTTGAGGTGTTGATTGAGCTAAAATTTAGGATAAGTTCTATAAAGTTGGTTAGAAATCTCGAATCGCTTCTAAATCTAAATTTAGAAATCAATTTCTAAAAGGCAACAATTCAGAAAAAGCTAGAGAACAATGGCTCAATTGCTAGAGAACAATGGCTTAATTACTAGAGAACAATGGCTCAATTTCCAGAGGAAAAAACTTCAGCCTTTTGTTCTGATAATTTGAAGTTTTACCAAACTCACCACATTCTTTCCGGGCTTAAAGTGTACGGAGAACCGATCAACGAATCTTGGTCTTTCCCATCATCAGTCACATAGCTATTTTAAAGTTATTTGCTTCAAATTTAAACCTTACTTCAAGCCATATTGTATAAATTTTGTCAAAATTTTTGAATCATGCACAATGATAATATTTTGAAGATCGATCATGCCAGAGAAGATTGATTTTGAGTGAAGATATTGAAGAGCTGATGTTAATTGAGAAGCAATGCAAAGAGAATCATCTGATGTCAGACTGAAAATTCTTTATTTGAGAAGTAAATCTCTAACTATTCAACCAGTTTTCCTTGATTTTATCAGCTAGTGTGATCTTGTAGTGCTCGGCGATGAGAACGATGACGTTTGGGGCTGAAAATGATGATTGTTTCTAGTTTTCGAAGAAGAATCTAATCAAAATCCATTATTTAGATCATAATACCATTATGACAGCGAATGATATCAATGTATTGACAGATATAGGGATGGATGAGCGAAGCTAAACGAGAGAAACGACCAACGCAACGAACAGCTGGTGGAGTAACCTAGAATTTCATCTATAAAGTTTATCATCATGAAGTCAAGCAAGAAAAACCTTTTTAAAGTTACTTTGCATGAAGAGTTTCATTGATCTCAGGAAAATTGGAGATAACTTTAGCCCTTTTACAAGCTCTCCGGTGTACTTTGTGCTTAAAAATGGAAGCACAACGTTTCTTAGTTTTTTCTAAACCTTGGTGTAGTTGTGATTGGGTGTAGAAGTGGGAGAACACCATGCTTCACCAACAATGTCTCCACTCGACTCGAGTTTCATTGATCTCAGGAAAATTGGAGATAACTTTAGCCCTTTTATTGGGTTGTCCAGTTATGAATGCGCGTTTTTTACTATTTTGTAAATTTCTCAAGGTACCGAAAGCAAGAAAAAGATTTATATGAGTATTATTCGAAAGCTGAAGATCTCCTCTACATTTTGATATAAAAAGTTTTTGAATTTGTTCAGCTTTTGGGCAAATTGACTGCACAGAAGAAGAGGTGGCCAGAAAATGGAAGGGTGCCTTTGGATCAAGTTTTGGCTTTGAATCAATTGAGTTAACCGTTTGATGTTTGGCCAATAGATATATCAATACAACTTTTTTTAAAATATAACAATTTCAGAGCATCTTTACTTTTCTTTTCTTTTCTGGGCGGTTATTTTTACACCATAAAACTTGAGGAATAGCTAAGCTGAAATGGGTTTTTTCGAAAACGACCTCTCCCTTTGTGCAGTCAATTTCCCAAAAAGTTGAATGAATTCAAAATCTTTCTTATTTCAAAATGTAGAGGAGATCTTCAGCTTTCGAATGATATATAACACTCATATACATCTGTTCGATATCTTGAGAAATTTACAAAATAGTAAAAACGCGCATTCATAACTGGACAACCCAAACACATGTTCTCCGGTGTACTTTGTGCTAAAAAATCGAAGCACAACCTTTCTGGTATTCAATTCTTTTTTCTAGAAATAATCTGCTGTAAGAGAGGTAGAATTAAGTGCACCGGAAGGGATGCGTTTCGATTTGTTAGCAAAGTATGGTCAGTGAACAAGACTTTCAATAGCAATGACTTGCGTAATTCAATGTTTAGATAATGTTTAAGCATTAGCTATTTCAAAAAACAAACCGGTAATCCATTAGCTGTTGTTGATCGTGGTTCGGGTTCTTTGCAAACAACAGGAACAGCTCCAAAGTCGGCTCCACCGAGGAGCCGCATTTTGATTGATTTTGATAGAGTGGCGATCAATTTGACCCCATTCGTTTCCCTAAAATAAACAATTTGTCAAATAAACATTTTCAGTCAATTCAACAGTGACTCTTTTTAAGAAAAGCTTTAATAAAACAATACTAAGACTTCGTTTTAATCAACTTTTTAACCTAAAACAAGATCAGTTTTCTTTTGGATTGTTAAAATACTTGGAAAATAGCTACAACTACTTACCGTAAATACTGTAATAGTGCCCCACCCCCCTCGTACAGTCGCGTAGTCGCAAAAGTTTTTTAGTATTTCATTTTTTCCAAAGCGCCCGTACTTTCAAAAAATGCGTCTTTGGTATCAAAAAATAGCCCTGAATTTCAGCTATTTTTTGATACCTAAGCGAACATTGTAGCATAAACCAGTGTCGAGAAAAACTCGTTCAAAGCTAGACTACGAAACACTCCGCACCGTCATTATGGGGGTGGGGTACCAATTACAGTATTTACGGTAATAGCTACTTAATAGCTAATATATTTGATAGCTTTTTGTTTCCACTTTTCAAATATGAAATATGTTTTGTCAGGCTTTGTCTCCATTTCTTTCAATTTCTAATTTTTGGCCAAAAAGATTTATCTCAAGATTTTCGTCAGCAGCAAAATATGATTCAAAAAAAGACAACAATTTTTTCGAGGTTTTTGAAAATTTTAAAAAATTACACAAAAAAATATGAAAGTTTTTTTCAGAAAGTACATCAAAATTGGAGTTAAATAACAAAAGAAATCACAAAAAAAAATTGATTTTTATTGGAAAATTAGAAAAGAAAGAACGAAAATAGAGAAATTTGAATAGGAAAAAAATCTAGCAATCACTGTGAAACCCCAGAAAAAAATAGAAATAGAAATAGAGAAATAGTTGATTGAAATTTTTGAAAGCAGCTTCTTCTAGAGGCAAGGGTTCACATTTGTTTTGCCGTTGAAGCTATTGGAAATGCCTAATTGGATTGAATTGATGATGATTGATGATGTCGAAATATCGAAATGCTGCCGATTTCGAATGAATACCTGAAAATAAAGAAATCAAATCAGAGTTTTCATTATCTAGTGATCAGCTAATGATTAGCAATGATCTTTCAATGATTAGCAGCTTTGTTTCATGAGTACTTTTTCTAAGCTATGCCAGAAACAAAGTCCTATCTTACAACGGAACCTTCCCAAGTTACCCGCGAGTTACAATATGAGGTAGGTGTCAAAAGAAAGGCCTGAAAATCTCCGTTCAACTGTTTTCAAAAGCTTCAAAGAAATTCAAATAGCTGTAACTTTGTGCGTTTCGCCGATTAGCGGTTTTTGAAAACACTTTCTGAACGTACATTTTCAGGCCTTTCTTTTGGCACATACAATCATATTGTAACTCGCGGATAACTTGGGAAGGTTCCCTGGTTAGAGACTCCCCTAGAGACCGGTTGGAACACTCCAAGTGTCTAGTATTGTTTTTCAAAACTTATGACTTGACCATCAGCTTCTCATAGTTCAGCTGTGATACTGAAAACTTTAACTTTGCTTGCTTTGTAACTCGCTGGTAACTTGGGAAGGTTCCCTTGTAAGACAGGACTTTGTTTCTGGCATAGCTTAGAAAAAGGACTCATGAAACAAAGCTGCTAATCATTGAAAGCTAATCATTGGCAGCTAATCATATTGTAACTCGCGGGTAACTTGGTTAGGTTCCCTTGTTAGCTTCTGGACTTGCCTGCTTTGGCCTGGCTTGGATTTACTCCAAGTGTTACTCATATAAAAGACCTTTAACCAATATTATTTCATTTTTTCACAGCTTATACCTTTACAGAGTATGAAATTAAAGTTTAAAGTTTATACGTTTTTAATTTTGCTAATTCTTACTAGAGAATAAGGTGATGACTATTTTGCGTCAAAGTTTTTACACTAAACTCACCATAACTTTCTTCTAAGATTAGCCATCTTTATGCTTTTGTTGTCATTTTATAGATCCCAAGAAATGCAACAAAATGACATCATAAAGATAAAGATTGATCAACTTAGAAAAAAGTTATGATGAGTTGAAAAAATTTGACGCTTGGTCTAAAGGTCCGGTTGGAAAATCCATTATTATTAGTCAGTTTTTGATATTGGAATTCTTTTAAACCTTGTTTTTAATCATTCAACACTTACTAAACTGATTTAGAGAAGATCAGCAATGTCCATTGGCATTTCATCGATGATCGTTGTATAGAAAGTCTCAATGTCTTTCAATTGACGAGCATCGTTGTCAGTGACAAAGTTGATAGCAACTCCCTAAAAGAATAAGAGTTTCAGTTAACTATTAAGTTCATAGTGCATTTCTAAATCATTTTTTATTCTTATTTTCACTGACTTTACGGCCGAAACGTCCAGAGCGACCGATACGGTGAATGTAGTTTTCTCGGTTTGATGGAAGGTCATAATTGATGACAAGTGAGACCTAAAAATGATTGATAAAGATAATCCTTATTTAAAACAATAATTTCTGGGAAAAGTGGCTTCAACAAACCTGTTGAACGTCGATTCCACGAGCAAGCAAATCGGTGGTGATGAGTACACGGGATGAACCGGAGCGGAACTCACGCATGATACCCTAAAAATTCAATTTATTTAAATATATTATTAACCTAATAGTATTGTTATAGTGCTTGATTCAAAAATTCTAACTTTAAGACTAGTTTTTGTTGTACAAATTAGCCAAAAAGGCATGACTTTTTGACTTTAGAAGTCTTTAGAAGTGGTTTTTTGACTTTAGAAGTCTTTAGAAGTGGTTTTTTTGACTTTAGAAGAGCTTGTTTATGGTTTATGTTGGTTGCTAAACAGTAAGTATGCGTATTCACAATATACTTTTCATTCTCACCTCTCTTTCTTGTTGTTCCATATCACCATGCATCGACGAGACAGTGAATTTCTTCGCCGTCATCAACTCGGTCAATTGGTCGACACGGCGACGAGTATTGCAGAAAATAACGGCTTGTGTGACATTGATAGCGTCATACAAGTCGCAAAGTGTCTCGAATTTAAATTCCTATAAAGGAATTTTCTTTGAAAGACTATATCAAAACTCACATCTTTGCCAACATTAACGTAGAATTGTCGAATACCCTCAAGAGTCAATTCCTCTTTCTTGACGAGAATTCGGATTGGATCTCGCATAAAGCGTTGAGTCACATCCAACACTTCGACTGGCATTGTAGCCGAGAGGAGGACAACCTGGAAAAGATCACAACATTGTACATGTTAACCTTGTACATGTTAACCTTGTACATGTTAACCTTGTACATTTTAACCTTGTACATGTTAACATTGTACATGTTAACCTTGTACATGTTAACCTTGTACATGTTAACCTTGTACATGTTAACATTGTACATGTTAACAGAACATTGTACATGTTAACAGAACATTGTACATGTTAACAAAACATTGTACATGTTAACAGAACATTGTACATGTTAGCACAACATTGTACATGTTGACGTTGTACATATTAGTGTACATGAACAGTGTACATGTTAACACAACATTGTACATGTTAGCAGTGTACATGTTAACATTGTCATGTAACATTGTACATATTAACATTGTACATGTTAACACAACATGTTAACATTGTACAAAAGTAATAAAGTCTATAGAAATTTTATTTTGATAGTTTGACAAAGTTTAGCCTGTCCAGAAAATCTTTTCATCCAAAAATTCAGAAAAAAATGCAGACATAAGACATTTTAAACCATTTTAAATGTTATTTTGCAAAGAAATAATTAAATTTTCTAATGAAATAAACCATAGATTTATTAATGAGTTTGTTAGTTTTAAAAGAAAGTACGAAAAGAAACGAAAAGACTTTCTGGAAAGCTTAATAGATCGATTAGATCAACTTTTTTTGATGTTTAACAAATATTCTTAGATCTTTTTGATACTTAAATCAGAAAACTATTTGCATTTAAAATTCACCTGAACATCCTGTGGCATGTATTTGAAAACCTCGTAGATTTGATCCTTGAATCCACGAGACAACATCTCGTCGGCTTCATCCAAAACGAACATCTTGATCTTGTCCGTGTCTGGAAAGGAATCAAATCAAATGGCTAATCTTAGAAGAAAGTTATGATGAGTTTGGTGTAAAAAATAGCCGACATTTGACGCAAAATAGCCAAAATCAAGTTTAAAACCTGATTTTCATAAAACTCACGAAGGATTCCACGACCGATCATGTCATTGACACGTCCTGGAGTGCCGACAACAACATGCACTCCTCCCTAGAAGATGATTACTATTGTCTGTGCATTGATCTCTAATCATCTATCTGTCTATTGTCTATTTTCTGTACTAATGTCTGTGTATTGCTCATGAGCTGACCTCCAATTTTCTGTATTATTGTCTGTGTATTGCTCATAAGCTCATGGCTCACCTCCAATTTCCTCTGATCATCTCGAATCGATGTTCCACCGATGCATGGATGAACAGAGATGTTGAGATAATCCCCGAGAGCGCCCATCACTTTCTGAATCTGTTGGGCCAACTCACGAGTTGGGGCCATCACAAGCGCTTGTACCACTGGGTCCTAGAAAGATTTGGTTTAGATTTTGTTTAGATTTGGTTTAGATTTGTTTCTTTCTCAGGATTTAAATCATTTCCCCAATCACCTTTTCATCGATTCTTTGAAGAATCGAAATGGAGAAAGTGGCGGTTTTTCCCGTTCCCGATTGAGCCTGCGCAATCACATCTCGACCTGGAAATGGAGGACATGAAAAAGAGATTGATTGAAGATTGATTAAAGATTGGAAATAATCAGAAATCATTAAGCTTTAACTAGGGAAGTTCTTTAAAACTTTCTAGTCTAAGTTTTCAATCAATCTTTTCAATCAATCTTTTCAATTTCAATCAAATTTTTAAATAAACTAGAGTAAAATGGTAAATTTTGGTAAATTTTCAAGGAATTAAGCCAGATTTAATAACTTTTAAGGACTAAATTGACTTGTTAACTTGTTTTAACTTCAATTTTCTTTATGTTTACCGGTGCAACACGGAACGATGGCTCGTTGTTGGATGGCTGAGGGTTTCTCAAAACCGAAAGCATAGATACCGCGAAGTAGGTTCTCTTTCAGGTTCATTTGGTCAAAAGTCTCCGTGATCTGAAAAGAAAATATTCTCTTAACTTCTAGTTTTGTTTATTTTTCAAATACAAATCCTATTCTTTAATGGTATTCTTCAAAAATGAATTTAAATGAATTCAACAATGGGTTCTCACAGCAAGTATCTATTAAGTAGATCTTCTAGTTATATAATAACTTATCAATAGATTAATTAATCATTCAAAACACTTTCTTAATGTTATAACTTTTCTTAAAACCCACGGCTTCCCAATGGGTTCTCACAAGCTCACAATGGGTTCTCACAAGCTGACAATGGATTCTCACAAGCTCACAATGAGTTCTCACAAGCTGACAATGGGTCCTCACAAACTCACAATGGGTTCTCACAAGCTCACAATTGGTTCTCACAAGCTTACAATGAATTCTCACAAGCTTACAGCAAGTATCTATTAAGTAGATCTTCTAGTTATCTTCTAGTTAACTTATCAATAGAAATTTAATCATTCAAAACACTTTCTTAATGTTATAAACTTTCTTAAAACCCACGGCTTCCCAATGGGTTCTCACAAGCTCACAATGGGTTCTCACAAGCTCACAATGGGTTCTCACAAGCTAACAGCAAGTGTCTATTAAGTAGATCTCCTAGTTATATCGGTAGATCTCCTAGTTCTAACTTATCAATAGATTAATTAATTATTCAAAACACTTTCTTAATGTTATAATTAATAAAACCCACGGCTTCCCAATTGCCCTCGATGAGGCCATCGTCTCCGATTCCGGAGTTTCCGTTGCTTACATTGTTGCTCCTAAAGTTAAAATCTTATATAATATGTAATGATTGCTTATAAAATTAATATATAATACATAACTTAGCTTTCTGTAGCTCATAGAAGTCAAATATTTCATGAAAAACTTTTTTGAAACGTCTGGTTGCTTATTGTTTTACTGATTTGAACCGCAAAAACGAAATTTCTTATCTACCAAATAATTGAATGATGCAAGAAAGAAATTTCAAAATTTCAAAATTTCAAATTTCAAAAATTTCGAAACCTTAATGTATCAGAATTTCAAAAGATCAACTTTTCAATCAATATGTTTTTTTTGCGTCATTGCATCATAAAACCAAACGATGCTTGGGAAATAATCGAAAATAAGAAAACAGTCGCTAAAATCTCCAAAACTTGACTCTTTTCTCATTCTTAAACCCAGCAAATTAACACTTAAAGTTTAAAACTTCATCTAATATGAATACTAATATGACTTCATCTAGATTGAATACCGGAATCTAGGGAGTCTAGACTGAATACTCTATCTAGACTGAGTACTCTATCTAGACTGAGTACTCTATCTAGACTGAGTACCCTATCTAGACTGAGTACCCTATCTAGACTGAGTACTCTATCTAGACTGAATACTCTATCTAGACTGAGTACTCTATCTAGACTGAGTACTCTATCTAGACTGAGTACTCTATCTAGACTGAGTACCCTATCTAGACTGAGTACCCTATCTAGACTGAGTACTCTATCTAGACTGAATACTCTATCTAGACTGAGTACTCTATCTAGACTGAGTACTCTATCTAGACTGAATACCCTAATCTAGATGAAATATCGCATAATGACTGAATCTTCTTTAATCTACGATGTTATAATTGATCAATTTATTTGCCTAGTGCCTAATTATTTAAATTTCAAAAATTTCGAAACCTTAATGCATCAGAATTTCAAAAAATCAACTTTTCAATCAATATATTTTTTTTGCGTCATTGCATCATATAACCAAACAATCGATTTGCTTAAGAAATAATCGAAAACAAAGAAATAATCAAAAACCAAAAGATTTACTAGAAAATAACTGAAATTTCAAGTTTTTTATATAGTTTTAGAAAAAGTCTAGTTAAAGAAAAACTTAATTTTAAGCGGCCTAATTTTATTTTAGCTTGATTTTAGCGTTTTCTAGTCATTCAGCTGATAAAACTCACTTGTTTTGCGCATCAGTCATGTCAAATTTTCAGAAATTGGAAAAAAATTCCAAAGATTGCTGAAAAGAAAAGTTTTTTTTGTTGAGAGTAGACCCTTCCAGTAGTGGAGGGTTGGAAAAATGATCGACAAAACGGAGGGAAACGCGGGAGGGGAAAAAAAGACAAAAAGAGATACGGTAGAAGAGACGGCAAACCGCGACGCGAGACCCTGATTCGAAGGGGACATCGCATAGAATGCAGGAAGATCAGTTCTTCAGAAGTTTATATCTTTAAAGATATTGTGAAATTTCAATCTCAAAGGACAGATTTCATTTCAGACTTCAAATTTCATTTGAAGATTGAACTTGGAAATAAGGTGTGTGAAGGAATAAAGAGTTAAATAAAGAATACTAAGAGTGTAGTTAAAAGTACGGTAATTATGAATATCTGTTTAGAAGTTCTAGAAGCTCTTCTACCAGCTCAATCTCCACCTCCACATAAAGCTCAACAGGAAATTCAATGATTTTTGTGTTTGATGAGCTTTGAGATTTGATTTGATGAGATTTGAGTTTGATGTTTGATGAGCCTTCCTAGCTAGTCTTTTTCTGTTTAAAGCTTCTCTTCTGCTCCATAATCGCTACTGCATTCTTTTCTCATTCTTATAACCAACAACTTAACACTTAAAGTTTAAAACTTTATCTAATAAGCATAATGACTGAATCATCTTTAATGTATGATGTTATAGTTGATCAATTTATTGGCCTAGTGCCTAGTTGCCTAGTGCCTAGTTACTAGACAGTATCTAGACCCTTCCAGAAACCTTGTTTTATTGGGAAACTTTTTCTGTGATTTGTTACATCTTTCACATCTAACGCCGAGGCTTCAATCCCCTCTTGAAATCTTTCTTTGCTATTCCTTTCTTTACTTTATTTCATATATCCATCTATTAGATATAAAAGAAGGGAATGGGGTAGGAAAAGCCGTTTTGGATCAGGTGAGTGGCATGGCTATTAGCTTAATCGTCAAATTTGACCTTTAATCTTCTTACTATTTGTGATGGGAAAATTTCAACCCGAACATAATTCCACCTTCGTTTTCTCAGCCGCCTCTTGGCCGATTGTTCTGAAATTTTGCTTCCAGAAAACTTGTTTTATTGGGGAACTTTTTCCATGACATGTTACATCTTTCACATCAAATGCCGAGGCTTCAATCCCTTCTTGAAATCTTTCTTTGCTATTCCTTTCTTTACTTTATTTCATATATCCATCTATTAGATATAAAAGAAGGGAATGGGGTAGGAAAAGCCGTATGTTGGTTCTTTGGGGTATAGAAGAGTGGGAAGAAAGGGGCAATCATTCAACAACACCAAGATCTCTCTCTTTTGATTGGAGATCGAATACAAAGACCCTCTAGACATAGTTGAGATTCGAATAAGTGTAAGAGAATGGAGAGAAGTATAGGAATATAGAAAAAGAGTGCTAGAAAGGAAAGGAAAGAATAGTTAGATATAGAAAAAGAATATAAAAGAGAAAAGTTAGAGATTAAAGAGTTCTGCAAGAGTTTAGAGACATAAAAAAGTTGAAAGAGTTGCAGAAAATAGATGGGGAAAAGATAGACAAAAGAATTTTTGCGATAGATAGAAGAATTTTCAGAGATTTGAGACAAAGAAAGGAAGTTTGATGGGCAAGAGAGACTACACGCGTTCATCGTAATATAACGGCCCCGCTAAGTGTTCTTTCTTTTCATTTTCTTTTCTTTTTGAATGCTTTAGGACCGAGTGACCCATCTCTTAAAGATTTTCTCTTTCTTTTTCTCTTTCTCTTTCCTTTCTCTTTCCTTTCTCTTTCCCAAATATCTTTCTAATCCCATTCGGGTGATTAAGCTATATGATATCGAAATTTTGCTCTTTCTAGCAAAATTTGTTATCTCAAAAAGCTCTTAGGTTCTTGTGCCGTTGTTTTTGATCACTTTCATGCTTTGATTAGGACAATTTCTATAAAAAACTTATGCCAACCTAGCTATCAAAACTTAGCCAACCTAGCTATCAAAACTTAGCTAACCTAACTATCAAAACTTAGCCAACCTAGCTATCAAAACTTAGCCAACATGTTAAGCTATCAAATCCCAGCTAATTTTAAACATTTATCCTAAATAATGATCAAAATGACAATAAAATAACAACTGAATCATTCCCTGCTTTGTTGCGATGACTCTTTCATTCCTAGAATCGATTTTCTTTGAAAAAAAAAGTTTAATTCTGTTTGATTGTTAAACAATTTTGTCAGCTTTAACCACTTTTCTTTTCCAGATGACTGATCCAGGTTACTCAGGTCAAAATGGGCATTCTGAATCTCATCCAACGCTCGCCATCGCCAAATTTGCTTTCAACGGAAAGAACAATGATGAGGTTAGAAAATGGTGAACAGAAATTTTGGTTTTAGTTCTTTAAAGGCAATTTTTGGAGTTTTGAATCAATTTTGCTACTCAATTTTGTCATAGATTCAATAAAATGAATAGCTTTAATCGATTCTCTGGCCTTGAAAACCCCAGGATACAAATTTAAGGCTCAGTTCTTTTTTGGAGTCATCTATAAAGCAAAAGAAAGTTCCCTATAGTGTTCTTTGTGCTGGGTAATGGCTTGCGATCTGGCAAATCCCTCTGTAATAAAATGGAAAGAAAAAAAACAGCTTCTAATGGACATTTCTCAACTCATTATGGTTAATTTGATAAACGTTTTAGTTGACATTCACTAAAAATGATGTCATCATGATCACTCAACAACTGGATGGTGGATGGTGGGAGGTGAGTGAAGAAGAAAGAGGTTTCCACGTTGATAAAGTGCAGCAGTTTAATGAATACTAAATCATCTACCGTAAATACTGTAATAGTACCCCATCCCCATAATGACGGTGTGGAGTATTGTGTAGTCTAGCTTTGACCGAGTTTTTCTCGACACTGGTTTATGCTACAATGTTCGCTTAGGTATCAAAAAATAGCTGAAATTCAGGCCTATTTTTTGATACCAAAGACGCATTTTTTGAAAGTACGGGTGCTTTGAAAAAAATGAAATACTAAAAAACTTTTGCGACTACGCGACTGTACGAGGGCGGTGGGGTACTATTAAAGTGTTTACGGTAAGTATTCTATACCAAAAATTCAGGGCACATTGAGCGGTGTGACTGGATGGTTTCCATCAAATTATGTGACTGTTCTCTCTGATAAAGGTGAGAACTTGAATTTGAATTTTTAAATATTTCTTTAAGAAAAGCTCTCTCGTTCACGGTCAGTTCCTAGCACAGAAGTGGCTGAAGAGCACCTACAACAGCAACATTTCGAGAGTTTCGTTCCAATTACAGCGAATCGAACACAGTTTAGAAAGCAGGTAAAGTTTAGAGGAGAATTCAAGAGATCAATGCGCCGGAATTCGAACCCATTGAGCTATCGCTCATCAGGCGAGCGCTCTACCAAAGAGCTCTACCAAAGAGCTCTACCAAAGAGCTCTACCAAAGAGCTCTACCAAAGAGCTCTACCAAAGAGCTCTACCAATGAGCTCTACCAATGAGCTCTACCAATGAGCTACTAATGAGTAAATCAGTAATTTCTAATAATTTTTACAGGTTCTTGAAGATTTTCTTAAAAACGAGCAAGACTATTTGTTACGACTTCGCAAAACTGTTGATGAATATTTGAAGCCATTGAAGCAAGCTGAAATGTGTGTTTGATTAGAAAAGATATTCAATGAATGAAATTATAACTCCATTTAGAATGCCTGATGAAGACTATGATACCCTTTGTGGAAATATTGAGCAAATCCTTCACTTTCAAACCGATGTCATGCATAAAATCAATTTAACTCTTGAGTAGGTTTTAATAATATTCGTATATTATAAAAATAAAATTAATAAATTGAAAGCCATTGAGGATTGGTATCTCTTTTTCAATAATATTGATCATTTGGATCCCACAAAAGTTTAAGATTATGTAAACGATTGCATAAAAGAGTTTAGCCGCATTTTCCACTGCAGCTAACAGTCTGGAATAACAAATGCAACAAAAAGAAACTTACTAATCTACATCTAAAACATTTGTATACATTGTAAGCAAAGTAAGCAACGTAAGCAAAGTAAACAAAGATTATAAACACATCTTTTCTAGCTTAACTCCTTTTTCTTATGACAATTTGTAGTAAAATGCGCTAAACATGGTCCAGTATATAAAGAAAACTTTATTTTCAAAGAATTGAGTGCACCAGTAGAGTGTTTACAATGATCTCAAAGTATCTAACCTGATAGGTAATGTCAAGCAATCTAGCAGTCAAGCAATCTAGCAGTCAAGCAATCTAGCAGTCAAGCAATCTAGCAGTCAAGCAATCTAGCAGTCAAGCAATCTAGCAGTCAAGCAATCTAGCAGTCAAGCAATCTAGCAGTCAAGCAATCTAGCAGTCGAGCAATGTCGTTCGTTAACGGGAAATAAATCGCAAATGGTGTGACAAGAAAGGAAAGTAGAAAGATCTAAGCTAAAAAGTGATTTTAAATCACTTTGTCTTGATTTTGTAAAATCAATCTTTCAGTGACGAGGTTATAAAGCAGCGAATCGGCGGTGTTTTGATCAACTCAGCTCCTCCATTGAAAGATATGTTAATGGCGTATTGTGAAAATCATCCAAGAGCTGTTGAAGTCATGAATGAAAAGGAGTGCGTTTTATTATAACTAAATTATGTTTAATTCATTGAATTTAGTCTAAACATTGTGTCTAAACAACTTAACTTTTTAAGAAATCTCTTTATAATGAAATCTTCAATGTTTAGCAAGCGTTAGCCTGCATCTTTTTAACATTCGAACTTGAGAAAGTTAGTCTAAATTGATTTTAAATAACAATAACTGGATATTTCTGAATCATTTAATTCATTAAATTTATCATTTAATGAATTAAAACTTCAAAATCTATCATATAAATAGAATTCAATGATTTCATTAATATTTTAGAGAATCTCTAAAGCTGTTTGTGGAAACGATTGGCGGAAAGTACAATGAGCTGGTGATGGGTCTATCAGAGACGTTTATTCATCTCGGAAAATACCCAATTTCGCTACAAGAATTGGAAAGAAGTATGCCGGTAAGTTTTTTTAGATAAAAATAAAATATATTTGGAAAATTGTTCCCATAAAGCTTTGGATAGAAAAATTTAAAGAAATTATTGGGTTGGGGAGAATGAGTCGGCGCCGAAAATGAAAAAAATGTCTAAAACTTCTATTCGACTTCGTCAAATAATATGCGTTTGATATGAGTAGAATGGTTAACTAATTCTCTACAAAATGACATTTAAAAGAAAATTCAAACAGCGCCTCCGCTCAAGAAAAAGCCATTTTTTCACAAAAACTACAAACTGTGATCTAGAAAAAACCATTGGTGGGATCTTCCTGCAAATTTGGCAACTTAAGTAATTGAATGTGCTCTATCTTTTTTATATAAACACCAAAAAAGGTTTATGTGAAAGAAACTGTTCAAATGATGAGTCGGACTATTTGCCATTTTAACCAGCTGCGTTTGGAAGTTCATAAACTCCACAAAAGAAAAGCTTTGTGGAATCTCTCAAAAGTCATTTTGTAGAGAAATAGTGGATCCTTTTGATGAAACCAAACGTATGTTTAAAGAAGGCTTTATGTGTGCAAAAAGTCCCTTTAAAGTTGGGCGCCGACTCATTTTCCCCAACCCAATAACTCTAGAGCTGAAAGAAGATGAAAGAAAAGGCTATAGTAAGGAATTAAGCGTCGCCTGGCAGCGATCAGAAACCTGTCGCTGTAGCTACAGGCTTTAGAGCCAGATTGGAAGACTTTTGTCTTCTGTTTCAATACCAGAGCGCTTGCTTGATGAGCGGCAGCTCCCGGGTTGGAATTCCGTTACATCAATTTTTTTGGATTTCAGCCGACAACTTTATGTTTTGCCTTGTAGTATTGATGTTTAAGAAAAATTTGCATATCACAATACTATTTAAACATTTATAGGATTCCCATGTTGATCGAGGCGATGTCCAACGCTCGTGTGCTGTATATAAAGAGATGAAGGTATTGAAAAGTTTGTACAAAAGTCACCGAAAATTTAGTACGAATGTGATGCAATGCGAAAACAAAAAGAAATGCAATTGGAATTCTTGGCAGCAGGGCAAATCGAGCAATGGTCATCATTTCATGAAAGAGGACGAATCAAACATTTGGCATTGGCTGATGTTGAGAGAGTGGGAGAAGACGCCGAGCCGAGGTTGGTCTCATGAAAAAGGAATCTGGAAGTGCAATTGGAATTCTTGGCAGCAGAGCAAATCGAGCAATGGTCCTAAGTACAAATGTTACATTTTCTAGATTCGTTGCTCTTTTCGCAAACACGATGTTGATTCTGGAGGTGACAGCTGAACAAAACAACTACAAATTGGTGGAGAAATACAAGTTGGAAGGACAAAAAGTGCAACGAGTTGATGGGAGATATGCGGTAGCATTTGGATCAGGTGAGTGGCATGGCTATTAGCTTAATCGTCAAATTTGACCTTTAATCTTCTTACTGTTTGGGAAAATTCCAACCCGAACCTAATTCCACCTTCATTTTCTCAGCCGCCTCTTGACCGATTGTTCTGAAATTTTGCTTACAAATAGAAATTAGCATTCTCTTCTTGTAGACAAAATTTCAGAGCAATCGGCCAAGAGACGGCTGAGAAAATGAAGGTGGAATTAGGTTCGGGTTGGAATTTTCTCATGTCTAGTTTGTGAATTCTGACAAAATGCTGGAATAGCTGTACGATCACGATTGCATAGATTGACAACCCAAAACCTAAACTAATCTTTTTAATCTATTTCTTTTAGAAGTGCCAATCATTCTCAGCTCAGCGTCCCATTTTGAGATGGATCGCTGGTTGACGGCTTTCGCTCAATGCAATGGGGTGACTGTGGAAGAGGCGTCCACTTCATTTGCAACCTCTCCAGTCAGATACAATGTGCAGAACTTGGTAAAGTTTTATAAAGATGAGTTGAAAAAGTTAAAGATCTAACCCGTTGAAAACTGATAAACTAAGAAAACCTAGAAATCAGTGAGTCAGGCAAGGTCAGAGCCAGAAGCCAGGTCCTTGCCAGGCGTCTAGTCTATTCTGACTTTGCCTGATCTGGTTTAGAGCCAGATTGGAAGACTTTTGTCTTCTGTTTCAATACCAGTAGAATCTCAAGACTTGCATCGGTGGATATTCGCTTAAACTTCTACATCAAAACAAAGTTTCTAACAATTTTGACCTGGCCTTTTCCCAAACCCATTCCCACATTCAAGACTCAAGACCAAATGTGTCCAAATCTTTGATCCAAGCATATTTACTCAAGACGGGGAAAAGGAGTGAATACTATGCCTTAGAAGGAGTAAAGGATAGAGTATCGACTTGTCCATAGAGAGAGAGAGAGAGGCACTCCTCTCCCTGTCTCTCTTTACTCCAATCTGCCCTCAATAACTTGTTTGCCCTTTTCTCTCTATTCCACACCCAAATCCACCATTTATCCGACTTTAACCTTACCGCTTTTCCGGAAATTGTTTTTTCTGTTTTTTTTTTTTGGATTTTAAAGAGACTGTAATTCTCATCTTCGTAAAGTATCCTGAAAGAAAATTCATTAATCTAGCCAACCATTAAGAATACTTTTATTCTGACATATCTAGATTTGTTAGCTGAATACTTATCTTCTGAATAGTAGCTCAACTTCTATTCATTGAATTCCCTCTTTCCCAGCCTCTCCTGAATAGTTACCATTAAGAATACTTTTATTCTGACATCTAGATTTGTTATCTACATTATCTAGATCTCTACATATCTAGATTTGTTAGCTGAATATTTATCTTTGAGAAATATAGCTACAGTATCCAGTAGTGTACAGTCTTTAAAATAAAAAATGTTTTGCAACTATCTCAAGTTCTAGTCTTTCACAAACAAGTGCTTTCTTAGTTCTGAAAAAATAAGTGACAAGAGTTGCTTGTCTGTTAAGTGTATTTAGACCCAATTTATCCAGTTATCGTTTACTCATTAGCTTTACATTCATTTCTCGACATCCACCACCATTCGGTGCCTTGATTTGTTCAGTCGGCAGTTCAATCCATTTCTTTTCATCTCATTGTTCATCTCATTTGATCTTCCCCTATCAGATTCAACTTCTATTCATTGAATTCGCTCTTTCCCAGCGCTTCCCAGCTCTTCCCATGGCCTCTCCTCTTTTTCTCAATTTCTTCTTTTCCCATTCATTCAATGTCAATTTGAATGCGCTGAATTGAGTGTGATTTTTGTGTGAAATGGCAAAGAGATGCCCTTGAAGCTTGGGAAATGAGAGATCTTATTCCAAGAGACAACAAGGATTGCTTCTGATTTCCGAATTTCATTAATCATTTTGATTTTGATTTGATTTTGATCAAATTTTCAATCTCTTCAATGCATTTAGAAGTTACGAAACTCTTTTTTTCTACTTGTGAAACCAAAATCAAAACTATACAACACTCTCCGTCAAAGTCACTCACCCACTAACCCTTTTTGAATGGATGTAGGTGATTGAATTGAATGAATAATCGTAATCGAGGGGGTTTTGGATAGAAAAGAGAATGGGGGAAAAGGCTTGTTTTCCTTTGATTTGTTCAGTCGGCGGTTCAATCCATTTCTTTTCATCTCATTGTGTTGCCTTTTACTACCCGCATAGAATCATTTTTGATGCTTTTAGTTGCAAATTTTGAAGAGGGAAACGAGTCTAGCAATTGGTAGATAAACTAATGCACTAACTCAAGCATTTTGGTATTCTTTTGACTAACAAATAAGCTAGAAATCTCTCTAAATTCTGCAATTGGCCTGTCTGTTTTCAAAGAGACAAAATATTTTTGCCATGAATCATTTTTTCTCGTTCGCTTAAATGTTTATTTACAATCGGGGTTCAAATTAGTACAAGAATTTGTCAGAATACTAATGTTTATTCAACGATTTCATTGTAGTGTGATATGAAATCGTTTCTCAATACCGTATTCTCTCTAATAGTAGTGGACCGTGCCGAGTTGATGACTATTTTACGGTTTCCAATTTTTCACAGAAGCTCAACACTCAAATCCCCCACAAGATCTCATCATCAGCTACCTTTTCCGACCCCACATCGATAGGTTCTGATAAACGCTTTTCGAGATTTCGAGGAATTTAAGCAACGCTCATGGTGCACTACTATTAGAGAGAATACAGTATTCCCTTTTACTAGAGCTGTTCATCAAAGGTTCAATCCCACCGGTAGAGTATTGATTCTTTTTCCATATACCGTATTCTCTCTAATAGTTCGAGCCCAGTTGATGACTATTTTACGGTTTCCAATTTTTCACAGAAGCTCAACACTCAAATCCCTTACTAGATCTCATCGTCAGCTACCTTTTCCGACCCCACATCGATAGGTTCTGATAAACGCTTTTCGAGATTTCGAGGAATTTAAACAACGCTCAGGGTGCACTACTATTAGAGAGAATACGGTATTCTCATAGCCTTGAATTCTTCACAACTTGATACGTCGGGATTAGAGTGTGTTCCTCTCAAATCAAACATTCTTAAATACACTATCAATTAAAAAAGTACCGCAGTTTTATATTATTTAACAATAAAAAATGGCAATAAAAATCTCGAGGAGCGCTTTATAAACGTCCTGAAAGCTATTCAGTCAAACGACTGAATAGCTTTCAGGACGTTTATAAAGTGGATTTGAGGACGTTTATAAAGCAGATTTCAGGACGTTTATAAGGACTAAACGTCCTGAAAGCTATTCACTCGTTGGACTGAATATCTTATTTGAGAAAGTTTATACAAAAAGAAAACTGAATAGAATTTTAGTCGCTTTTAGAATGCCTTATTTGACCTTATTCAAATAAAAAAATGTATTTGAGTAAATTTCTTCAACAAATTATTTGTTTGAGAGGAACGCATTCTATTTTACTTTTAAGTCTGCTAAGTGTATTTAGACCCAATTTTACGCATTCCGCATTCGGGATTACTTCCTTGACATTACTTCCATAAAATCCTTGACACTTTCTATAAATTTTCTTTGATTTAGCTTTGATTCTCTTGAAAATGAATGAGTGTCCTTTCACATTTCACACGGGAGCTCTTGTCAAGTGCCAGATGGGGTGACATTGAAAGAGATTGGGGAAAGGGAATCAAGAGATGAATCTCCATTTAGCTCTTCTTTTTCTTTAGAAGTGTCTCGATGCTTTTGATTGTGGGAATTGTTGAGCTCTACTAAACGTTTTTTTTTCACCATGTCAAAAAATCAATCTTTCTGTAATCAATCAATCTATCAATCAATCAATCAAACCAAAAATCAATCTATGAGTGTTAGAAAAGAGTGCTCCAATTCGATTCAGTAATTTTTATTGAATAACATTGTAAGATATTAAAATTTTTATACATTCTTTTTCTCTACGACCTTTAAAATTCAATTCTTTTGATTAATTTCAATTTTAAAAAAATTTGATTCTTGTCTAAACAATGTAAAAATTATTCTTTTCAATGGAAGATCCTTTTCTTTGGCTATCAAAGCATTACGGCGGCATCATAAGAGACAAGCTTGAAAGAAAAAGGAAAGAAGAGAAAGAATTGTTTGTCTATGCCGACCATTTCTTTTCTTTTTTTTGTGTCGTCTTCATTAAGCTAGACCGGAAGAAACGTCTTCGATTCTCGCAAAATCGACCATTTAAACAGATTCTCCTATTACGCTTGCTTATTCAGTTAAAATATTAAGAAATCTCTGGATTTCGTTTACTTACTTTAATGGCTTTGTATCCATAGCAAAGAGTTTTAGATTTCAGCCTTAATACCTTTTCTATTTGTATTGATGATTCTCAAAAAAGATCCGGAATTGATTGACTAGAATAGATTAACTAGAATAGATTAACTAGAATTGATTAACTAGAATTGATTAACTAGAATTGATTAACTAGAATTGATTAACTAGAATTGATTAACTAGAATTGATTAACTAGAATTGATTAACTAGAATTGATTCAACTTTTTTCCCAAAGTTTGCCAGTACACTTGCAAATCCAATCCTTCCAACCATCCAAACTCGATATATATTTCCTTTTCCCCATCAAAAACCCAGTCAAATCATTGCCTATTTTTATGTTGTGTTTCGCGCCTCGATTTAAAGCCATTTTGTGGCGTTTTTTTGAAAAAGAGAGAGAAAAAAGCGATATGAGCAATGGCTTTTTCATCGTAAATCCCATCTCGCCACACAAACACTTCTCAAATATTTGTTCGATGTTTTCTAGCTTTTTTTCAATCTCTTTTTTTGATTCTGAATATAAAACAGTGATTTAGCAAGGTTAGTCAGTAGTCAGTAGTCAGTAGATTAGTATTTTAGTAAACCAATCCTTTGAGAGAGCATAACTCCTTCAGATTTCATGAATTTACGAGTTCTAAACCAGCATTTATTGCTAGTAACCAGTTCTAAACCAGCATTTATTGCTAGTAACCAGTTCTAAACCAGCATTTATTGTTAGTAACCAGTTCTAAACCAGCATTTATTGCTAGTAACCAGTTCTAAAACCTGTTTACTAACAATTTCTGAATTAGAAAAGATCCAAAACCAACAAATCTTACTATTTAAAGTAAAACTCTTACAAATCACTGTATCAGTTTTGTCAAGTTTTATTTGAGCAATGGACATACATACATGTATAGCTAGTTAAATTGGTTTAAAGTTTAAAGTTTAAGCTTTAAACCATGCTATTTTCTTCTTGAAATCCTTCCAAACTTCACTATGCTCAAAAAAAAATCTCTCAACTGCTCAAAAGGGAAGAAAATTTGATTTCCTCGCGTTTTTTTTTGGGTCAATATGTCTTATTTTTGGCATAAAGAATGCTTTTTCACTTTTTCAAAATTCTTTCCATTTCAACGATGAAAATATTAAATCGAATTTGGAGTCGAATGAGTCGTTTCTCATTCGCTTCATCTTCTTCATCAACATCCGGTTGTTGTTCTAATTCTCCGTGTTGTTCTTCGTGTCTCCCATCACTCGGCACTGCTTCGTCCTCAAATACCGATTTATGGACTCAAAAATATCCACCGATTGCAAGTTTTACAAAATTTAAAGAAAAAAGATCAAGTTTTCCCCCTCAAAAAGACAACAAAGACAAGATTGATTTATAAATTTAAACTTTTAGTCTTCAATCTCGACACCTCGACAGCCTGAAGTGACAATGGTGCCCACACCTGAATACGCTCGAATAGCAAAGAAACCATCGTAAATTTAAAAAGAAAAACTATTGTATTATCAAGAAAATTAAGACTTGGTGCCAATGAGATCAAGTTAAATCACGAATTGGAGATGGTCGTACCGGAGGGTGATGATGAGGGAAATGAAGTGATGAGAGGGTACAAAGAAACACAACGGATACACAATGGATACAGGTAAGTTAGTTGAAATAGTTGAAAAGCTTATTTACAATACTTTTTGGTCTTATGAGAGTTGTTAGGTGTCAAATTTTGATATCAAATTTCGCTCTTTTAGCGGCGCTTGTCTCCGCCCGTATCCACCGATTCGAGGCCCGAACTACGCGATCGATTATGGAAAGAAGCCCGTGAAAATGAGAAATAAAGAAAGTAAAGATATTCAGTTGATAAAAAGAAATTGAAAGTTGAAATTTCAGCGAACATTCAAAGTAGCGAGGATGCAATCTTGCTGCGAATCGTTGAGGGATATTGGCAAGGCGGGAAAGCGGCTGCACCATCCTATGAACAGGTAAAGATATTCAATTAATAAAGGTATGCAAATAATAAAGATATACAAATAAAGATATGCAACTAATTTCAAATTTGAAAAGCTAATTGTTTACTTTTTGTTTACTTTTTGATTGTAAATACAAATTTCCAGGCTCCACAACTAATCGTGGCTGAAGATGAGAAAATCCTCGTCGAAGAGCTGATTGACGGGCAATTGGTCTTTCAGGAAAAGTGGGATTACATGGAATTTTATTATTTTTACAATATTTAGAAGTCTTGTCGATACAGTGTATGCTTTGAAAGATCAAGTCAACAGTCTTCAACAGGTGGGCAACGTTCTTGATCATTCATATCAGTCAATAGTGAGCTCAACCACAGGAAACTTATCTACTTTGTGCTTAAAAATATAAACAAATCCTCTCTGATACACTCATTTTTTTCTATTTCATGCTAGCGAGGGAAAATGTGATGAGTTTTTAAGCTGTACATCAAAAAAAGTACATCTTAAAGAACAAGTCTACTAATCGCAAAGTTTCTAAGTTCTAAGCGCTTTCCGATTAGAAACTAAAGTGTCAATAGGTACTGTGTAAAGCCAAGAATCAAATGAAACCTTCAGAAAATGGATCAATTGATGTCAACTGTTGAGAAAGAGCAACGAGCGCGGCGACGATTAGAAGATATGTGGAGGAGAGGGAGTGAACACTGGAATCTCTCAAATATCAATTCAACACCAAGAACTGAAACTTCTTTCCTTTCCGAGAATCAGATGCAAGCTTAATAGTTGAACAAATGATTGTTTTTGTGAGGAAATTTTGCTTGCAAGAGCTCTGCTTGAAGCTTCTGATTGTTGGCCAGGAATTGACAGCTTTCAAAAGCTTTAAAGGTAGCAAGATTATCATTTAATCTGAAATCTTGTACTCAATTGAAATGTTTAACTGAAGGAATCACTAAAAATCACTTTAAATCATTAAAAATCACTTTAAATCACTAAAAATCACTCTAAATCATTAAAAATTCAAAAGCAATTCAAAGAATGACTGGAATTTATTACATTTTCTCATCCGAAAATGGTTTTAACTTGATTTAAAGTTTCAAAATAACAATCAGAAAGTAAACAAAGCTTTTCTAATCACAAATTTCCTTGCATTATCTTATTTTATCCATTTTTTTCCATCATAGAAACCTCAAAAACATTATTTCACTTGAAAATTGCATTGCATAACGATACTTTCTGGAAAAATGACTCATTTCATTGCACTAATGAAATGTTATAACTTTGATATTTAAGGAAAAGAAAAACTGTTGGCTGTTTGGTGTTTATCAATTGAGTTGCCCGTTTTTATGCTAATTTTGTTCTACTTTATGGGAAAAAACGGCCTTTGCAAGTGACAAATTTCACTTTTAAAGTCAATATTAATACTGACAACGAGACCTTATGCAATCTGACAATTCTCATCCAATTTATGCAAAAGTACTTAATGTTTAAGCGCTCACTCATTGGCAATACTTGTCTTACTTGACCTACTTGACTTACATTCATGCTTGTAAGTTTGTAAAATTCTTGTACAAGCACTTAAATGAGGAAATGCTAGGCCACTAGATTAAACAAGTTTATAATCTGTTCTATCAGAAGCTATATGATGTCTGTTTATATGTCTATTTCAACGTATTTCACTACAAAAACTAACTATGAATCAAACTAACTATGAATCAAATTCAACTTTGGATACAAATTTACTTTAGCTTATCCAAATCAAGTCAAATTCAACCTTAAAGCGCCTTTGAACAGCCTGAATGTCTTGGAACTTCTAAAACTAAGCTTTCTTTTTGCATAGGTTTTCTATTTTACAATTTTAAGTAAGGATGTTCAGATCTGTCACTCAAATATTATCAATTTGCCAATGCGATTGATAAACTTTGATAGTTGAAATTGTAATTCTACAAAATTCTACCATTATCTTCTTATTCTTCCTGTCTTTTCCTCAAATTCGCCATCCTTGAAATTTCCATTTTCCTTCAGTTTTTCAGCTTTCACATTTTTGGTGCTACCCCGTATTCGCACGCATTTCTCCTACTTAAATTTTCTTATTTCTAATTTATTTTGACTGTGATTTTGACTTTTGCTCAATTTTAGTTTGAAATAAATAAATTTTTCCTTTTTTGAAGTTATTTCTTTTTAAAACAAGCCGTCGCGTTATCGAGAAGAGCATTTTTTGTGGTATCTTTGCTGGGTTTTTTGTTTCGATTTACAACTGAATTTCTTGCAAAATGAGACCACGTGCCAAAGTAGATTTATGGCCATTTTGTCTACAAATAAAATTATTTTAACTTACTTAAACTCAAAAGCAATAATTGATACTGCCCAATGTTTAGACCAAAGTACCCGATAATGTCTTGATTTAAGGAAACCTTTATCCGCTCTAGTAATATTTTTCATTAAAATTCAATTCCCGCAGTTCGGGTACGGGTTGGCAACTTTCCAACCCTAATTTCTAAAATACCCCTAGGCTACCGTACTCGAGACGGCGCCTCCTTTTTCCCCTTTCTCAAGCCCCATCCCGTCAAAATTCATTCCTTTAAAGAATCGTTGCCTGGTCCGGCGCCTCGCCCTATTTTTTTTTGCGCGTCTATGTTCCCTCCTCTAAAATTATAAAATTCTGTATGTTCCCCTTATAAAATTGTCTTTATTTTTAAAATTTTCCTTTTTCCCTGTTTCTTTTAAAATTGTTAAAGTTTTAGAGTTTCTGTACTTTTCCCACTCTTTCCACTTTATTAGTCTTTGGACCCGTGTCTTTCATATCACCGATAAAATTAAAAACCTAAACATATTTTCTCTACAAACTCCAGTCAATCCAACCCAGCCGCGAATTTTCTTGTTATTTCTCTCGTTTTGGCAAATCATTTAAAAAAGTATATTTCTGGGTTAAAAGGTTTAACAGTTTGGGTAAGATTTTAAAATTTCGACCCAGAATTTAAATATTTGGAACCGTAATGCGTTACTTTTTTTAAACGTGCCCGCTTTCAAAAGCTACCTTAATTTTGCCGCAGTTACCCAATCAAATTTTGGCCTGATTCTATGGGATTTTTGGATACAGTTTGGATAAAACACTCAAGATTATGGTACCTTTTCAAAGCAGGCACGTTTTAGAAAACACCCGTAAATTCTAGAATATTTTGTTGCCCTTCCCACTTAACGAGGTTATCAATGTTTTCAATCTAGATCTCCTCCCGATTACTTCTCGTTTTATGAGTGCGTTTTTTCGGATCTTGTCGGCCCCGCGTTTGTCTTTCGTTCGTAAAACGCGTCAGCTTCACTTTTTCCGATCTCTGAGTTCAGGTTCGTAGTTTTCTTATATTCTACTTTGTACAGGGTACGACATATAGTGTTGCGCTTAATTCATCTTTTTGGCTTTATAAGACAATATATTAACCTAAGACAATGGACCTAAGCTGAAAGGCAACAATTAATCATAATCTACCCGTAATTTTAAATAAAATAGAAGAACCGTAACATTTTTTAAATTACTTTAATAACCCTACCCAAGCAGTACAAAAAATGCTATGCGGCATGATGCTGAAAAACGGTTAAATTCGAGTTTGGGGTCTCTAAAAAATCGTCTTTTTCTGCATTAATACGTTTTTAGAGTTAATTATCATAAAGGTAGTGCTTTTTGAGCTCCATGATTGCAAATGAAAGGTTATCTTGGCTAACAAAAATGGGCACATTTTTGGCAAATTCTATTTCCTTGAGAGCAATCACGTTTAAAGTCTTATATGAAACGAATGGTTTTAAATTTTTACCCAAACTTATGAATCTTTTGAAAAATGTCCGTAGATTTTAAATATCTAAACGAAAAAACTGTCAACTCTTTTGGTTTTTTGATAAAATTATCCTTTTGTATAGCGTAACACTATATATGCCGCACCTTGTACTTGGTGATAATACTCTTAAAAGCCATAGTAATTCCAACTTGGTTCAGATTTCCCCAAAAATTAAAAAAAGAATTTTCTTCCCATAATAAGTCAGTATGATTTCGAAGACTTTCGATAACTTGTCCAAAAATTTGCTCCTTCAAGCAATTCTACCTGGACTTTTCTGTTTCTTTCTTAACAATTGCAATCCTGAAGTATTATTACCAATTTGATGCTAACAATAAGGATATCTCAATCTTTCCAATTAGACTTCTCTGACCGTTTAGATGTCTCACCGAATCCGTTTCTTCTTTGACGCCCATTGTGTCAACTCTTGGATCGGTTTCAAAACCCTTCAAACATTTCAATCAAGCGGATTTTTTATCGATTGCATCCCCGTTCTTAACAAGCGATTGTTGTACAAAAGAAGACAAAAAGAAGCGAATGCAAAGTTTACTTACATTGATCCCGATGACATCGTGCACGGAGTCTACAAGAAAGTTGCCTCAAATCCATTGAAGATTCCGATTCCAGAGGATTATGAAAGGATTCAAGGAGAGGCTATCCAGCAACGATCATCCGCTGCAGCGATGTTCCTAACGAGTCTCAAGATGAGTTACCCAGATCGTTTCATGGAAGGGGTTGAGTCGATCGGGGAGCATGTTTGGGTTAAGCGATCGCACGTGTTTAGGGGATTTCAGGTAAGAAATAGTTTGGCAAAGTCTCTAGGGTTAAGATATTTAACTGGTTACTTAAACAAGTGAAAATCAAAGCCAGGGCTTCAAGTTTACTCTCACAACTTATGCATATGCAACTTTTCAGATCTTTCGTTTGGCCGAACAAATGGGCTTCGAACATCGTCAATGCGATTCTTTGGTGACAAGTTTATGCGATTATCGAGTAAACGATGTGCTGAACAAATCAATCGGAGAAGCCTTTCAACATGGAGCCAAATCAGCCCCATTCTACTTGATCAAAAATGGAGATGACGAAGAAAAAGCTAACGATATCGAGGAAGCGATGCGAATAATTGATAAACTTATCCCTTAAAAATCCTTCTTGAGCTCGAAATCTTTTATTCCGTGATCTCATTTTGTTTAATTGTTGCTTGATTGATGATTTCATTTTCAGTGATGCCGGCTCCTGTGAACCCAAGCGTGTACCCGACGGCGAAGCGCGATGAGACAGTGTTTGATGACTATCATGGAACTCGGGTGGCCGATCCCTACAGGTAACTTTGGTTGATTAATAGTGCAAAATAGAAATGATAAGGCTAAGATAAGCGTTTCTTGAGTATAGTACTACAATTCTGTTCATTTTAAGCATCCAAACCTTTTCATCAAGTTATATTCATCTCAATAAGATAAAATAGTCAACAATATTGTCAATTTTCTAATAAGAATTAACCAGTCTATAAATTACTTATCAATTTTATTCCAGATGGATGGAGGATCCAGACGGTGAAGCCACTCAAAAATGGGTCGACGAGTTAAACGGTGTCTCTGAGCCGTTCATCAAAAAAGCCCCGTCACGAGAGAAAATGCGGGAAAAGTAGAAAAACTAAAAAATTTACAAATAATTCTCTTTCAGATTGACGGCCACTTGGGATTACGAGAAGTTCACCAATACGAGCAAGCGAGGACAGTACTACTACTTTTGGCACAACACCGGTCTTCAGAATCAATAGTAATGACTTGGATTTTTCATTCAAACATTTTTTTAGTGTTATTTATCAATCGACGAAGCCTGAAGAAAAAGGAAAGGTGTTTTTGGATGTGAACAAGTTGTCGGGTGAGTGGTTTTGGTGCTTTTGTCATAAAGAAATTTCAAGTCAAACGAAAAAGAATCGATTAATTTAGCATTTAGCCGTGAATGTATAAGGCCATTTTAGCGGGAAGTTAGCTTGCTGCTTGATCAAAAACTATAAAATATTCAATACATATCGATTCAGAAGACGGGACGACCTCGATTCGGATAGGAACTTGGAGTGAAGACGGGAAAACGTACGCCTACGGAATCTCGGAGAAAGGATCCGATTGGATGACAATCAAGGTAGGGGAAAGTAGAACTTCTAGGAGTTGAAGAGATCAGTTACAACTGCTTAACTCCATAAATGAAAACTAAATTGAAAATTCAGTTCCGCAACAATGATGGCACTGATCTACCGGATGTGATCTCAGGCGTGAAGCACTCTGGATTGGATTGGATGCACGATGGAAGTGGGGTGTTCTACTGTCGATACCCGGATCATAAGGTATGTTTGGTCAAGTATAAACAAGCAATTGCTTTAATTGCTAAACAACTTTGGTCCTTATATTAGCATCTCTAGCATTTTCATTTTCTATTTTCTATTCAGGGCGCTGAAGTTGGGACTTCTGTTGAGAAGCACGAGTTTCACTCACTATATTTCCATCGGATGGGCACTGATTCGAAAGATGATGTGCTTGTTTATGATGATCGAAGGAATCCCGATTACATGATGTGAGGACTTTGAACAGTAATATTTTCGGATGCATTAGCAGCACCTTGGCATTGGCATTGATTAGAGTTTTATTGGCAGTAACAAGTGGAGACTTGTATACCTTGTAACGAGACTATCAATACAAAATGCCAAGGATAAGATTTTGCCAAATCCTCTGTGTAGGTTAAAGAGATTTTCTATTTAGTTCAACATCTCACCAAGATCAATTCAATTCCAAATCCTTTCAGTGGAAGCAGCTTATCTGAAGACGGTCGTTTTCTATTCTTGGATATTTCCCGTGGCTGTGATCCCTACAATATGCTCTACTATGTCGATCTCGAGAAGAATGGTCCTATCAAGGGAAAACTCGACTCTACTCCACTCTTCGATAAACTTGACGCAAAATATTCTGTAAGTAGCTTCGAGTTTTAATTGACTATGGCAAATCCCAGTTCATCGACAATACCGGGGACGATTTCCTGATCCAAACAAACAAAGATGCTCCGATGTACAAGCTAATTCGGATCAATGCAAAGGGTGAGCAGGATAACTTACTGTATATTTCGAATCTTGGACTTGAAACCTAATTCATGAATTCTAATCACAAAACTTGATAATTTCAGATCCATCAAACCAAGAAGTGGTCATCGAAGAGAATAAGAAGAACAAATTGGAATGGGCATCACCGTGTGCGAATGATCGATTGCTTGTGTGCTATCTGGAGGATGTCAAGGTGAGGTCTACACCTGAATTTTTGAAGTCGACAATGAAGTGCTAAACCAAATCTAGAGCCAACGCCAACTATTTTTTTAGACCACTCTCTATGCACATGATCTTAAAACGGGTGATCAGCTCTACCAATTCCCGCTTGATATTGGAACGATCAGGTTAGAATTAGTAGTTTAGTTGTTAGAATAGTAGAATCAGCATTCATTTTCAAAATAAAATTCACAGTTACGGTTTAATCCATATTCTTTAGTGGTTGTTTCGCGAAGAAGGACGAGACCGAGATGTACCTCTCATTTGAATCATTCTTGACTCCGACAGTCGTCTATGCATTGAACTTCAAAGATGTTCCTCTCGAGAAAGCACCGGAGATCAAGGTAGACAACTAGCTGGGTTTGGCAATCAACAGAAACAACCGTATCTACTAATAGCAAATCCTCACCAATACCAATCAGTCACAAGTCTCATTATTAGCTCAAACTTGTAAACCTTTGAGTTACATATTGATGAAGTCAAAGCTGTTGCAAAATTGACGCTGTTTAGCTTCTACGACAAACTACATTGAGTGGAGTCAATCTGTCGAACTTCGAGACTCGACAAGTCTTCTTCAATAGCAAAGACGGCACAAAGGTTCCAATGTTTATCGTTTCAAGAAAGGATCTCGTTTTGGATGGCAATAACCCAACTTTACTTAATGGATACGGTATGCATCAATGGCTTAACTTGAATAATAGCTTGTTCAGGTGGCTTTAATATTTCGGATCTCCCGGCGTTCTCTGTTACTCGACTTTGCTTTGCTCAGGGCTTCAATGGAGTTGTGGCTGTTGCGAATATTCGGGGAGGAGGGTAAGTGGCAGAGAAATCAATGATAAGAAAAATTTATGCAACAGTACGTTTGTTAGCATTAGATTATGGTCCCGTACATCAGTTGGAGATAAAAATGGCAGCTTGGTCAGCTTGTAGGGTAGACTTTGTGGCTCTTGGGTACTTGAGCTCTAATAGGTTTTGGGAAAAGACCCCAGAGGTACCCAGAGTATCATCATTCGTGATCTAATTCCAGTAGCTTATCAATTCTAATAACTTATCTTTACTTTAGTGAATACGGAGAAGATTGGCATAAAGGTGGAATGAAAGGGAACAAGCAAAATGTGTTCGACGACTTCCAAGCCGCCGCTGAATACTTGTTGGAGAACAAGTACACCAATCCAACAAAGTAAGCATATAGTTGCTACATCTTGTGACTGCTAAAGTAACTGATCACTGTGTTTTTCAGACTGGCAATTCAAGGTGGTTCAAATGGAGGACTCTTGATGGGAGCTTGTTCCCAGCAACGCCCTGAACTCTATGGTGCGGTGATCAACAGAGTTGGGTAAGTAATGAAATCTAAAAAGTAATTTTAACAATTTTAGTGTCCTTGACATGCTTCGCTTCCACAAGTTCACAATCGGCGGTGCTTGGGTGCCCGAATTTGGAAATCCAGATGAGAAAGAGGATTTCCCCTATATCTACAAGTAAGGCACTATTGCACTGGTAAAAATACTGGATGATATCCAACAAATACAGGTACTCACCACTACACAACATCGCTTTCCCGAAAGCCGGCCAATGGCCATCGACTCTCTTGATGACAGCTGATCACGATGATCGAGTTGTGCCCTCACACACGCTCAAGTACATGGCTGAGCTCTATCACAAGGTTGGTATTGTCCAATTATCTGATAGTTGATTACTTCTCGTAGTACTGTTCTGTCCGTATGTATAACTGTAAGGATTGTTCACCCATCCTATAGATGGGAGGGAAAGTGGATAGATCTTGCGACACAAGCAGACTATTCTAGCATAACTAATTGTAACTACATATTCAGTAGCTTAGTTTCTTTTTTTTCTAGTCTTAATTTGTTACTCCTATATTTTAGGCAAAGCAACATCCGGATCAACAAAATCCCCTTCTTGCTCGCATTGAAGTAAAAGCTGGACACGGAGCCGGGAAGCCCACTAGCAAAATTGTAAGTTTATATTAAAAACTATACAGTACAGTATGTCTTGTTGGCATGATTAATTACAATATTGGGATCTTAGCAGATCATTTTTTTTCAGATCGCCGAATACGTAGACATGTACAGCTTCCTGCAGCTTGTACTTGATCTTCAATGGAACGATTAATGAAAAGAAAAGAAAATGAAATAATTACGAGTAAAAAAACTCCCATCTGTTTTTTTGAGTAAGTTATTTTTTGCAAGCTTGTAAAATTTCGGTGATTATTGATTTTATGTGATAAATTTTCTCAACAAACATTCTGTCATCAAAAAGCAAAGAAAGAGAAAAATAAGCTTATTAGGAGATTCTTGATAAGCAAAGCTGACGATTAACATAATTTCCAATTTGATTTTTTGGTTTCAATCTAAAAGAATTTATTGATCTATTATGTTATTAACACAAAAAACATTGTGGGTTTGTTCAGAAAATTTTCTAAAAAAGAAAAAATTTCAGATTTCCAGCATCACTTTGTTTGTTTTACAATTTTTGAGCAATGGCATTTACTTTTTCGTTGTAATTTTGCAATCCTATACAAATGTGACGATAAGGTAAAAAACTAAAGTTCAAACATACACAAGGTTTTTGTTAGTTTAGAGCTAACTAGGCTGGTCTTAGCCTGGAAAATCCTAGCAACAACCCTGGTCATTATGTTAGAAATCGCTTGTAGCAATAAACAATAAGTAGGTTAGCAATATGTGCTAACGAGCAATAAGCTAACAATAAGCAATTGGCAGGGCTGGGGACCATGAGCATAGGCAGAGCAGGACTAGAGTGTGCTCCTCGCGAGTAATTACTCGAGTAAAATTTGCATGAGTAATTTTTACTCGATTAATCGACCTTTTTTTGGTCGAGTAACTACGAGTAATCCTCTTTACACGTCGAGTAAATTGAATATATTTACTTGTGCGGGGAATTTACCACCAAATCAGTTAAACGGCTGAATATCTTTAAAAAGAGTCGTATATAAGCCAGCTCTTGATTTTTTGCAATAATTTTCGTTAAAAGTACGGTAATTTTTGTCTAATTGTGCGTTTTAAAAAAAAACGCATTACTCGTGAGAAAAAACACTCTAGGCAGGAAAAGACAGGCCAAAGCCAAGTCATGAGTATTGCCTGGCTTGGCCATAGCCTAGAAATTAGATCTTACACAGCACCAACAATTGGACTGAACTATTGCGATAGTCTGTCTGGGTTTACTCTAATGAAAAGCAAGCTAATCTAGAAATATAGTGAAATGTTAACAAGTGGGATAGTTGAAATAAAAAAGGATCAATTTCACAAAAAAAACTGCTTTTAGTGAATACGCGAAGAGTGATGCAATAAATGATGATCAATTGCATACATTGTCGGAAATTTTGTACTATGTGTAAGCAGTTACACGTAAAATTTGTAGAAAAAGTGATTTCAGTTATGACATTTCAACGATTTCTCTTCATATCACGACTTTCGTGTTGACTGTCATCGGTTTGAGGAGAGGATTTTACATGATGTCATTGTCGTTTCCCGCATATCTGGTTGGTGCTTTAAAGGATGCATCAGTTACCGTAAACCGGCTCAGATCATCAATACCAATATCCGGCTTACTGTAACAATACTAATGAACTTACAGATACAGTCGTTTCCTTACTCAACTCGGTATTCACTTTCAGATCTCTGCGATCGACGATATGCTCCAAATGTTCACGCACGGGATTTTAACTGATGAAACTGTTACGTGGCTAATTGGCGCTATTTCTTTCCTCTTAACCTTTTCAACAATTCTCTCTTTTACCCTATTGCATCGACGAATATTTGCACAAAGACACGCATTTTGTCCACTCTGCAAGACGCCGAATGATTTCATTCCGTACTTGAAAGTTGAATAAATCTTCAAAAAGTGGTTTATGAGCTTTGATTAACCCAAGAATGGATGTATTTTGTATGACAAATTGTGAGAAGCATTCCTAAATGATGTCAGAGATAGAAAACTCCTGGATAAAAGTCTAGCTGAAACCTAGCTTAATAGCTGGAGAAATAAAAAGATTCAAGTGAATCAAATCTCTTCAGGTAACTCTACAATCAATCTTCTCAACATTTCGTTTGCCGAATTTTGTTTATCCACTAAAACATCTCAAACTATGGCTGAAGAGATTGAATGATTGGATGATTTCGATATTTTTACACTTATATAAGTTTATCTTTGCTTACAATTTGTTCAGAAAATAAATTTACAAAAGTAATCTAGACAAAAGAGCTAAACAAAAGAGCTTTTGAGCTAAATCACGTCAAGAAAAGAACAATTATTTTCTCAAAAAGGCGTCAATTTGGCTTTGTTGATATCACCACTATCCACAAATTCACAATCGGCGGTGCTTGGGTGCCCGAATTTGGAAAGCCAGATGAGAAAGAGGATTTCCCCTATATCTACAAGTAAGGCACTATTGCACTGGTAAAAATACTGGATGATATCCAACAAATACAGGTACTCACCACTACACAACATCGCTTTCCCGAAAGCCGGCCAATGGCCATCGACTCTCTTGATGACAGCTGATCATGATGATCGAGTTGTGCCCTCACACACGCTCAAGTACATGGCTGAGCTCTATCACAAGGTTGGTATTGTCCAATTATCTGATAGTTGATTCTGGATGTTTTTACACTTATTCAAGTTTATCTTTGCTTACAATTTGTTCAGAAAATAAATTTACAAAAGTAATCTAAACAAAAGAGCTAAACAAAAGAGCTTTTGAGCTAAATCACGTCAAGAAAAGAACAATTATTTTCTCAAAAAGGCGTCATTTTGGCCTTGTTGATATCAAAAATCGGATTAAATCTGAGAATTTGCAGTTTCTAAAAGCAGAAAAATTGATTAAGAGCAAGAAAACTTTAAATGTTCTTAACTGAGAGATGTTTTTTGATGTGCAATCCGAGAATTATACCGAATCGATTGCTTTGGGTATAAATTTTTTTGTAGAAGCATTTTTTCTAGAAAACTTTGATCAGAATTGTTGATTGAAAATGATATTTAACTCTTCAGATCATTTGCATCACTTTATCGATCACTCATTTCATCGCTGATCTTGTATCGACTTTGATTCTCATTTTGGATTACTATCGAGATGATAATTCAACGTTGAGGTGAATAGAAAGTAAAAAGTCTGTTCCTGTCTGAATAAAAACCATTTTCTATTGGGTTGGTGAATTGAAAACTGCGGGACTTTGAACTAAAATTTATTCAACTTAAAACCATGAATTCATTCCAAATAATTTCCATTATTATTGACGACTTCTGCCCATTTTACAGGCAATTTGCGGATTCCTCTTTCTGCGTAGGATTTTGGTTTGTGTGTGAGACAAGTGTGAGACTCAAAAATGAAGGACTGGAGATGTCCCAGTTTGAGCACTTTCTTCAAAAGAAACCCATTTTCGTGTCAATAGAAAAAAAAGAAAAAAAAAGACTGAAAAAATAAAACACGACGAAAGACTGAAAAATTCTTTGTGGCGGGGTCCTTTTATTGTGTCGGGTTACGGTAGTTTCCGACGTTTGGCGCGGAAACGTCTGAAAGGCAAAGGCATCCGAAATTGAAAACTGCGGGCTATTGTCATATGTGACAGTTTGAGCACTTTCTTCAAAAGAAACCCATTTTAGTGTTAATGGAAAAGTTGTAGAGAATCAAAAATCAAGCTTATATCCAAATTTTCAGAACGATTCAAAAACTGGTTTTCAAGAAATGCCAAATTCACGAATTTTCCCAAAACTTCCATTTTAAGCGAAACTACTAAGTGTATCTTTTTGGAAATTTGGATATAAGCTTGATTTTTGATTCTCTACAACTCTTCTATTGACACCAAAATGGGTTTTTTTTGAAGAAAGTGCTCAAATGCTCAAACTGGGATATCTCCAGTCCTCCATTTTTGAGTCTCACACTTGTCTCACACACAAACCAAAATCCTACGAAGAAAGAGGAATCCGCAAATTGCCTGTAAAATGGGCAGAAGTCGTCAATAATAATGGAAATTATTTCGAATGAATTCATGGTTTTAAGTTGAATAAATTTTAGTTCAAAGTCCGGCAGTTTTCAATTGACCAACCCAATAAAATGTGTAAAAACTGTCGTAATCCTTTTTCAAGCTATATTCTTAGAAAAACAAATTAAGAATAGAGATCTACCTTTCTCTCAATTGTTTTAATCTCTACACACTTTAGCATCTACTCTCATTCATTTGATCCAGAGAAACGTGGAGCGATTACTTTTATAATGCAATTCTTCTACTATGCGTAAGTTCAAAACTAGAATTTGAATCACTTTTTTCAGCTTTGAGGCGTCGATGACCGCTTTGCAAATCTCTTGTTTCTTTTTGACGATTAGAGGAATCAAAACGAGACATTATCTCTTGTCATTGGCATATCCCGTGTATCTCGTGGGTTTTAACCCCTCAAGAATTACCCAATGACTTTTAAGTATTGAGCTTTGAATCATTTCCAGCTATTCCCCTTGGAGAACTACTTTGTGATGCTTGTTCAAGGCTTGCTCACAAACGACAATCAATCAATGTACCTTGGGGCTTTTCTTTTGCTAACCGATCTTCTCTTAATGATATTTTATGTTCTTCTTCATCGACGAACATTTGGATGGACAAGGAGTTTGTGCCCGATTTGCAAAAACCCAGAATTGTTTCACTCATACCGTTTACCAGCCTGAATATTGTCTTTGAATTGATTGCAAATTTTTGAATTTCATAATAAAGCTACATTGTTGTGTTCGATTTAGATTTCCGTCTGATTTAGATTGAATCCAAATCGATAGATCGATAGAATAGATTGAACTTATCGCGGACGTCCGTTTTAGATTCAATCTAAATCTTATATAGATTGAACAATAAGATAAACATGCTTAATATATTTTCTTAAGCGTTTTCTGTAGTTTTTAACTTTAATAGGATAATAGTAAGCATTTAGTAGGAAAACAAGAAAACAAAAAATTCTCAAAAAAAGACAATAAAATTTCTCTTTGAAAAGCGCAGAAAATTGCAAAAAAACGCTTAAGAACATATATTAAGCACGTTTATTATTGTTCGATCTGTATCGGACGTCCGATATAGACTGTAATCAATAAAAGACCTTTGAAAAATGCAGAAAACTACAGAAAACGCTTAAGAACATATATTAAGCATGTTTATATTATTGTTCAATCTATATAAGATTTAGATTCAATCTAAATCATCGGACGTTCGATATAGACTGTAATCTAAATCGGACGTCCGATATAGACTGTAATCTAAATAGGACGTCCGCGATAAGTTCAATCTAAATCGGACGGAAATCTAAATCGGACACAACATATACAAGGACAAAATTTACCACAATTGTCAAAGTTTAAAATCAAAACATGAGCTAATATTTAAGGGTTGAAAGGATTAAGACTTGAAAAATTGCCCTAATATTAGGTTGTTCGAATATAAATGAGCGTTTGCACTGCTTAACTCGTGAGGAAGCCATTTCCCGCATCTGATCGTCTTTTCAATGCGTGGTGATGCTCATCAATAGTAGAATCTGAACATAGAAACTGTTGAGCAAGCTCACGAGTCGTTTGACATGGATCCGATTCGATTGCAGCCCTCAAAGTATCGTTGTCTACCGCTTGAGGTCGACAACGATATTCTTGACGAGAGTGTTCATCATCCTCGAGACTTTTATCACCGTTCCGAAAGCGTTGGAGCCAGACTCGGCATCGGCTTTCGGACAAAACATCATTCCCAAATGCTTTGACTAAATCTCGATGGGATTCCGCGACTGTTTTGCCCAGTTTGAAGTCGTAAAGTAAGCAGACCCGAACTTGATGTTTGAAGTCGGTGATCTAAAGCTGAAGTCGTAAAGTAGGCAGACGCGAACTTGATATTTGAAGTCGGTGATCTAAAGCTGAAGTCGTAAAGTAGGCAGACGCGAACTTGATATATTTGAAGTCGGTCATCTAAAGCAAGAAAAAAGTTCTTAAAAATAAGAAATTATCCGTTTAAAAATATTCCAAATATGCACAAGATAACGTACTTTTAAATACATAAAGAAATGTTTTAAAAGCTTCTCTCACAACAATAAGTTTAGCAACACTTGTTTATATCCGAACAACAATGAAAAATTGAGTGTAAAGCGCTAAACTTCTTGTCAGTTTTGATTTCTAAAAAGACTTTTTCTTTAGTAAACATCACCAAACCTTTTTTTTCCCTCTGATATCACCTAATCAGCTTATAAATTCTTGTTAAGAATGAAAATTTTAAAGATTTTCATTTCATTATGGCCATTTGTTTACAATTATGCGATCAAAGGCGAAAATTTATCTCGAAACGAGTACTTTGGGTGAGCTTTATGATAAAGTACTTTAAATAATTACTTCTAATACTTACTTCTAATACTTTAAAACAAGTGCTTTAGATTCTTTGCTTGTTATCAACGTTTATAAATGCCAGTGTGCAGCTTTGTTACGATATTTGGACAATTCTTGAGTATTATAATGACAACAATACAGTAAAGTAAGGAAATAATATAATATTTCGAAAACTGTCCAAGACAGGTAATCATTTATGGCCTATGGCCCAGCCACAAGCGCTGAACGTCACATTTCATTCTTTATTGTAACTGTCCAAGACAGGCAATAATTTAGTGCCATGGCTATGGCTTATGGCCCAGCCACAAGCGCTGACAGTCACATTTCATTCTTTACTGTAACTGTCCAAGAAAGGTAATCATTTAGTGCCATGGCTATGGCCTATGGCCCAGCCACAAGCGCTGACAGTCACATTTCATTCTTTACCGCTTTTGCATATTATTCGTAAGTTTGTTTTAAAATGACTAAACCTTTTTCAAATTTTGATATGAGATTGCAAACGTTTGCCTTTACATTACATGTTTCTTGATGACAATTGTCGGGATTCGAAGACGGCATTACTTGCTTGGATTGGCTCATCCTGTGTACTTGGTAAAAATTTAGCACAAATTTTCTGGCTTGGCTTGGCAAAGTGTTCTTTATGTGTGAGCGTAATCGCTCTTAATCTGGCGCACTGTGTTTTCCTGGGTCTTCGGCGATTGGGAGTTGATAAATTAAAAGACGAGCATGATAAACCTCGTTCAGTCTCAATATCGATCATTGATCTATTGCTTAAAATAAGAATCAAATTACTTTCCATTCAGCTTTTCCCTCTCGAGAACTACTTCACAACAATGACTGAAGGTCTTCAATGGAATGACACAAAAGCTCTAATCTTTGGGACTTTTCTTTTCATTTCCTCGATTGTCGCAATGTGTTTTTATGTTCTTTTGCATAGAAGAACATTCGGATGGACAAGAAATTTGTGTCCTTTATGCAGAAATCCATATTTGTTCAGTTTTTATCGACATGCTTGAGCTTTAAAACCCTAGCGAGGGCTTAGGATCTCATTTCAAAAGGATTTTGAGCTTTAAATTTCAATAAATTCTTTACAAGAATCGATTTTGACCTAAAAATTGTCTTCCAATCAATCTCCTTACAAGAAAACGTTTGAACGTATCAGTAATCGGCTCAAAGAGCTCAATTGACTCAAAGAGACTCCAATTGACTGTGATTTATTTTTTGGATTGACTTTTCATATGGATTTTTGTTGTCAGAAGCGGTTTGGCTTTGAATTTATTGTTACTCGATATTGGTTTCGGGTAGGTTTACTAGAATTCATCATTTTATCGCTTCTTATCTACAAGTAGACTTATGAGGATTATTTTAAAACCAATCTCAAGTCGATCCGATAATTGAAAGTCGAGTTACAGAGTAAAATAGAAGAGTCGCCCAAAACTCCGAGACTCACCACAGAATTTCTTTTCACTGCAATTAGTTCAAATTTCATGGAAAGCAGTATAGACTTTCAGCTTTGTTATTCTTTAGTTACAGTTATAGTTACAATACGCTTACGCTTACAGTTAGCTGTAGATTATAGTAGTAAAACTTTAGTAAACTTTAGTAAACTAAAGATAGCTTGGCTAAAAACTTGGCCAATCTACAACTGAATACTTTGACTGTAATAAGCCAATCTATTGGAACTATATATGTCGTAGCCTGATTATGAATGAGTGGGTCTAGGAGCGTCCAGCCATCAAGTATTTAGTATCATTCAACGCAGAATCATTAATAATTATGTTAAATTTTTGAAATTAGAAAGATTGGATAAAAAGAAAAGAAATTATGGGGCTTCAAATTTTTCTCTTGAACAAACAGTTTTTTTCCTCTAATTTTTTTTCTTTTTATCAAATCTTGCTAATTTTAAAAATTTAACATAATTATTAATGATTCTGCGTTGAATGATACCAAATACTTGATGGTTGGACGCTCCTAGACCCACTCATTCATAATCGGCTGAAATTCATAATCGGCTACGGGGGTCCCGCCGATTTTGAATGAAACGTTGTAGCGCCGGTAATTTTAAACCTAAACTCACAAATTTCGTACCAATCGACGCAGAATTTAATTCACTACAGGATGATATAATATTGTCCTCATACATTGCTCTACTAGAAAGATTTGCCCAAAAAATTTCATTCATAATCGGCTACGACATATACCGTATTCTCTCTAATAGTAGTGCGCATGCTTTTGCGCACTACTATTTTTTTCAACCGCCTCTCGAACCGCAATACTATTAGAGAGTGCACTACTATAAAAGAGTTTTATCATTTACCAAAGTAAGACAGATCTTTGTTCCAAAAATTCTTGCAACTCTTTCACGTACTCCTTTGGCTCCTTTTGACATACAGTTGTGGGCCGGCGAGTTGACAATTTGTGTCTTGACAAACAATTTGTGTCTTGACAAACAATTTGTGTCTTGACAAACAACAAAAAGATGTTTTTGCACTTTGCACAACAATTTTAGATTTTTTACTAACTTTTTCATGTGAAGAATAGTTAATAAATGAATAAAAAAATCCTCACTTTTGCTTGCTTGAATAGCTTTAGCTTGAATAGCTTGAATAGCTTTAGCTTGAATAGCTTGAATAGCTTTAGCTTGAATAGCTTGAATAGCTTTAGCTTGAATAGCTTTAGCTTGAATAGCTTGAATAGCTTTAGCTTGAATAGCTTGAATAGCTTTAGCTTGAATAGCTTGAATAGCTTGAATAGCTTTAGCTTGAATAGCTTTAGCTTGAATAGCTTGAATAGCTTTAGCTTGAATAGCTTGAATAGCTTTAGCTTTAGCTTGAATGTCACATAAACATAAAGTCAAAAAGGTTTAGATGAAAAAGAAGCACCAGAAATTCAAATTTTCGAGGGTGCACTACTATTTTTTTAACCCCCTCTCGAACCGCAATACTATTAAAGAGTGCACTACTATTAGAGAGAATATGGTATACAGTTTTAGACACTATGTTTGATATTGACGGCAGCTCATTTCGCTGGACAAATTACGATCGCTGTGTTGAAAACAAAAGATTTGTATGGTGAAGATAATCCGAGCACAATGGTTTCATGGTGAGTTCAGAAGTTTTACAATGCAAAGAGCATTGATTTCAGCACTTGCACTGAGAGTCAACATGACGCAACGCCTAAAGTTACCTTAATTTTCAATTATAGGTGAAAATACAAAATGATTTGTAATGAATTGATTCAGCTTTGAGATCATGAATGTTTTTCTTTACGGGACTTGCTTTTTCTTGACTCATATCGGGATTCGAAGGCGGCATTATTTGATCGCATTGTCTTTTCCAGTGTATCTAGTAAGTTTTCAACTTGAAGTTGCAGAAACTTAAACTGAAAAAATGTATCAGTTTTAGCAAACTTATCTAATCAAAAAGTTCTATTTGAAGCTTAAACGAAGTTTAAAATGGGCCCGCTTTCACCACCATTTTAAGTCAGTGGCCTAGGAAGAGGTGGCCTAGGAAGAGGTGACTTAGGAAGAGGTGACTTAGGAAGAGGTGACTTAGGGGGAGGTAACTTAGGCTAAGCCACTGACTTGTTGAGTCAGTGGCTTAGCGATTTTTGCTAAGTCATGGACTTAACGAGAGGTTTAAGTCACTGACTTATTCAAAATTTTTATTTCATCGACTTAGCGCAAAGTCAGTGACTTAAAAAATAAGACACTATTTCACAAAAAGCAAGATTAAAATTAGCAAATTGAAATTTTCAAACGCAATCAAAAGAAACAAACGTTTATTCGGGCTTTACTTATTGTTTTTAGAGTTTTCTTTACATGATTTGTCATTTGATTTATTGTTTTATAGGGGGTGGGACAAATGCGACCTTTTTTGCGCACCTGGACCTTTGCGCACCTTTTTTTTGCTGGAAAAGGCCTTAGGCAAGGTCGTAGAGCTTCGAAAATATTTCCATATAAGGGAATCGTATGCGTAGATTCCGAATTTCGACAAATCAGACCTCGCTGACACGTCAAATTTGGGCTAAAAGGCAAAAACTACGCAACTTAACGCTTTTCCGCAGTTTTTGCCTTTTTGCCTTTGCCTTTGCCAAATTTGACGTGTCAGCGAGGTCTGATTTGTCGAAATTCGGAATCTACGCATACGATTGTAAAACATTTTTGAAGCTCTATGACCTTTCCTAAGGCCTTTTACAGCAAAAAAAAGGTGCGCAAATGTCCAGGTGCGCAAAAAAAAGGTCGCATTTGTCCCACCCCTGTTTTATATGATATCCCCTATGATTTATTCTTTTATTCTTTTATTCTTTTCCGTTATCTTTTTAAATCTTTGATAAATTTAAGTTCTCAAATTGGTGTTGGATTGCTGAGAACCTCTTTTATCAAGCTGTTGTTGTTTTGCGGTGAAGACAAGACATAATTTCCACTAAGTCACCTCTAGGAGAAGCCCGCTAGCTGACTTAGCGATTTCCATAGTAACACTAAGTCAGTGACTTACTGGAAAATTTGAGGCAGTGTCCTAAAGTGGTGGTGAAATGCTGACTTAGTTAAGTCAGTCATTTAGCTAAGTCACTCTAAGTCAGTGTCCTAAATTGGTGGTAAGATGGTTGACTTAAGCATTTTAAGTCACTGACTTAGTGGTAGTGAAACCGGGCCCTGATTCCCTGAGTGAAGAATGAAGATTGATGATTTGAGCTCAAATCCAACTTCAGGTATTCCCTTTTCAACTCTATTTCGTTTATATGACTGAAGGTGTTGTGTTAAATGATGTTCGGGCAACAATATTGGGCATTTACATGTTGCTCATTTCTGTCATCACAATCATTTTCTATATGTTGTTACATCGAGAAGTTTTCGGATGGCACGGCTCAACATGTCCTATTTGCAAATTTCGTTTGCATTGAAATTCATAAATGTCTTTATAAGTTACAATCTACTCAAAAAAAGCGTGCATTTCAATTTCATTTCAATTTTTCTCGTTACTACACATATATTTTGCAGAAAATACTATTTTATGTACTTTGATGAATTAAAACAGGTAAAGTTTATCGTTAGCACTATTATAAAGATAGGAAAACACAAGAATAACTACCGTAAATACTGTAATAGTACCCCAGCCCCCTCGTACAGTCGCGTAGTCGAAACAGCTTTTTAGTATTTCATTTTTGCAAAGCACCCGTACTTTCAAAAATGCGTCTTTGGTATCAAAAAATAGGCCTGAATTTCAGCTATTTTTTGATACCTAAGCGCGCATTGTAGCATAAACCAGTGTCGAGAAAAACTCGTTCAGAGCCAGACTACGCAACGCTCCACACCGTCATTATCTTTGGTATCAAAAATGTGTCTTTGGCATCAAAAAATAGCCCTGAATTTCAGCTATTTTTTGATACCTAAGCGCGCATTGTAGCATAAACCAGTGTCGAGAAAAACTCGTTCAGAGCTAGACTACGCAACACTCGGCACCGTCATTATGGGGGTGGGGTACTATTACAGTATTTACGGTAACACTGACTACAATATACTTGACAAACTGCCAGCTAACAACCAACGAAAATGAAATTTTTTGCAAAGTTTCCCCTTTATAAACTGCCCATTACCGTAATCCCGACAAAAACTTTTATGGGCACATTATAGAATTCAGCGGGACATTGAAAATGCACAAAGCGTGCAGATTAAAATTTTGAACTGTTAAATGTGCTGCAAAATGTTCTTGTATCATTTTTACATCAAATGCAAAGCTTTTTTTTTGTATTCTTTCTATTCTTGAAAGATTTGCGACTATAGCAAAAGTTTCTGTGTCACAAAGAAGTGAAACGGACACCAAATTGAGTCCATTGTTGGGGGTTGGATTGGGGAAAGGCGATGGGGGAATCCCCTTCCGGTCCTTCCCTTCTTGTCAGATATCGAAAAGGATTTAGAAAAGCCATGAGATCTTTCGTTTAGTGCATCGGCACTCTTGTTTTTTTTTCATTCATTTGCTAGTTTGTTCTTTGAAGTGTATAAGCTTAAATGAAAACAAATATCAGCTGGCGCATTGTTCCCCATGACGTCACCAGGAAGGGCTAGATTGGTTGTGTTTACGCTTTGAACTAAAGAGCGCACATCTAGTTTTGCTCAGCTCAGTGCTTTGAGCTATTTGAAGACTGGATAAAGGTTGGCTAAAGGCTAGCTAAAGGCTGGCTAAAGGCCGGCTATAGGTTGGCTAAAGGCTAGCTAAAGGCTAGCTAAAGGCTGGCTAAAGGCTGGCTATAGGTTGGCTATAGGTTGGCTATAGGCTGGCTAAAGACTGACCAAAGGCTGGCTAAAGGCTGGCTAAAGGCTGGCTATAGGCTGGCTATAGGCTGGCTAAAGACTGGCTAAAGGCTGGCTATAGGCTGGCTAGAGCCTGGCTGAGTATCTCAATTTTATCCCAATTTTATCTGACCAATTTGCAACCCCTATAAATTGTATATCTCTTCTTCTTCTCAAGAAATCATAAGCACAAATCTTGCTGACTTGTTTCAATTTCCCCTCATCAAGAGTTTTTATCTAACCAAGAAAAGACTAGCGAATTGACCCCGAGAAGACAAAAAAGACAAAGAAAAGACAGTGATCCTTCCGCATCAAAAAAAGAAGAGATATCTCAGCAAGGGTTTCCCCTCAACCCTCGACTCCCACTTCTAACCAAATCCCAAGGGAATTGTCGTTTGCCCTACTTGCCTTCAAAGAAAGAGAGACTTTGGTCTTGGGCTTTATCCCTCTTTTCCAAAGATATTTTTGCTTTTTAGCCGAGTTTTGACTTTCTTTCTATTTCTAGGCGAGCAATCGATTCTATAAGCAAAGAAAAGCTCACTATAACACAACGACTTTTTGGGAGAACAACTTTATGGGCTTTTTTGTTCTCAAGTTCTTCCTTGTTTCAATTCAATTGTTGATTTTAAAGTTCATATCTTTTCTGCCGTGATCTTTGATTGTTTAGCTTGGCTTTGCGATTTGTTAGAAAGATGAAACCTATTAGAAATCTTATGAATCATCATTTAATTTGCAAAGATTGAACTTGTTGATGAGCTTTCCAGCTGACAGTTTTCCAGCTCACAGCTGACAGCTGACAAATCTGGCAAACAATTCTTGAAATTTAACTCTTTCAAACTTAACTTTATGCCCATTTTGTCTTCTACATTTCAAATTATTGCTTTAGATATCTTTTAAGATTTTATTCTTAACTTTAGATCACATCTAGGTGCCAATTAGTAGGCGAATAGATCGTTAGTGTTGATCGGTGATCAATTCAATCTATATTCATTTCTTTTTCTCCAATCCGATGTCTCCCCATCGTGGGAAGACAGGCGTTAGCTAGATCGATAAAAAGGTAAATAAAGTTTTGAGTTGGGTCTTTTATTGGTTGATGCTGAAAATACAAAATTTGATCGGCGGGGGGGACTCGAACCCAAACGCTTGACGGATTGACGCTTGAGGGATGAGCTATCCGATGTATCAAATTGATGTTAGAGTAGTGCCTTATCTCTGACCTTAGCAGTTTTTTTTAAAACATTTGAGAGAAATATTCTCAACTCATAAGTAGCTCAATAAGTAGCTTTGAGTGTAAAAAGATCTCGAATAAAAAAGGTGCAAGCGTCTTTCTGGAATTGCAATTTACCACTTTGCACTTGCCTAGATAAATTATTGAGTTTATTTTTTATTTTAATCTCAAAGTTTAGATGGTAACCCGGTGGGCCGGCGATTTCGAGCTACGTCTTTTGCTGAGGACGTTTCTATCGCTTCTCATTTATCTTTTCCCATCACCCGTTTTGTCAGCGCTTCGAAAAACTCATCCAATTGAGCTAACAATCAATTCCGGGAGTATACGAGGAGAAAATTTGGTGGGGTTTTTACAAAATTAATAACCTTTACTTCTCTGCTATGATTTTTTGCTATGACTTCGAAATAAACAAACTTTCGTAAAACATTTTGATTAATATCATTCTTTAGACTATTAAACAAGTCTAGAATATATTTATTCTGCTAATAAAAAGAAAAGAATGACGAAGAATTTGGACGTGAAAGGGAATTGAGCCCTCGACCTTCTGCTCTAGATGCTCTACCACTAAGCTATTAGGGGCTTGTTTCTCCTAGAAGAAATAGGAAAGAAAAGGATTTCATCAATATTAAAGCTCTTTGTTTTAGGTGATCAGCGGGAACGATTACGCCATTTTCAAAGGTGTTCCCTATGCAGCGCCACCAGTGGGAGCGCTTCGTTTTGCTGTTCGTTTTATCCACTCACTAATGCAGAAAGCTGATTGATAGCTTTAAACTTTTATATAGAAATCGATTGTTTATCTTTATTTTACAGAAACCCCAACCACCAGCAATATGGCGGGGTTTCATGAACGCCACCCAGTACTCGGCGATGTGCGTTCAGAGAACCGAGGGTCGACCCACCGATCCAGAAAGGTTTTCTTCATTTTTCATTAAACTTTTTAATAATCTAAATATTCATTTGTTTTATAAATAGGAACTATAAAGGAACTTTAAAGGAACCAAATAGGAACTATAAAGGAACTTTAAAGGAACCAAATAGGAACTATAAAGGAACTTTAAAGGAACTTTAAAGGAACCAAATAGGAACTGTAAAGGAACTTTAAAGGAACTTTAAAGGAACCAAATAGGAACTGTAAAGGAACTTTAAAGGAACCAAATAGGAACTATAAAGGAACTATGAAGGAACCAAATAGGAACTATAAAGGAACTAATATCTAATATTTTCATAGTTTTCAAAAGTTTTAAATCAAATTCCAGACACACCGCACATTTTTCCGAAGATTGCCTCTACCTCAACATTTATGCTCCGACAAGAGTTTGTTTTTCTATTTTTAAGGAAATTTTGATTTATTATTACTTTCAGTATTTCAATGATACATATCCTGTGATTGTTTTCATTCACGGCGGAAATTTCCAGACAGGCGGCGGAAATGATTATTCACAACAGGTAAGCAAAGAAAACTGTTTTCACTAAATGCTGAATAATATTTCCCTATTTTCAGGCGATTCTGGAAAATTTCGTGAGCCGGAAGATTCTTTTTGTTACTTTCAATTATCGATTAGGTCCTTTTGGTGAGTTTTTTTCTCAAAAAAAAGCTATAGTTAAAGTATAACCAGTATCAAGCTTGCAAAATTTTCCGCCAAAAACGGCCCGGTCCACTTGCCAGAGGCATTTTGACTATTCAAATTGAACTTTTCTACGGTATCATTCGATAGAGCAAAATTTTCGGCGCCGAATGATACCAAAATACCGTAGAAAAGTTTAATTTGAACCAAATTATAGCCAAAATGCCTCTGGCAAGTCGGCGGGGTTTTTTCGTTTTCTGTTTTTGGCGAAAAATTCTGCAAACTTGACCAGTATTGACCAGAAAAGGTGTATAGAATTTTAAGCACAGAATGTATAGAATAAATCTCAGATTTTGGGGCACAGAAAGTCGACAAGACAAGACAAGATGAAGTCTTGTCTTGTCTTGTCGACTTTCTGTGGCCAAAATCTCGTCGTAGAACTCGAACGTAGAACTCGGCAAGTCGTAGAACTATCGATTATAAACTTAAAGTCAGAGTTGTAGCAATTGAACTCTCAAAAGTTTTCATCCAAAGCAGTTCGAGGCTTCAGCTTCCCACATTCAGCTTTATATTTCCAAGTTAAGCTAATATTTCAAGTTATAAAGCTAATATTGAAAAGGTTGTTAAATGAAAAGATATTCTTAATGAAAGATTTCCTTTTCTCTTTTCATTTTTCTTCTCTCAAAAACTCTCAAAAACGGTGATTCAAGTCTCTAGGGAGTTTAAGAAAAGGAAAAAGATAAATAAAACAAAGTTTCTTTGAGAAAAACCCAATATCTTTTAAATAATTTATATTAAAAAAATATTTCAGGATTTCTCTCAACGGGTGAAAAAGAGGCGCCAGGCAATTTGGGACTTCACGACCAGATTTTGGCCCTCAAATGGGTAAAAGTGAGTGGAGTTGGATTAGCAAAGAGTCAAACAAAAATTGTATGCTTAAAATGCATTCTTGCAATTCGATTAGCCATTTGATTAGACTTCAGTAGCCTTCAATCAATAGAAATGTTAAGCTGTCATTGATAAATTTTGTGAAACTTTTTGAAATCCAATCTTGTTTCAGCAAAACGCCGATGTTTTCGGTGGCGATCCGGACAATGTTTTGTTGATGGGCGAGGGGAGTGGAGCCGCGTCGGCATCTATTCTTGCATTGTCACCGATTGCTGAGGGTTTGTCAAAAGATTTCCTCTAATTTCCCTGCTATCTACAATTGGATTAAGTTAGATTAGGTTTAAACCAATATTAACTTAAACTTCTCAAATTCAATCCCGCGTCGGCATCCATTCTCGCATTGTCACCGATTGCTGAGGGTTTTTCAAAAGATTTCCTCTAATTTCCCTGCTATCTACAATTGGATTAAGTTGGTAGATTTAAACCAATAGAGACTTAAGCTTCTCAAATTCAATCCCGCGAGAATAGAGCCGCATCCATTCTAGCATTGTCACCGATTGCTGAGGGCTTGTCAAAAGATTTCCTCTAATTTCCCTACTATCTACAATTCACTTTAAGTCGATTAGATTTAAACCAATATAAACTTAAACTTCTCAAATTCAATCCCAGTCTAAATTCTAAAAACTTTTTGTATTTTTGCGAAAAAGTGACTTAAATCTGCTATATTCCTAATCAATTTTTTACATTTTTAAAAGCCTCAAAACCCAATTCAATCAGTTATTCAATTTATAAAGACACAAAACTTGAGTTGAATCAGATTTGAATTTGAATTGAGATCCAATGGAAGCTCAGAACTAGCAAGTCATATGACGACAATCGTTTCAAGACTTTTTCAAGAATTTTTTCAAGACTACTTGAGAATATTCACAAGATTTTCCCTCTAGATCTTTTCTTTTTATGGGATTCCAATTTGGATGGCATTGTGAGAGGGAAAAGAAAGATCTCATAGTTGAGAAAAAGGAAGAGCCAACATCGCGTGCTGTCCACCGGATGTCGGTCACAATGTTGAGCCTTCCAAACCTTAGAGTCAGCTAACATTTCTGGAAAGAAATCTTTAACATAGTAGTTGGTGTTGGGAAGAGTTGGGTTACTCTAAGTTCAGAGTTATCTTAGAGTTCTCTAAGTTAGTTCAGAGTTGAGTTGCTCTAACTATTGCCAACTTTGATACAAATTTTAAAGAGGACAATTCAGGTTTTTAAATGATAGTGAAAGATGTTGATTAGGTAAACGATTCTAGAGTCAAGGACAAACGAAAGAAGAGTTACGATTCTCTCAAAGGGAAACACCTTATCCCAAACGTGTTTCCCAGATTGCTAACGTTTACGCTACCACACAATGAACACATTTGCAGTTTTCTTTTGCTTTGTAGATGGTAGTAAAAGATATTTAGCTGTAAATTTGTACCCGGGGGGTTTTCGAGGTCGGGAATCGATTGGAGCTATTCATTTTATTGAGTCTACTAATTGTAACTTGGATTTATTTAGTTTAAACTTAGATAAATTCGAAAAATTAGCCTATTTTTGGAGACTTTAGGTCTCTTTCATCGAATATTATTGTTATCGGGGACAGCTGTCTCTCCTGGAATGGTCCGTGATACAGCCATTAAAGCAACTGAAGAACTCGACAAGAAGCTTCAGTGTCGGTGAGTGAACATATGATAAAGAGATTAGAATCTCTTTACAAATCTCAAAGCAAGTCTTTTACATATAAAATTTTGTAAAACTGATGTTTTACACTGTCTGAACGCTAAAGTATCACCTAAAAAAAGCTCTGTAAATTGTTGAGCTGTTGAGCAACGAAGCTGTTGAGCAACGAAGCTGTTGAGTCAGTTTTGTTAAACTTTATTGAGCTTTGAGTTTTGTTGAGTTGTTGAGCCAGTTTTAAAGCTTAAACTATCCACGAACATTCAATGAATGAATGAAAGAATTCTAAGAACTAAAGTGAATTTTAAAAGTCAATGAAATCAATGAAATCAATGAAAATTGATGGAAAAAATTCAGAGAACGGGATCCCGACGATCCGACCAAATGGAAGTAAGATCCTAACAGTGAAAAAGGGGAAATAAAAGTGTTTTCAACTAACAAAATCACTAACAAAGTAACAAGAAGACCAAGAACACCTTTGAAAATGGCGTAATCGTTCCCGCTGATCACCTAAAAGAAAGAGCTTTAATATTGATGAAATCCCATTGTTTCCTATTTCTTCTCGCAGAAACAAGCCCCTAATAGCTTAGTGGTAGAGCATCTATTCGGTAAGCAAAAGGCCGAGGGTTCAATTGCCTTTCACATCCAAATTCTTCGTCATTTTTCGCCAAAAACAGAAAACGAAAAAACCTCGCCCACTTGCCAGAGGCATTTTGGCTATAATTTGGTTCAAATTAAACTTTTCTACGGTATTTTGATATCATAAAAGAGGGGAAATAAAAGTGTTTTCAACTAACAAAATAACTAACAAAATAACTAACAAAGTAACAAAGAATTAACCCTAGTTTTTCTTCAAGTTTTCTTCTTCTTGTTCTTATTAAAATCTAATCATTTAGATCGTTCAATTCCTCAGAGCTGCTCGATTGTTGGAGGAAAAAGATGAAGGAGGAGATTCTCAATGCTGATGTAAGCTTTTTTGAATTTGAATTTGTAATTTAGAATTGAAATTTAGAATTGAAAAAGTATTATAAATAGTTATTAAAGTTAAAACTTTTATTATTAGGATCACTTTTTCGATGATTACGATGAGTTTGTGCCGATCGTTGATGGAGTTGGCGGGGTGATTCCGGTAAGGAAATCCAATTTTAATCTATAACTAAGTCTACAGGGTGCGTCATAATTATTGCAAGAAGATACTCAAGGCATTGCACACCAAGAAGTTTCACTGGAAGAAGATTTTTAAACAGAAATAGCTTTATTTAACAATAACAAATAAGGAAACAAGAGATCATTCGATATGACCGCCTTTTGCCTTGATAACAGCCCTTAATCGGTTCGGATATGCCTCCACTGCGCCCCGAATGTCATCTTGAGGAGTCGCCTTCCATCCTTTGGTCAAAGACTTCTTCAAAGAATCCAAACTTGTGTGTTTTCGAGAGCAGACATTAGCCTCTAAGATTGCCCAAATGGAAAAGTCCATCACATTGAGATCCGGTGAGTTTTGAGGCCATTCATCCTTGGTGATCACTGAGGGAAAGTTGTCCTGAACCGTCTTCTTCACACCAGTCCTGAACCGTCTTCTTCTTCGTCTTCCACACACACCAGTCCTGAACCGTCTTCTTCGTGTGAGGCGGGTGGCAATTAGGCAAGAATAAAGAAGATAGAACGCAACACAACAAAAAAGGGAGGCAAAAAAAATAAGAAAAGCTGTTTGGAAAGCGGTCTTTGAACTCTTGTTGCAATAATTATGACGTACCCTGTATAACTTTGCTCACTTTTTCATCCAAAATGGACATCAAAGGGTAGACATGGAGAATAAATGTCGTGGGTGGTGAGAGGAGAGTGACGGGTGGGCAAAGAGTACGATAAGTGCCTACCGAAGAGTAGGATAAGTGCCTACCGTACACTAGCTTAGAATCTAGGTCCTAGATGTAAATTGAAAGAAGTTTTCAAGAAGACATTTAACATTTATTAAAATTAGCTTTCAAAATTAGCTTTCAAAAGCATAGAAAAGTAATAAAATTGTTTGTTTAAAACAATTGATAAACTAGACTTCGGAAAACAAAACTTAACCAAAACCAAAACCACCAAAACCAAAACCAAAACAAACCAAAACCAAAACTAACCAAAACTAACCAAAACTCGCCAATATCTCGCGACTGGGAGGAGCTAGCGAAAATCTGTTTGCAGATTTGAAATCAGCATCCAAAAATCTATCCCATAGGCTATTTTTTGTTTCGAAATTTCGAGGTCGTGTTTTGGTCCTTTTTTCGGCCGCGAGATTTTGTGGAGTGAGAAAAAGTGAAAGGCAAATTTGCATTTTACATTAAAATTTGCATTTTACAATTTTAAATTTACATGTTAATTTATATGCAAATTGAGTTTTGGTTTGTTTTGGTGTTTTGGTTTTGGTTTTGGTCTGTTTTGGTCTGTTTTGGTTTTGGTTTTGTTTGCCGAACTCTATGATAAACAACAATTGAAAAATAAAGCACTTTTTAGAATACGATTCCTTGAGATTTACTTGAGATCAAATAAAAAATGATTTACGCCAATTTATTTAAGTACTTGAGGAAAAGTGGAAAGGAAAAGGAAGAAAAGGAAAGGAAAAGGAGGAAAAGTGCCGATCATGTTGGGAACAACGAAAGATGAGAGTTCGTTGAGGACTTGAGGAACACAATCTAGATTTGTGACACTTTTTAAAGCAAAAACCCAACTTTGTGATGGAGTTGGCGGGGGTGATTCCGGTAAGGAAATCCAATTTTAATCTATAACTAAATCTATCACTTTGCTTATTATTAAATTCAATTTATTTTCATTAAAATTCTTCTCTAGGAAGCTCCCGAATTGTTGGCTACTTATCGCCGAAAAGTGCCGATCATGTTGGGAACAACGAAAGATGAGAGTTCGTTGAGAATAGGTAAGTGAAAGGCTTCATCAAGGGTTGATTAGAGCAATCATTTAATCAATAATTAGTATTCTGTAGTGACCAAAAAGGAATTTTCAATGCAAAACACAGAAATTTAGTGATTTTAAACGAGAAAAACGTGAATTTCACGGCGTTGACAACGGAGGTGGCTGAGAGATTGGCCGACAATCTCACAACTGGATATCATCAATTGCAAAATCATGGCTTGGTGGCTAATGTGAGTCTGAAAATAGTCTGAAAATAGAATATAATCATAGAATTGTATTTGAAAGCTACGGTTCCAATACGATTCTTTTTTGATCCAATACGGTTCTCTTTTGATCCAATACGATTCTTTTTTGATCCAATACGGTTCCAATACGGTATTGGAACCGTATTGGATCAAACTTTGTAACTTTGGTTCTTAATTCGATTTATTTTCCAGGGTTGCAAGCAGGAGTACATCTGGACAAAAGTCGATCCAAGTATGGACTCTGAAGTTCTCTTCAACTCAACTTTAAGGGTATTCTTTAAAAACATTCAAAATAGAGAACTAAGTTTTTTAAGTTTTATAGAGAAAAACTTTGAAATACAGAAAGACATGTTTTAAAAGCTTCTCTCACAACAACAACAACAACAAACAAAAAGCAACACTTGTTTATATCCGAAGAACCTAATATTTGATATGTTTGTTTCTTTTAAACATTAAATTTGTACAAAACGAGCTAACCTATGATTGAATATCTTGCAGAACATCAAAAAGTGATATCTTCTAGATGTTTTCACATTTCTGGTATGATGCACCAGCGACAAGATTGGCTGCCGAGTACGCGAAAGCTGAACAACCCGTTTATCTCTACTCTTTCGATCATATTTCAGAGAATTTCTATCACAAGCGTGAGTTTTCAAATGTTAAACTTCTATTTATATTTAAATTATTTCATTTCTAAGATTGATAGGCTTTACTTTAAAAGTTTTAGGAGCCTTTCACGGAGTTGATGTGATTCATTTGTTCAACTTGGAACCTCGCTTCTTAAATCGACGAAAAGATATGAACTGGCAATTGGATCAACGAGTTATTGAGATCTTCTCTGAGCTTGTTGCGAATTTTGCGAGATTTGGGTGAAAAAAAGCTGGATTTTAAATGAAAACAAGTAGGAATTAAGGAATCCAACTCCGGAGAACTCGGGTTTCGCCTTTAATTGGACTCAAGTCGAGATGGAGGAGCTTAACTATTTGTCGATCACTGACACGCCAACTATGGAGGTGAAAATGGGATTTGATTGGATAATGGAATTGTTTTTCAAACAAATTTGATTTTCTTAGGTGGGTTTCCGATGGTCTGGTCACATGTTTTGGAACACGTATGCTCGGACACTTGATGTTGTTGATATCGGCAATATGAAACAGATTGCGAGTCTTGAGAAGAAACTCGCCGATTTTCAGGTTTCATTTTCACGATCTAGGCCACGCAAGGCCACTGACCTGACTTCTGTTTCTGCTTTTGAGCATTTGATCTAGTCCATCTTGGTCTAGTTCAGCTTGACTTGGCTCTAACCTCGACTTGTCTCTAGTCTGGATCTGTCTATCTGGTTTTTCTCTGGTTTGATCCTATTTGGAGACGCCAGTCCTTTTATGGGTATATACTGATACTCTAGTTTTTTTTTAGCTTAAAAGAGTTGGAGACGCTGGTCCTTTGCTGGGAATACAAAACATGGTCGGCGCCGGGATTCGAACCCACAATCTCTCGCTTACCGTGCAAACGCTCTACCAAGAAGCTACGTATCCCATTGCCAGAATAGGGCCTTACTCCTTGAGTCTAATCTGACTTAGACCTAGCTCTGGTCTTACAGGCTCTATTGGATCAATTGGCTTATTCTGTTCAGATGATCAGATGATCAGATCATTAGCTCATCAGATCATTAGCGCATCAGATCATTAGATCATCAGATCATCAGATCATCAGATGATCAGATGATCAGATGATCAGATCATTAGATCGTCAGATCATCAGATCATTAGCTCATTAGCTCATTAGCTCATCAGATCATTAGCTCATTAGCTCATCAGATCATTAGCTCATTAGCTCATCAGATCATTAGCTCATCAGATCACCTTGTATCTTTCCAGTTAGCCACTTGGATGTTACTGTGCTGTTCCGGGTTTTTCTTCACAATTCTCGTTGGTTTGGCTTGTTATTGTACAAGAAAGGAATCGGATGAGGACGAGATATGACATCAAAGGGACAGCCATGAGAGACTCCTCGGTTCAACGCATATTTAAGTTTTTATTGAATTCTTTGTTCTGCCCTTTTCTAAAGCACTATGTGTAAAAATGCTTTCTGAATGCGGTAATTACATTTCCATAAGAAAAAAACTTCCATTTTTGATGTTTATTAGGTATTTTCTTTCTATTTCAGGTAATTTCAGATAATTTTTACAATATTTTACAATATACAATTACAATACAATACAATATTTCTCTTATTTTTTTGAGTCAATATCTCCTGGCCGTCCCAATCTTTTTTTTTAGCTGAAAAGCCAGAGAATTCATTTTTTTTTTGTTTAATTTTGTCAAAGTCTTTCTTTTCTAGCTTTTCTATGTAAAAAAATTTCAAATTTTCATACAATATTCTTTTTTTTTCTTCAATTTTTGCTCATTCATATTATGATTTATCTTTTTACTAAAATATTTAGTAGATAATATTTATAGAAATATTAACATTTTTAAATATTGGGTTGGTCAATTGAAAACTCCGGGACTTTGAACTAAAATTTATTGAACATAAAACCATGAATTCATTCGATAATAATTTCCATTATTATTGACGACTTCTGCCCATTTTACAGGCAATTTGCGGAAAAGGGGCGACGTCCGGACTGTATGGGGATTCCTCTTTCGTAGTAGGATTTTGGTTTTAAATCGAAAAACTTTCCAAGCCAATTTTTGACTGCTTCTTCCGAATCGAAGTGTTCTCCCACAAGCTCATTACTCATGATCCGGAATAAATAGTAATCAAAAGGAGCGAGGTCCGGACTGTATGGGGAATGCGTTAAAAGTTCCCAAACAAGGCTATTTATTTTAGAGCGAGTCAGTTTTGCAACATGAGGGCGCGCGTTGTCGTGGAGGAGAACGATCCTTGACTTGGAGGGCCGATTCTTCTTCAGGGATTCATTCACCTCTGATCATAATCCGGAATAAATAGTAATCAAAAGGGGCGAGGTCCGGACTGTATGGGGAAGAATAGGCCCTCCAAGTTTGAGCACTGTATGGGGAATGAGCCAAACGTTCCCAAACAAGGCTATTTATTGTAAGAAATGTAAGAAAAGATAGATAGATTATAGACAAATATTATATTATTATTGACGACTTCTGCCCATTTTACAGACAATTTGCGGATTCCTCTTTCGTAGTAGGATTTTGGTTTGTGTGTGAGACAAGTGTGAGACTCAAAAATGGAGGACTGGATGTCCCAGTTTGAGCACTTTCTTCAAAAGAAACCCATTTTGGTGGCAATGGAAAAGTTGTAGAGAATCAAAAATTAGGCTTATAGCCAAATTTCCAAAAAGATACACTTAGTAGTTTCGCTTAAAATGCAAGTTTTGTGAAAATTCGTTAATTTGGCATTTCTTGAAAACCAGTTTTTGAATCGTTCTGAAAATTTGGATATAAGCTTGATTTTTGATTCTCTACAACTTTTCCATTGACACCAAAATGGGTTTCTTTTGAAGAAAGTGCTCAAACTGTCACATATGACAATAGCCGGCAGTTTTCAATTCACCAATCCAATATTTAAACAATATCTAACATTTTGAGAAAACAATGTTTAATTTTATTGAATTATGAGTGATTCTTTAGCTGAAATTTGTACTTGAAAACATAAAAGAACTAACAAATTGTTCATTAACCACAATATTTTCGTTTTCGAGAACAAAAATTTATTAAAAGAATTAGCTAAATCAAATCGTAAACTACAAAAATTTCATTATTAAATGCTTGATTCAAAGCTTTCCTCTCTCATTTCTTTCTTTTGCTTTTTGACTGCCATTTTCCTTTATATTACCATAAATATTGAATAGAAAAATGAAAGAAAAACAAAATTTATCTAATATCTTTCAAAACAAAGACAATTTGAGTACACAAAGCAAGAAAAAAAACAAGAATTTACAAGTGGAAAGAGGCGAAAACCCGTGAGATTTCCTAAAACTAGTATAAAAATCGAAGAAAACGATGGTAATGGTCTGTTTTAAATATAATTATGATTCCATAACATCGTCCTCATAACCTCGACTGAATAAGCCGCCGAATGGGTCGAGTTGGATCCCTTGATCCGCACCCATCACTGCCATCACGTCGCGAGCACGGCTCTCTAGAAAAAGAGTGCATTTAAGCCAAGAATATTTTTGTTTATTTGCATCTATCTGAGACAAGAGCCAAATTTTAGCTTCTGACCTGCTTGGTCTGGCTTTACTGGCCTATTCAACAAAATTTCCCTGCTAGTAGCCAGCAGAGCTGGGTGAATCTGGATCCGGAACAAGAATAAAAAGAACGTTCAGGCGGCTACACGACGCTCCAATAGCCGTTGTGTAGGCGCTTAGTAGTGTCGTTCTTTGTATTCTTGTGTAGAGATCCGGAGCCGGATCCGCCAACCGTGGTAGTCAGGCCTGGATTACAGCCTGATCCATATTGAAACATCCTTGGTCTTTCTAGCCGCTTTAAGTACCAGATTTTTATGAAATACAGTCAACTTTCGTGCAGTTAAGCTATAACTTACGGATTTCGTGATATCCGCTGTTGCTCAACTCGTCGAACTTTGATTGATAGTTGGCGAACGATTGAACCACCTAAAATTTTAATTCAATGATTTAAATATGTGTTTAATGCAAAATTCATTCTTTACTTACCTCTCGATCATTGAAAATCCTCTTGCAGAAATCGAGAATCGCACAAATGAGTGAAGGGACACATTTCGACTCGCGAAGCTCGTAGCCTTTCGATAATTCAAAGGGATTCCATTTTTGAAGTCTAAATTTTGTTGCCTTTGTGGAACAAAAGCTTTTACTGACTTGAAAAGATTTTCCAAATGCAACTTCAGAGCTGGGCAATGATCATAGATTGTGGAAAAGAGCTCAAAGATGTCGGCTTCTAATTTTAAAGCGTCTTCGAAGAGTTGGCTGTCCTAAAAGTTGTAATATAACATTGAAATCATTAAAATCTTTATTTATTTTCTTTAAAATTTTTTGATTTAATGGGGTACTCCGGTCCCAAAAGTGGATTTTCTAGAACCACGACTATTTGTTTACCAATCGACGCGTTTCAGTCTCCTCTACAAGGATTGCATAAAGAAAAACCTTGAAAACACTAAAAATCCCGAAAAACTGTCAAAAAAAAAGTGTTTGGGAGTCTAAAATGCAATGTGACGGAACGTTTATCTACCAGAATTAATTCTATCGTAGTTTTCGGGAGTGGGACAAATGCGACCTTTTTTTTGCGCACCCGGACATTTGCGCACCTTTTTTTCCGCACTTAGCCCATTAGCGCACCTTTTTTCGCGTTTTAAAAAGCTCTAAAAAGCTAATATTAACCAATTTCTATTCCAAAAGTTGTTTTTCTAGGTAATTTGAGGGTGTTGAATTCAAATTTTGACATAACAGAGCGTGTGGAACCAATTTGAAAGGCCAATTTGAAAGGCCAATTTGAAAGACAAAACGGCTAGGTCAAATTACAGAAAATTGTTGATTTTTCTCTTTGTATAACTCCGCCCGTTTGTTTCCACAAGCTCTGTTATGTCAAAATTTCGATTCTACGCCCTAAAATTACCTAGAAAAACAACATTTGGAATAGAAATTGGTTAATATTAGCTTTTAGAGCTTTTTTAAAACGCGAAAAAAGGTGCGCTAATGGGCTAAGTGCGGAAAAAAAGGTGCGCAAATGTCCGGGTGCGCAAAAAAAAGGTAGCATTTGTCCCACTCCCCATCTTTGTGACCTTTTATTAAGTTTTTCGCCTTTTCTACCCCTTCTTTACATCTTTTTTTTTCTTTTAGCATTCTCTAGCACACGTAATGATGAGTTCCGAAGAAAAAAGTTTCTAGTTGAAGGTTTATTAGTTGGGCTTGAAAGGTATTTAAGAAAATAGTTTTTTTTATTTCAATGTTCTATATCTACAGATCAACAAGTTGGTTAAAAAGTACTAAGAAAATTATACTATTATTCAATTCGAATCAAAATTTCCGCAATTTTCAATGATTTCTAAAAGGTAGGACGATGGGAAAGTATTAATCAAAAACTTAGTTTTTCCTTAACTTTCGTTAATGAAAGGGTAATAATTGTAGATATTCGTGAGGATCTTGGCCTCAGCTAATAGCTTGAAAAATCTAATGAAAAACAAAAAAAGCAAAAGCCAAAGGAAGATTAGCGGGATTCGAATCCTTGAGGGTTGACCTCTTTGGCAAGAATACTAACCACTCAGCCAAACCGGTAGCGCCCGCCGGTCGCTGAGAACAGCTTATAATGGTTCAAAGCAAAAATCGGATTTCTCTGGGGACCGGAATATCCCTTTAGAGCTTTTAAGCAAAAAACAAAACTTACAAGTGGAGGATCTTTAAAGAGGAAGGCCAAATCGTGAAGAATATCGACGAGATTCTTCTCATCGACTACTTGATTCAAATGAATTGTCCACTCATCGGTTTTCACTTGGGACACCAAAACATTGATCAACTAAAAATAGTAATAATAAAACAATGAAAAGTACAAAGGAGAGTAACAGTTAATCACTTTCACTTACCCTCACAATCCTCGCTTTTGTCATCAAAGTTGTGCTCTTTATTCGCAATTGTTGCTGAGCGGCATCCTAGAAAATTAAGTTTTAAACCTTTTAAGCTTTTAAAACCCGACTTTTGGATTTGACAAATTGTATACATTGCCGAATCGATCTCGTCTCAGCAATCGGAAGAGAGTTTCTTGGAAGTATTTCTGAAAAATATACGAAATACTTTGCTAACCAATTGCCGTATTTTCTCTAATAGTAGTGAGCTTAAATTCCTCAAAATCTCGAAAAGCGCTTATCAGAACCTATCGATATGGGGTCGGAAAATGTAGCTAACGATGAGATCTTGTGGGGGATTAGAGTGTTGAGCTTCTACGAGAACTTGGAAACCGTAAAATAGGCATCAACTTGGCTCGACTATTAGAGAAAATACTCAATAAGAACAGCCAAAGCCAAAGAACTTTTTTTAAAACCGAACCTTGCTCAGAATGATTTTGATGCCTTCATAGATGCGAGCGATCTCGAGATGATCACAAGGTTGATTCGTTGTCGCGTAGAGATCGCTGAACCTTTTTGGATCCATTGTGAAAGGGGTTTTCGCCAAATTGCTGATCACTCCAATCATATTGTCAATAAGATCGGCTTCATTTAAACTAAAAACAAAAAAATATTTCGAGATTTTTATTCTAAAAACAAACTTTGCTTTTTTCGAGTAAAATTCGAGCCAATTTAGTGTCGAGACGAGATTTCCAGTGCCCAAAAGTTTAACCTGAAAAAATTGACTGTCATTTATCATAAAATCGAATATTTAACTATTGTCAGCTCCGAGCCAAACCGATATTTTAGTTACTATTGTTATTATCGAATGATTTGTCTATTCTTATGCAAATGTGTCCTTCCCTGTGCTTATCCCTTTTATTGCCGAGAAGGGGTGGTCCTTGGGATTGCCTAGGAGGACAAGTGAGACTCTCATTTGGAGTCCCCCTTCCCCCTTACACTTATTTGTAATCTATTCGTCTTATTATACTACTGTAAATAAAGATACATATCTTCCGGGTCTATGCAACTGCAGTACAGGTCGGTCATTTCACAGGGACTCCCCTATAATACGTTGGAGGAGTTGATTTGGGTTGTCGGGGTGTTAGAGATGGCGGGATATCAAAAGGGATCCACTCTCTTTAACTTAACCCAAATTCTAGTCCACATACGTTTATACCTAGGAACGAATACTATGAGTAATACAATTTAAAGCAGAAATATCATTTGTAAGGCTGTAAAAATCCACCTTATTCTCCTGATGATTCGCCGTAGCGTTCATCAGAAAGCCAACAGTATGGCAAAGGATCACCTCGTTGTTAAGAATCTCTTTTCTTTCCAATGCTTTACAAATCTAAAGTAGAAAGGTTTAGAGATTACATAAAATAGAAAAATCTTAACTGAATGCTTTACAAACTCAAACAAACCTGCAAGAAAACACCCGCCATATCGACTTTCTTTATTTCTCTCAAATGAGAGTAAGCTTGCACGATTTTGATCCCATGACCGAACACTTCTGGATCCATGTCGAACACGCGTCCGATGATTGTCTAAAACTTTCTAATTGATTTGAAAATAACGAAAATTTTGATGTAAATAAGCACAAATTGTCAATCACCTCAATGAGTCGATGATTGCCAATGATTTTATTCACTTCATCATCCAAACTTCTTTCCAAGAGAACTTCAACAGTCCTCAATAAAAACTTGACTCCATCTCCTTTTCGTTGTAAATTGCCTTTCTAAAATGAGTATAATTTCCTTTTCATCAAGTTTGCCGTAAAAGTCTTGCCCGCTTTTTTTTAAAGGTTACTTTTTGAAACGAACAATGATCGAAAACAAATCGATTTATGGTTTGTTTTATTAGAAACTCCTATTATTTATTTACAAATTGCTCTTTAAGAAACTCTGAAAGGTTAGTTGGTTAATTTTTTAAAAGGTTTGATAGTCGAGCAGTCAAAAACGATAAAACTTAAAGTTTTTGATTTTATTTGAGCCTTTTTTTCACAGAAATCTTTTTTTTATTTCAAAAGACAAAAGGTAGAGAATGAAAATTTAAGTAGATAGACGGGAGTGGGACAAATGCGACCTTTCTTTGCGCACCCGGACATTTGCGCACCTTTTTTTTCCGGAAAAGGCCTTAGGAAAGGTCGTAGAGCTTCAAAAATGTTTCAACAGAAGGGAATCGTATGCGTAGATTCTGAATTTTCCGCACCTTGCCCATTAGCGCACCTTTTTTCGCGTTTTAAAAAAGCTCTAAAAGCTAATATTAACCAATTTCTATTCCAAAAGTTGTTTTTCTAGGTAATTTTAGGGCGTAGAATCGAAATTTTGACATATCAGAGCTTGTGGAAACAAACGGACGGAGTTATATAAAGAGAAAGATCGACAATTTTCTGTAATTTGATCTAGCCGTTTTGTCTTTCAAATTGGTCTTTCAAATTGGTTCCACGCGCTCTGTTATGTCAAAATTTCGATTCTACGCCCTAAAATTACCTAGAAAAACAACATTTGGAATAGAAATTGGTTAATATTAGCTTTTAGAGCTTTTTTAAAACGCGAAAAAAGGTGCGCTAATGGGCTAAGTGCGGAAAAAAAGGTGCGCAAATGTCCGGGTGCGCAAAAAAATGGTCGCATTTGTCCCACTCCCAGATAGACAAATTTTCATAACATTTCACCAAGTTCTTTTCATTCTTTGTTCATTGGAATTTTAGGAAAAACAAGAATTGCCGGATTTGCCAAAAAATGAGCTAAATTAAATCGTTAATCTGAAATTTTAAAGCAAAACCACACGTTTATCGGCTAATCAGCTAATTACTAATCACTAATACTTATATAAACAAAAATTTCAAAAAAAAGTGAACAAGAGAACTTGTTCTTTTCCCGCTAAACATTTCCCGAAACTCACGTCAAAGTTTTTTCTGTTATGAATGTGCATAAGAAGAATTGGAATCACTCGCTCAATTTTTGCCACAAACACTTGAATCTAAATTTGATCATTATTTAATTGTCAACAAAGCAAATTACATACTGTAAATACTGTAATAGTACCCCCCCTCGTACAGTCGCGTAGTCGAAAAAGTTTTTAGTATTTCATTTTTTTCAAAGCGCCCGTACTTTCAAAAAATGCGTCTTTAGTATCAAAAAATAGCCCTGAATTTCAGCTATTTTTTGATACCTAAGCGCGCATTGTAGCATAAACCAGTGTCGAGAAAAACTCGTTCAAAGCTAGACTACACAACACTCGGCACCGTCATTATGGGGGTGGGGTACTATTACAGTATTTACGGTAATTAAATTTCAAGAAAACTCACCAAACTTTCATTTCTATAGAGAATGTGGTAGAAGAGTTTAACGGCGCTGAGCGAGAGCTGAAATTATAAAATAAATAAAAATAAGAAAGAAATGATTAAATAATAATTCTACCTGAAAAGTTTGAATCCCAGGAGAAGGGACGAAGAATTTTTCGAAGAGAATCTGACCGGGACCAGGGATTGAGCGAAGATATGCAAGAATTTCCTCGTTCACTTTGGGAATCTAAATATTTTGTACAATTTTTACAAAGAACATCTCATTATTTTAACAAGAAAGATTTACCCCATCTCTTTCCCTGTGTGCCAACATGAAGATTATTTGAAAAGCATAGTGTCCATTATGTCGATAAATGTTTGAGGCCTGTGGATTATTCGGGATCGCAGGATAGCTAAAATTTTTTATTTTAGCTGTAATCTCTTTGCTTTTTCAAAACCCACTTCATCAAAGCGATCAAAGCGTTTAATTTGTTTCGATCTTGCGAATAAATCTTGATGAAAGTCTCGCGGATTTCTTTGTGATTCGTCATCAACCACCAAATCAAAGTAAGAAAGTGATTTGCTTGCTGGAACATTGAGTTATTAAAATTATTTGATTCTTTTATAAACCATTGGTTTAACATCAGGCGAGTGAAGCTTTCGAATATAGACTTCAAGAAAACCGTAAAGAATTTGGCTATTACATGCCATAAATTCCTTTGAGCTGACAAGGTGTGAGACACAGCTCCAAAAGCCTTCCTGCTCGATGACCATCGTCCATTGCTGAAATGAGATAAGCGATAGTTGCGTTTAGATCCACTGATATTCAGGCATAGCTTCTGGTACCAGATTTGCAATAAAGCCAGGCCAGAATCAGATCAGAAGTCAGCTCCTGGTTTGGCTTTTGGAATTCATAGTTAAACCTGCAGTAATGCCAGGTAAAATTAGAAGCCAGTCCAGGCTTTTTAAAACAATCCTGAGCCTTTCACTAACAACATTTCACTGTTTTTTTGTCTTACCGGTCCTTGCAAATGGGTCTTGATGTGCTCGATTTGTTGCCACATTCGATTTTGAGCCGCAGGATCAATATTTTCACTAGGGACAGGTGATGGTTGGGAGGGATGCTGAAAAAGTTGTTGATGAATGGGTATTGTTTAACTCAGATGTTGTTAAAGATATCAAAAGATATCTCAATTAGAGATTAAACGCTTAAACAAACCGGCTGTTGCAGATTCCTTCTTATCGTATGAACGGGATTCTGAGACGCGTGGCTCATTTGACTCGCATAGGATTGTATCGAGATCATCGACATGTCCATATCGGATGTATGAGAGATCATTGATGGAGTCTAAATGATGTTCAATTGTAATAGAATTTAATGGGAATGCTGTACAATTGTAAACTGAAGAACTCACCGGTGATGGTGCATATTGACCGGCTTGCGGGTAGGGATTTGCCCATCGTTGTACTCGTTCATTTCCTCTTAACTGGGAGACTCTAGACGGCGATCGGGGTAGGGGTGAAGCTGTCATTCTGGAAATTTTTCGGATTTATAAAGGAATGCATGTCTCTTTTTCTGCAATACTCACCTTTGTTGATAGAATTGTTGTTGTGCGGGTACTTGGGGTGAGTAGGGTTGAGAGGTGGATGGGCCCTGAATCGGTACACAGAAATACAATAATTCTTCGTTACTGCGAGACTTTTGGACGCGCTACCCCTAAACTGTTGAGAAAGAAAGAAAGAAGGTAAAGAAAGAAGGTAAAGAAAGCAGGCAAAGGAAAAAGAAAGTAAAGAAAAAACCCTGGTAAAAGGGAAAATAAAGTTTCTAAGTCTAGGGTGCGGGATCGAACCCTTGACCGTCCGACCGAGGCCGGCCTCCTAACCAGTCAACCATAACAGTTAGCCACCATCGTTCCTACCTGTTGCTCATATCCGGTGGGGAGGGGATTTTGTGGTTGAGGTGGTACGCTGAGCATTGGTTTCCCCGATGAATGAAGGGAATGAATGGAGGCTGAGGAGTGAGAATTCGAGAGATGGGGAAGAGGCTAGAATTTGAGATTTGATTGGGTATGAAACACACATTCTATTGTGATTATTTAGCTATCTTTAGCTAACCAACTTTGAATTAAAGATTTTTGTAGCTATTTTCCGGTACTGACAATGAATTCAACGACAATAGTATTACCGTTGAAGAACCTAAGCCTTTAGTAGTTAAAACTAATATTGAATCGATGATTAAATAATTCTAATATCTGAAAACAAGGAAAATGTATTCGAAGCTTATTCTTATTGCTTATTGATTACTCACTTGACACGGTATTCGTCTATTCACTGCTTCGAGATTAATCAACGAATGTCCAGAAGAGGGAAATGTTTGTTGATTGCCCCCAATTGGACTTCCGATTGAGTCGATTGAATGATGGTCCAGTTTGACGTTAGAAAAACAAGAGATGATTCAATCAATCTAAAAGAGAACAATTGAATTGATTGTAAAAGTTGATTGAATGTTTTTAATTTTTTAGAAAAGTTAGAGGTCACATTTTTATCTGCGGTCGAGATCTCCGAGAAATTTGGATGCAGAAAATGAGGAGAAAGTCTTCAACAAATGTTCACAGATGGGTAAAAAGGGTAAAAAAAAGAAAAAGACTTGATTGAGTGACAAATTTCGCACGATTTTGAATGTTTCAAAGAATTGGATAAAGGAAAATAATGGGATTTTGCTTAGAAACAAAATTCAAGAACAATTTACAAAAATAGATAAGGTATGATTGTCCATAAAATGCCTAAAGCATTTTAACAATCAAAAGGAAGTTGTGGCTAGATGAATTGCCAATAGAAAGGCAAGGTGGGCAAAGTGGGAATGATCGATTGCAAGAATGCTAAAGAGATTGCAGTAAAACTAGTTCAGTTCCATTAAAATCGATACATTCTATACATTCTATACATTCGTAGCAAGTTTACTAAACTATTACGATACTCTGTTGAGCCCTTCTTTTACTTTTTACCTTTTTTTGTCGCTAATAGTAATAAAGAATTGACAAGGATAAGTAGATTTCCGAAGAATGAACCCCCGATCTTCTGCTTTCCCATTGCTTGCTTACTCTAACCATTGACCTATCCGGTGATAAGTAGATTTCCCGAAGATTGAACCCGACCTTCTGCTTTTCCTTTGCTTACTTACTCTAGCCATTGACCTATCCGGTGATAAGTAGATTTCCGAAGAATGAACCCCCGATCTTCTGCTTTCCCGTTGCTTGCTTACTCTAACCTGACTTGCTTACTGACCTATCCGGTACCTTAACTTGCCAAAAGAAAAAGGAAAAGACAAGATGGAAGAAGAAAGAAGCCTTTATTTGTATCTAACAATAAAGCAAGCGATTACTTCTTTCTTTGAGAACTTCAAGTAATCTAAACCCCTTGCAGTTGTTTCATTTCACTAGATGACCGATAGAGTCAATTACAATCATTCTTCTCATCTCGCTGTCCATCGAGAAGTCATAAAATAATCAACCAACTGTGGATGGAATGCCATCAGCAAAATGTTGTCAACTTGAGAGATGAATGAATTGAGCACTTTGGCAAACAGGAATAGATAGACAAACATTAAATGGTAAGTGAACCCTTTTGGGTAAATAGGAGAGTTGGCTTAAACTATTGCCTATCGTATTTATATGATTTTCTGGCTTTTGCCTTCAAATTACTTTAGTGAAAGTTTCTCGAAACAACCCAAAAAAAATTCTGTCAAAGTTATGCAACATTTTTTGTTTCTTGTTTTTTGTAGACTCTCATAAACTCATTCAAATTGACTGATCTACTTCAAAATTCTTCAAGAGAGTAATGAGAGCTCTTATTCTAACACTTCATCGAGTAAACAATACCCCAAAGTGGATGGACAGGAGGGGAAAGATTTTTGGGACAGTTACGCAATCGGATCGGATTAGTGAATCGGATAGGGGCAGAGGGTTATGTCCCCAAAGCTTCCATAAAAGATAAATTTCTATAACTAGGCTTTAGTTACAGTAATCTGATGTTTGCCTTAAATCCAGTGCCAATTTTAAGAGACCAACAGAGAGTTTTACTTTCTATCTGACCCAAAAAAACTAGAACAGTCAGCAAGCTGACCAGAAAACTGATTCTAGCTGTTACAAGGCTTAAAAAGTTAATTCTAATTACAGAAAGCTACAGTACTGAAGCTTGAAGTTCAATCTTTCCTTAGAACTTACTATTTACTGCAATTTTAAAGGTTTTAAGCTTTAAAACAAATGCTACTAGAAGCTGTTATACAATAAAAATCTCGAATTTCTAACTCTGTAAACATTCTCTCAAAAGTGGATAGATGGGGGAAGAGATATGGAAGAGATTACGCAATGGGATTGGGGTAGAAGATGGGGTAGAAGATGGGGTAGAAGATGGGGTAATGAGTGTGGAAAAGATGATAGAAGAAGAATGGAGAGAGATTGCACAGAAAAGAAAAAGAAAAGAGAAAAGAAAGATACCCCAAGCCAAAAACCCATCAAGGGTCACCAAATGGTGCCCTAGAAAAATCGATAACCGATTGGCAATGGAATGAATGAATGAATCTAAACAGGAATGAGATGGGGAATTTTAGAAGACAAAGATTGCTAAGATTTGAGAAAACGAATTAGATCTCAAACCAAGATATGCCTGTATTACTTTGAAGTGATTGAAGAGTAATTCATTAATTGACTAGATTGTAATCTGTGATGGCTAGATTTACTCGAGAACTTTATTACCTTGTTTTATAGAACTAGGGTAATCTGGAAATGCTTAAAACCAAATAAAATAGATTAATCTGAAAGCAACCTGGCAAGAAATTGGTCGAATATTTTTGCCAGTATTGTTAATGTTTACAATAAAGTATTGTTTGATCTTCTCGTTTGATCTTCTAGAGTTTGATCTTCTCATTTACAAAAAACATGTTTGAAAGCCTTAGTTTTAAGATCAACAATGAATGAAAGCAAATTTACAGCATCAAAGCAAATTCAAATTAACAATAACTGATGATTTAAGTTAACTATTGCATGCAAAAGTAATTCACAAAAGTCCAAAAGTTAGATTCTAATTTAGATCAGCTTTAGATAAGCTCAATGAAACTTTCAACAGAAAAAGTCATTAACAAAGGTCCACAAGTTAGACTCTAATTTAGATGGCTAGATTTACTCGAGAACTTTCTTGCCTTTTCTTAAAGAACTAGGGTAATCTGGAAATGCTTAAAATCAAATAAAATAGATTAATCTAAAATCAACCTGGCAAGAAACTGGTCGAATATTGTTGCAAGTATCGTTAGTGTTAACAATAAAGTATTGTTTGATCTTCTAGAGTTTGATCTTCTCATTTGCAAAAACATATTTGAAAGCCTTAGTTTTAAGATCAACAATGAATGAAAGCAAGTTTACAGCATCAAAGCAAATTTAAATTAACAATAACTGATGATTTAGGCTAATTATTGCATGCAAAACTAATCAATAAAAGTCCAAAAGTTCAACTCTAATTTAGATCAGCTTTAGATAAGCTCACTGAAACTTTGAACAGAAAAAGTCTCTCCCAGCTGCTCACAAATCAATCGGGCATAATTCAACGCAATAATTCACACTTGGGTAACAAGAAAAGAATCGATTAGAAAAGAGAAAAAATGGAGAAATTGTCGGTAGACTTTGAGGGAGATCGGCTGGCTTTAAGATGAAAGAAAGCCGATAGGAAGGAGAGCCTGTAAAGGCATTGAGTAAGCATCGACACCCGCTCATTATCCAATAGTTTGCACAAATATTGCTGTTGACAGATATTAATATTCAAAGTGTCGTATTTTTAAGGCTAAAAGCTTTGCCGTTGGTTTCCTGGAGGATAGATGTGTGCATTTTGAAATGCTTCAAAAAGTGGATTGAAATTTTTGAAGATTTATTTGAAAAACGAGCTGATAGAGTCTAAATAATAGTTTAAAATAGAAAACACATAGATTTTTGAAGATTTAAAGACTTCTAATGACCTTCAGGATGAGAAGAAGAAGATCGAATAGTAAGGTTTAATTCAAAATTTAGGGGAATTTATTCAAATTTGAAAGTTAATTGTAAAATTAGAATTCTCTTAAGTCAAACTATGAATTAAAAAGAATTAAAAAGAATCTAAAAGAAATCTTTAAAGGATTTATGAATTAATTAATTATTAAAATATCAGTAAAAATTTTGTAAAAGGTTCAAAAGGCAAAGCACTGGCTAAAGCTATAGGCAAAGCACTGGCTAGAGCCTGAGGCAAATCATTGGCTAAAGCTATAGGCAAAGCACTGGCTAGAGCCTGAGGCAAATCATTGGCTAAAGCTATAGGCAAAGCACTGGCTAGAGCCTGAGGCAAATCATTGGCTAAAGCTATAGGCAAAGCACTGGCTAGAGCCTGAGGCAAATCATTGGCTAAAGCTATAGGCAAAGCACTGGCTAGAGCCTGAGGCAAATCATTGGCTAAAGCTATAGGCAAAGCACTGGCTAGAGCCTGAGGCAAATCATTGGCTAAAGCTATAGGCAAAGCACTGGCTAGAGCCTGAGGCAAAGCATAGCTTTATCCAGTGCTTTGCCAATTCAAACATTCAAATTAGCGTCACCAAAGAAAGAAAGGAAAAGTCGGAAAAAATAGAAGAAAAGAAAGGCAAAGAGATATGGAAATGAACAGAAGAGAATTTACAAAAAAAGTGCCTGAAAAAGGCAATGGTAAAAGGGTGTGTTCTGCATGATGGGAAAAAGGAAAGAAAAGGAAAGAAAAGGAAAGGAAAAGGGAATGGTTGAATTGAGAGCGAGTAGACGGTGGAGAGTAGAAAGAGGCAGAGATCGTCGCACACCCGAAATTTGAATGCGAACCCTGGTTGGTGGTGGAGAAAAAGAAGTAAAAGAGGGGGGAAAAGAGGCTGAGGGTGCGGCCTTTTGTCGTGGCTTGGCTGGATCTGCGTGTCTCGAAAGGGTACACTCCCTCA